TGTTTTTGGAGATACCTTTATACTGTGCTGTATACTAGCCCGTTTTCTTATTTTCTGGGTTGGCAGAAGTCTCCACTTGACACAGTTACTTTGCTGATGTTATCTTAAAGTAGGTGTGGAAAAAACCTGCAGCTTGCTATAGCTACACTGGAAGAGTGTGTAAATGTAGAGTTTTACAATAAACTGAAAAAGTAAATAAATAAAAATTGAATGGGTATACTATTAAGTTAAACAATACAGTTATGACTGTATTGCATTTAGCTCAAAAAAAAAAAAAGAAAAATCCCTGTACTATATCTGCAGATCCTTTGAAATACTATGTTGCTTGCAGTAGAATTCTGAATACTGCCTAAGCTTTGATTTGTTGCAGTTTCACTCAAACAATGAACTAGGGTTATAAAAATAACTTGCCTGAGAGTAAGTTACCACTATGTATCAATGTTTTCCTCTTTCTGGTCTGCCCTGTATATTCACAGGGCCTTTTCCAAAGCATTCTCATGTGCCCAGTGTAATCTGCAGAATTTTGAGCAGCTTTTAAACACACAACTAGTAGGGTTTTTTTTAACATAACATATGTAATTCTACTTTTACTGTGATCATTTGCTACTATACCTATTCTGACTAGTTTATTTTTCTTGGATTTAGCCAACCTAATGAGATCCTGTCAGTTGTTTAATCAAGTTTAATTTTCCATTTGTTTTAGTTAGCTAATTCAGCAATCAGTACCGTGCCTAGGTGGTATAGTAAACTGTACATAGGATAGTAAATAGGATCACATCATGTAAATGCCTATCTCTGGACTCTGATAACAAGTTTAAAATTACATTACTATATTTTTCCTTCCTAGAATTCTTTCACCAGATGGTAGTGTTTGATTTCCTTTTCAATACTCTACAAAATCAAAATGTAGTTTTATCACATTACTTAAATGTTCTTGATTTTAAAAGAAACGTAAGTGGGATGGTAACCTGCCAACTTTCAACTGAGGAATTTTTAGTTGTTTCATATACTCAATGTGTTACGTAGATAAATCTTTTGAGAAGCAATATCATTAAACACTCTTCAACAGAGGGAACAATAGTGCAGAAAAAGATAAAAGAGCTGATGGCTGGTTTTGCTGTTGTAATCTGGGGAGCACAGTATAGTTTTGTCTTGCAAGTTGTTTGAACTGCTGGCTACTAATGTTTAGCCAATACTGACTGCGTTGAATACTATTACTGATAATTAAGGCAAGGTCTATTACTGCTTGATAATTATGAAAATCTGACATTTGAAGGAATAGCTATTAGGTTTATCAACTTTAGACAAAGACTTGTTTTATTACTGGCTCTTTCCTGCTCAACGGAGAGACAAACTCCAGTACGGGTTTCTGGTTTCTTTTTCTACTGACTGTAGAAAGAAAAAGGGGCAGCTGGCTTCCTGGTTGTAAGCGTAACCTTTGAATTCTCTCCTTCATGTTGGAAGAAGTCTTAATTGTGGAGACCAAAACGACCTAGCAACTTAAAATCAACTACTTATATCTTTACTATGTGTTGAGTACATATGCACAAATATAAATGTGGAAGATGGCTCCTTTTTTTGGAAGCATCATTCAGGTGACTCCTTGTGTTTGGTGGTGTTGCTCTCAAATGTATTGCCTTAGTGCTTTTAGCCTGGATATGAGTCTTGCTTTTATAGTTTTCAGAAACAGTGTGCTCTTTCGACAGTGCAGTGAAGTTGGTTGCATGTAGATTGGATTTAGATGGTTGCACATGGGGGAAAAAAGTCTGTTTCCACTAACTGCTATTAATGAATGGTCTGTAACCAGACTGGGGCTGTATTTTTATGGGGAAGATAAGATTTGAAGGTTCTCCATCCAAATTCTATTTTTCCCAGTTTGTGTTCTGTGATATGTATGTTTTAATCAATAAAACATAGTTTCATGTTTTTAAAAAGTGCTATTTTCTTTTTGTAAAGGACTTCTATCAGGTAGTTGAACTTTGAGCTTTTTTTTGTTTCTGATCACCTTAAAATGCTGGTCTGGAAACCAGCTATTCAAGAGCTAGTTCAGGAATAGATTTCATGTGTCTGCCTCAAGGGCGATGGCATATACATCAGATGGAGGGATATATAATAGAGCAGGTATGACCTGATAGGTTTTGGTATCCAATTTTAATGTGCTGCCTGTTGAGTCCCAGCTGACAGAGCTGGAGTGGTGCCAAAACCAAAATGTTACAACTGGTTTTGTGTCACTTCTTCGGCAGAAGACTGTATTTATTAAAAGTAATTGTCCAGTGAATAACTACTACACTTGTATTTAGATGTTTTCTCCCAGTGGATTCTTAGATGCTTGGAAAGCCTCAGGTATTTTTCTTAAACATACATTTCCTCGTGGTGGCTGAATTCCGTCACTGCTCTGTCCTTCAAGAGTATTTTTTTAGCTTGTGACGCTCCCCTATTGTAATTTATTAATAAAACATGAAGCATTAAGAATATGTAAGAATGTAAAAGCCCATGCCAGTGAGCAAAGCAGATGGATGCTAATTGTGGAGATTGGATTCTAACTTTTGGCAGAAATTTGGCAGTAATTTCGATGTTTGTTTCTTATGCAACATGCTTACATCTGGAGTCCTGACCATGCTACTCGGGATGTAAAAGGGAACCTTGTTTTTAGTGGTTATGTGACATATCACTTAAGTACTAATTTGAACTAGCATTTTAAGAGCAAATGATAGGCTTGTGAATAAATGAAGGCCTGGTTATATCCAGAAATAAACTCAGCAGTTTAGTAACTATGCCCTCAATGGTAGTTGTGCTCAGAGGTCACATCTGACTGAAAAAAAAAAAAAAAAAATCCGTAAAACTGTGGTGTGTACTGGATCTAATTTACAGTATCCTAAAGTAAAGAAAAAATGGCCAACAGCCAATTGTGAGTGAATACACATGTTTTACAGGATTTATCGTATGATGCTGGCAACACGTGTTGAAGATGTTGGTAATTTGTAGAGTTCATGGGATGTGGCAAAAGGTTTGAAGTGAATATGACACTTGAGGTTTTAGAACATAAACTTTCTATGAGTAGTTAAAAGAAGTAAACATGCACCATTCATGGGGGAAAAGTAAACTGCAAGTTTTCTTGTATTAAATGTAAAGTTTTAAATAGCATGAATTGCGTGAGAAGAATACACTGGAAACATTTGTTAAAATCTTCATGAGCTTCTTAAATCCTGAGCTGCATTCAGGGGGAAAAAAAATCTGAATAAATGAGTAATTTAAACAGAAACAGACACCAACACAAAATTAGGTACTATATAGCTAGTTTTTTCAAAGTCTCTTCAGAATGCTACTTCATTTAAAAAAATATATTTTTTTTGCTTTTGAATTACTTTTTATCTTTATTATTTCATGTTAAAGTTAACAGCAAATTTTCATATTCCTTGACAAGTAAAACACTGAGACCAGCAGCATTCTCAGAGCAGTCACATCAAGCCTCTTCTTTCTCTTCAAACCTTTCTGAAGTCCTTGGAGGCAGCAAAAAGCAGGACATGTTCATTGTGTCCTGACAGATCCTCTGTGGGACAGGTGTGTCCTTTTCTTGGGGTTGTACAACTTTCTGGTGGGCCAGTGACTCTTTTTCCTTGACACTGCTTATGGAAAGGGGTCTGCAGCATTCCGCGGTTGTGAGAAATTTTGGACCTCTTTCCTTCAGATGTGGGAAAAGAAAAAAGTGGGACATGTTTCCTAGCTTACAGACTCTTGGAGTTTGCTGCCAGTGTTTTCTTTGCTGCCAGTGTTTTCTTTGCTGCTTGGCAGGCTGATTTGGTTCATTCTGAGAGGCAAGTTACACCTTGGTGATATGAGATTCTTTTTACAAATTTTTGAATCACTAAAACATGTCAATTTAGTATGTGAATGAGTTTCAGAGGGGAGTAAGAAATGGCCAGGAGAAGTGAGCCTTTCAAGCTGTGTGGACTCTCTATTTTTATTAGTGTAAAGACTACAAAGTAGGTTTGGGTGGTGGTGTTTTTTTTTTTTTTTCTTTTTTTTTAAAAAAAGGACTAATTCAGCATATTTAAAATGGCACCGTTAGCCATTCAGAGTGTCCCAGTCCTGGCAACTTTCCTGGTTAGCTCAATGAGTATTGCATGCAATCAAATAGTCCTTTTAATTGGGAGCTTATTTAGCTGCATAACTTGAGAAGCCTAAGGTTTGAATGTCTTGGCCTTTGCCTCTCTTTCAGTTGTACAGCATAGATTCCTCTGAAACAATTTTCATATAATATTTTTATGAAAAATAAGGTTAGTGTTCCTTAAGAAGCAGAGTTATAATGTTACAGTATCAGAGGTCAGTCTCTCAAAGGTTTATCGTATGATAAATCAATTGTGACCGTATATATTCATGGGTTATTTAAAAGCCATATGCCCACCCATGTGAAAAGAGTAAGCGCGTTCATGTGTCTCAAATTACAAGAGACTGGATTTCTGCTCACATGCCATGACATGTGCCCCTTACAGAAAATAAAGTAGTTGCACACCAAATCAAGTACAGGCAAGTATCCATTATGACTCCCTGCATGCCCATATATGTATGTGTATGTCTATACATGTGTATGCAAGTATGTGTATATGCACACTCCTAGTATGGTCTTAGCTTTGAAATTGTCTTCTATTTTGATTGTGAGATAGACCCTCTTTTTGGTTCACAAGTCAGGGAAATTGGGGAAGGAGGTGCAGGGAGAGGTCTGTGGACACACATACACCACTCCCCCTACCCAAAACTGATCTGTTCTTGAATCTCCTCTGTACTCAAGTCTGATGTTATCCTCTGTAAGGAAAATACTGCAGGTTGGAAAAAGGCTGGAAGAATCTTGTCCTCACAAGTTGCCTTCAGTCTGCAGGCTGGCTCCTTCCACACTGAATAATAGGAATAAACATAATAAAGTTTGTATAGTGAATCCTGATAGCTTACTAAGTTGGTATACATTTTTTTGTTTGTTTAATTTTTTTTTTTTCTTTTTACAGAAAATACTGTATAGATTCCACAATGGAGGATGGGAAGCCCGTTTGGGCTCCACACCCAACTGATGGGTTTCAGATGGGGATGATTGTGGACATTGGCACTAACAACTTAACTATTGAACCTTTGAATCAGAAAGGCAAGGTAAGTGTTTCACAGAGGAACAGAGAAAAACCTTACAAAAACAGTTTTACCTGTAGGCCAGATCTTTGCCAATATCTACAATTATGTGCAGCCTGAAGGAGTGGAAAATCAGTTTTCTGTTCTAAGTTTGGCTAAGGATCTTTGTTTAGCTTTAGCTTGCATTGCAAATGGAACATCCCAGCAATGTATGCTTTCTGTCAGTTATTTGCATGTGTGTTGAGTATGTGCTGGTGAAAGAGAGGAGGATTGAATCTCCGTAGCCATTCGATTCAGTACTGCATACTTTATTTTTCTAAATTAGAGACTATTTATTTTTCTAAATTGGAGAGATTAGGTTCTCTCTTTTCCCTTACATGCACAGAGTGTCCTACAGGGGTGTGCTAGGCTCTGGTTTAGATTAGACACTTTACTGTTAGACTGATGACAATTGAGAGATGAATCCTCTTACCTCAAGTACCTTGAGAAGTAACACAATGTCAAACAAAGTCCTATGGAATTTCTACATCACATTAAAGGCAAAATAAATGTAACTTTTAAAATTAAGTCCTAATTCATCCTAATTAGTTTGTTCCAACTGCTTCATTTATCATGACATCTTTCAGATTAAGTATGTCGTAATTAAATGACAGTTTTTACAGGAAGCACCTTGTATCTAACAATTATCCTAATTCACATGGTCAACATGCTGGTTTTTACTAGCTGGGATAAGATCAGACACTGTGTTAAAAGTTGTGATTCTGGTCTTTTTGAATATGTGTTACGTGCCCTTTCTAACAATTTTGTTCTTTCTGTATCTTCAGGTATGTAAAAGACAAAATGTTTTTTGTAACTTCTTTTTTCATGTCAGCAGTAGTAGAGAATGCCTTGTCACAGGTCAAAAGGTTATACAACAGTCCTTCCTTTCAGAGGAATGTTTATAAACTTTCTTTTTTCTGAGTTTTGGAGAGGAAATTGATTTGGCTTTCCTTAGAAATATAAAGCAAATGTAATGTCTGATTTTTGTGTAAGAGATAGTTTGTAGGTTTAGTAGTAGTAGTATGCATTCTTCAATTTGAGGAAGAGCAAAATTATTCAGACAAGAATATTAAATACTCCAAAGCTTATGGTTAAGTAGTTTTTAACTGACTTAAGTGATTTTGGCCCCCACCCCTATTTCTGTTCATGTCCCCAAATGGTTCTGATATGATAAATTGCAAAAGTCTGTATATTGAAACAGAAACAGGCAATAAGGAGATTCCTGAGTCACTGTTTATTTCTAACATACACTCATTTCAGGGTGCATATTTTTTTTTTTTTTTTTAAAGAAAATATTATTCTACACCACAAATGTTTTACTTCATAATGAACAATTTATTTTGCCTAGGAAGCTTGTTATTCTGCTGTTGGCTGTTTTCTTGAATTAAACAGATCAATTCAGGGCCAAATGTTCACTCATCTAAAAGAACCAACACTTCACAGTTTAAATACTGTGGAGATTATGGTCCTATATTTCCAATTATCAAAATTCCTTATGTTAATAGAAGTGGAGTAAAATTTTTTCTTGTTTACCTTCTCAGTCTTTTCAAGGTGTCATTGATTTCTTTTTATAGTGAAATGTCTCTCATTGCTTTTTATCTTTTTAAGATGACTCTGTTCTTGTGGGTTTAGACCCTTAATTTGAAGTAGTCAGCATTAATACCCATTATTATCAACTTTGTTTACTTAAAATGATAGTCCAGAAGTGCTCTTCAGTAAGGAGGAGTGATCTAGCAGCTCCAGAGTTGCCCATGGTAATTATAGGGAAGAGAGGAGTAACTTGATCTTGTAAACGTATCCGGGCAGTGTAACTTATTATTATTTTTTAATCTGGGTCATTAACATGTCATATGTATTCTCTGTAGGTGCTGGTAGTTTACCAGAGATCACAGGCTGAAAAGGAAATGTGCATGCACATGTTTGATTATTGCATTTTATACCACTTAATGGTTAATTAAAATATGTTGTTAATAACTGCAGTAAATGCTGCAAGGCAGCAGTTTCGTGTTGCCTCAAAATCTTCCCTCCCTCCCCCACCCGTAGCCAGCTCTGGCACTGCAGAGCAGCACCCTCTTAGCCTGACACAGCAAACGAGGTCAGAGAACGGATCCACCTTAAAAATGAAGAAGTGGAAAGTTTTCAGGACGGCAGCAAGCAGTGGAAGGAGGACCTGCAGCCAGCGTGGCTGCAGATTGCTGTGTATTATGAAACCAAGTTACCCAGGCCAGACTGGGTGAAGGTAGTTGGCCAACACATCCATTTGCTTACAAACCAGCAGCAGCAGTTCTGGGTACCGCAGCCCGTACAGAATTAACAGCAGCATTTACATTTCTGTGTGGAGGCTGGGTGACTAGGAGAGGTGGGGATCTGAGTCACCCCGCCTGCACCGTACAAGGAAGAGTAACCCAAGCTGCAGGAGCGTGTTATCAGGACAGAGGGGTGAATGTGTTACATGATGGGAGCTACTCCTTGAAAACTAGATCATCGGCTTGCAAGGCTGATAAATGCCAGGACTGGAAAGAAGACAGAGAAACTGGAGAGCGGTTTACTAATGAGCGTGGTCCCACCTAGGGCTTGGAGTGCTGCCCTGAGGATGGACTTTGAACCGGACTAGGGGACCGGGGTTGGCAGCCGTAGCCCGTGCCCCACCAGCTGCTGCATGCTGATGTACAAGGAGTGAGGCGGGTAGAAAGGCAGCCAGTTGCTAAACTCCACCAGTATTCCATTTATGATTCTACTTGGAGTGTACTTTTCTGAACTTCCTGGGAACCCTAACCTCAGATCCTGTTGTATATATCTTACTTTGTTGTGTTGCGTGATGCTGTAACAGGGAGAAGGCAGATGACAGTGAAGTTGCCGAACTTTCTTTTCCTGGAGGCAGCAAACTTAAGTTAAAGTGATTAGGAAGAGATATCTTGGGGGGACTTGGATCCTACAATGCCATAGTGGGACCCTCATGTCACAGGATGGGGGGCTGGTGTTTGCCAGAGCATGAGCTGTGCTGAGTTTCTGGCAGTCACTGGGAAGGTGTGTGGTGCTGCAGGCACTCACTGACACCCCTCCTGCCGACAGCCAAGAGGCGCCTTACGGCTCTGCGCCAGCTCTGAAGGGTCATGGAGGGCTTTATGGGGCACCTGATCTGGTATGCTGTGAACAACCAGAAAGGTATTTTTCCAGGCTAAGTATAAATGAATAAATGTACTTTGAAAGTAAGGATCAGAATGTCCAAAGTTCAGTGTTTCAAGCTAAGGGGTTTTTTTTTTTTTTTTTTTTCCTTAGCAGTGAGTGCAACTTGCTTGCACAAATGAGACATGTTCTTTGTCTGTCTTAAGCACCGTTTGTACTGCTTTAGGTTGGTTTGAAATACAGCTGGGAGTAGGGATGTCTCCTGTCTGTATCTGGAAGGTATAAAGGGAGGCATGGTTACATGTATTGGATTACATGGTAGAAAGAAGATCCTGCTTGAATGGAAAGATATCTTTTTTCACTCATCTAGTTTCTGGGAGAATAGTTAAGATTGCCATTGGATTTCAAGGGCTACTTCATTACAGAGAGGGGAAAAAAAAAAAAAAAACTACAAAAACCCCCAAACCCTCTGCTTTGCCTACTGAGATGGTTTTAGTATCTCATAAGATTAATACCCTCTCCATTTTCTTAGAAGTTTGTGCTAAGCTATGCCTTAATGCAAAAGTCTTCCACCAAATGCCTGAAGTGTTTTTTCCTTAAAATAAATGCTTGTGGCTTTTTTGTTTGTTTTGGGTGTTTTTTTTTTTTTTTTTTTTTTTTTTTTTTTTAAAAAAAAAGGGACAATTTAGTAAAGAATTTCTTTGGATGATTTTTTATTGATAGACCTGGAATACCTTGCCCACTTTCCCATTTTATATTTTAGATTTTAGTAATTGGCAACACTCAGATCTCTGCACATCTAGCTAGCGTGCTTGCCTACATGACAAGTAATCACCTTACATAAAGCAGTAATCAAAGTGAGACATACAGGAGTGAAATTCTTTGTTGAAAATAGGCTTCATGTTCTGATCTAAAAAAGTCTAACAGAACAACATCAGCTTTCAGATAAGTCTTTGTATTGCTTATTTGTTTTATCACTTCTGAAATATTCTAGAAATTGTCACAATTCACATTTAATTAAAAAAAATAAAGGAGGATGTAACACAGTATGAATTATCATTTTTTTTTTCACTGAAATTTATCTTGAATCAGAAGGCTGAGTGGTGAGGACATTGAAAACGCTATTCCTTCCTCTTCTGGGATATATTTGGTACGGCTGGCTTTAGATCCATGAAAGGTTAAAGTATAAGAGATTTGTGAAGTGTCTTATAGAGTAGGTGGGTATTGTGTTCATTCTCCCATGAAAAAAAATTTCTGTCTTTGTTAGTAAGACCCAACTTTTCAAATATCAGACCAAACTTCTTGTCTCCATTTCCATGGGGAAAAGGAGACTGTGCCTGCTGCAGCGTGGCAGCTGTTGTGTTTAGTAAGTAAACTTGGGTTACACATCAGCACAGGAGAACAAGAAGTGAGGTTAGATTTTTGTGGAGCTGGTCATACTCTTTTTAAACTTTTTTGCTGTTTCATGCACAGGGAACTGGTTACAAGGTAAACTGTTGTGTTCAAATATCTTTTTACCCAATGAGACACACCTTCATCACCAACAAACTTGCAGAGAAAATTATTATGATAATATGTTCTAACTGCAATACTGTGAGAGGGAGGAAGTGGGGTGGGGGGGATCTCTACCCTGCTAAAACTCTGATTAGCAGCAGGCAACTTTCTGAGCTAGGTAAAGGTGTTCAGGTCATCCATGGCTCCACCAAGCTCTGATAAAGGATATTTTGGAGGAGGTTGGGCTGATGGACATTCAGACGTTCCAACATCATGAGGCAGCTCTGTTTTCTGTAGGAAAGCTTCTTGTGCATATTTTTCTGCATTAGATCCTGATAAGGGGATGACAAAATACATTTTATTATGGCTACAAATTGGATACTTTATGATAACTTTGTAGGGAAGAGGGATATCAGTCTTACCCTTTTCTGACTGGCAGCAATTAGTTCTGCTCTGAGACATTTTTAACCCTTCCCACTTCAAGGGGAGTTGCAATTTGTGGCTGTTCGGGACGGTGTAAGCTACAAGAGCTCACATATCGTCTGTTGTACTGAAGCAAAGATGAAGCACTTTGCTGTCTTTCTTCTAAACTTCTGTGTGAGATGTTTCTCACAATGTTAAACAAGTAAATCTGTGGGTTTGTTAAGGTCATTCTTTAGATCCAGTGGGTTGCCTTTTCAAATATCAGACTAGACTTCTTGTCTCTATTTCCATGGGGAAAAGGAGACTGTGCCTGCAGCAGCGTGGCGGCTGTCATGTTTAATTGGTACAACACGGTTTTTGCTCATTCATATGTAGCTCAAACAAGCTATTACTATGGTAAACAAAAAAGTAGAACTAAAAACCTGCCTCTTACAATAGGTATTTTTGTACAGATGGTGTAATGCATGTGTGCTAGGATGTTTTTCCTTCCTTTTTACAACAATATAAATTATGATTTCTGGAGACTAATGAAGAAACAAAGTTGCTTTTGTTATGAATTTTTCCAGTTGGACATGAACATTTGATAAATGGCTGTTTTGTATAACTGGGATACAAGGGTTGAAGGAAGGTCTTGTTTTACTTCAGTATTGATTTACTGAAGAAAAAAAAAAAAACAAAAAAAAACCCAACAAGAAGCAACAACCAAAGCTACAGTATTTGGGGATACAGAGGATATTATGAATTGAGTATTGAGTATTTATATTTTAAGTACAAATGTTTTAAAACAGCATATGATAATGACAGCATAGTCCCTTGACTGAACTAATAACTTGGTTTTTATTCCACTTGCCTTTGCAATACTTTTTTTTTTCTCATCCTTATTTTTTATGTTATACAATATTACATGCAATTTTGGAAATGAGCATCAAATATTGTAGTAATAAAAATATATATTAAAGTTGACTGCATTTTTATAATTTAGTGTAGTAATGTAAATGCAGCAGCTCCTATCTGCATCTAGTAACTTGGTAAAATTTCCAATGCTGAAGTATAAAGCTGGCAACTTAATTTTAAACCCTCCACAATTACAGTGCAGTCACTTGTGTCATTCTATCACACATCTTTGAACTGTATTTCTATTTTTATGGAATTCTGACAATGTTAATATTTTTCATCTAACAGACTTTCCAGGCTGCTATCAATCAAGTGTTTCCTGCGGAAGAGGACAGCAAAAAAGATGTAGAAGATAATTGTAAGTTTATGAATTCAAAAATAAATTATGCATTTGAAGAAAATATCTGCTTAGAAGAGAATATTGTTTCCTTACAAGCTTCCTGTTTCTTCCTTGTAGTTTTTGTTTTGCTGCTTTACTTGAATTTATGTATGACCTCTACTAATCCTTGAAACTTCTTAAAGTATACCCATTTTAAATAGAATTTATTGTGTTTTTTAGTTTTCAGTTGAACACTTTAGAGGATCTCAGTTACATTAATCCCACTTACAACTGTTACTTGACCAGATATGTATCAGATGTCACCTAACTGCATCAGGATCAACTACAGTCAGCATTATGGGGGTTAACACTATGTTTTATAATGCAGCAAAAGAATTAGTTGTTTTATCAGCAGCTGTGTTGTACAGCATTTTGCTGCATGTAACCAGTTTCTCAGATAGCATTCCTGTGGAGGTACAGGTAATTGAAAATGAATTTTAAGAGAACCTTCCCAAAACTGGAGATGGAAATCTGGACCTGACGGGGCCATGGGAAAAGGAAATAGGAGTATATATAGGAGAAGGAATAGGAAATAGGATACAGGAGTGCTGCTGGAGAAGTTTTGAGATGAGCTTGTGTAATAGACTTCAGTGTTGATCTGCAGGGCTTTTATTTTGTTAAGTATTTTTTATATTGATAAATATTTTATAATTAGATGTGTGGAAACAAATATGATATTCAAATCTGGGGAGAGAGTACCGAGAAAGATGAGTAAGCACTAACATCAGCTTTTAGAGAACTGTTAAACAGTTATTTTGCTTCTATTGCTCTGTATGAACAAATTACAGTCTATCCTGCCTTGAAAACCCAATGAAGGCAATTCTTTTAAATGTTTCCTATAGCATTTACTGGCTGGTGAAAATACTGATAACCTTGTAAATCGTGGGCAAAAGTATTTTCTATTGTTTTTAATTTAAAATAGAGGCTAGGACTTCTGAAGTTGTTTAGGTGATTCCTGTTTTGGAATAGGGGTTAGTATTTATATCCTGTGACAGGAAATACAGCTGTTACAGCTGCTCCACAAGGAACAAGAAGATGAGGCCTCAGGTTTATGGTCTGATTTAGATGGTATGGTGTCTTTACAGGTGGAACTGTGCTGGTAGCCTTATTTCCAGTTGCTTATGTTTTTGCAAACATTATGTGAGTTGAAACTTTTCAAAGCTGGTATTTGTATTCTCTGCACATGATGATTATTAGGGAAATGCATTTAACCTGTGCATCTGCCACAGTGATTTTACTGAGATGTCCTGATACCTCAGTGTCCTAGTCAAGGGATTGAAATTTGGAATGAGATTATGGAAATAATTTGAGATTCCAGCAAAGTACTATTCGATTAAGTTAAACCAGTCTTTCTATCAGAGAAAATGTTGGCTTTGGCTGAGTAAAATATAAAACTTAAAAATGCTTTGTCCAGTAATCATTATTTTGAGACTTTTCTAATGTATTCTTGCTTTTTGGTCACTAGTTGAGATTTATTTCCAGGATGTGTGAAACCCAAGTTCATTTTCTTTCTCTGTCAGAGAACATTTCAGCTAAGCATCATTGATCTTTAAGAAGAAACTTCATAAAATATGAAGTGCTTTCAGCATCTCCTTGTAATACTGTTCTGAAAATGCTGAAAAACTAGTTAATAATACACTTACCATTCCAACCTATGCTTTAGTGATTAACTCACTTCTAGGAAGTAATCTGCTGAATATTGCTTTTTTGCACCCTTAGTTTTCTGTATCCCAAAGGCACTAGCTTCAAGAGACACTTTTTCAAAAATGTAGCTCTTCCTCAAATGTGAATTTTCAGTAAATACTGCAAACAGTGCAGAAACAAAGCATTTACTACTTTTTTTTTGTGATTCACACTTTTCTGCTTCTTCCCAAGCCCACTGAGCTTTGTGGGTTTGTTACCATATGTGGAATACTTATTTTTTTTTTATGACCAAGAAAGAGATTTTTTAAAAACAATTGTTTCTGGGGTGAAGCAATTCTAAAAAAAATGAAGGGGGGCAGACTATCAGATAAGAATCTTAAAAAAAAAAAAAAAAAAAATTCTACAGGTGCAAAGCCTTGCCATTACATTATAAAATTATTTTCCATACAAACCCTGCTGTGCACAGGACAGCCACTGTGAGTGAATTTGACATATTTCCTAGCTTTTAGTGCCAGGCTTTACTTCTGTGAACTTTGTGTGCATGTGTGTAGAAGTAAATATATGGACTATTAAATGCACATACACACACTGGTTATCTTTAGGCATGAGCCATATGAGTATTCAAAATTCTCTCTCTGGTGACTTCCTTTGCCTCTGGATATGGATGCCTCTTTTAAAGGATTTATTTTAAAGAAGATGCATTTTGAATTTGCTGATATAAGCCATAATTTGCATGTCTTGAGTGAAGGCATTGACATTCCCTCGGGGAGCAAGCTCTTATTATGCACCAAGTCTGCAGGTATAACTGCTTTAGCCAGGACTTGCTAAGAGAGTACAGAAATTTGGGGTACTTTGTTGTTTAGATAATTACCAAGTTTTTATTGGGATGCTTAACTGATGACTCGTTCCTTTAAAACATACAGCAAACCCGGAGAGGTTCTTATGAAGACACAGTCAAGGGGAGAGGATTGTTTCTTGAGGTGTATGTAGACATCTACTATACAGTAGTTTCTCAACTCAATACTGGGAATCCAAATGACTTAAATCAGTGTCCGCCCCAAGGCATACACAAGGGGAGAAGGAGATTTTAACTTCTATTAGAACAAGGAGTTCCTGTTTCTGACCCATTTCCTTGTACTGCCTTTCTCTTGGGATGACCTTGTTTAAAAAGATGAAGGTGGAAAGAGGTCTGTGGAGGCAGACCTGCAGTTTGTGGTCCCCGTGCCATTTTCTCAGCCGTGTGGGCTGAGTGCCTGGGAAGGGGAGGAGGAGAAGTCCTGCTGTGCAGCACCGGGTGCCTGTGCTCGGTTGCCTCACGTGCCAGTGACCGTGCGGTTGGTGGGTGGTGTAGGTCTGCTGGGATGGCAGGGGAAAGGCCATGGTGATCGGGCCGGCCTGCTGCTTCATGAAGGTATCACGTACAGACCTGATTTCAAGGGAAGATTTTGCTTAGCATAGAGCTAAAGCGTGCCTCCTGTGCCTCTGCCCACGCAGGGAAGTGTGTGCAAGGGGTTTTGTGAAGGAGGATGATTTCTAAGCAACCCAGAAGTTGCAAGGTCGTTTGAGAAGGCTGAATGATTCCAGCCTTTTTAAGCAAAGCTATATTTAGTCACGTAAGGGGAGGAAGAGCTGTTACTCAGTGGAGCTATGCAAGCCAAACAGAGGCTGCAAATGATTGCTGAACCTGCCTTCGCTTCAGGCTGGTCTGGTGTAGGTGGTGGGAAGCAGAGCCACTCCTTGGAAGGGTAAAAGATTGAAAACAAAACCACAGATGCTCTTGAGAAGCTCCCATTATCCTTTGCCAGTATCTTTCGGTTCGGCAGGAGGAGTATTGAAGGAGATGTTCAGAGCTGCTTACTGAGCTTCAGGTGTCCTTGCAGGACGAGGTGGCTGGGTGGGTTGACTTCAGGTCATAAGAACTGGCAGCCCTTCTTGCACTTTTGTGTAAATAAGTTGGAAAACACTTTCCTCTGCTGGAGCCCTTGAGAAAGGGCATTAGTTCAACTTGGTCCAACTTGAGAAACAACTTTGCTGGTCATTATACACGAGAGGTGCATATGTGGCCCTCCTGTGAGTTGCAAGGTAGTAGTTACAGTTACAGGCACCTTGCTTACTCCCATTGACAGCAGTCAGATGTATACAACTTTTTAAGTGTTGCTCGTACCGTAAAGTTTACCAGTATAGTAGTCAGTTAGTTGTAACTAGACAAAATAGTGTTGTGCGCTTGAATTTTAAGCGGCTAAGAAAAGAGGATTGAGCATATTTGAAAGTGCAGGCTGTGTAATGAGTAGTGCCCTCAGTTGGTTTAGGGATAATGTTTTTAATATTGTTACAATGGGAACTGGTAATGACCTCTGTAATTAAGGCTGCTAACACTTTCCAGTGCTTTATATCTGAAAACAAGGACCAGCTTTGCCAGAATGTGAACCTGTACGGTCTGAAGCTTTCCATCAGTGCCTGCTCACTGCCTTGAGCCACTGCCTTGTAACGTTTCAGTAGGGCTGGTTAGGTTATTTTATGTTAATGACCTAAGGAGAAAAATAAAACTAGGTTTTGTTAACATTTTTTTTTCCCCTAAAAGTTTCTTTGAGGAGGCCTAGTAGTAACAAAATTCAGAAATGAAATGTGAAAGGTTGCGTTGGTGCCTGGTGTTGCAATGCTGCCTGCTGCTGCCCCTACACAGTATTTTCTGATTGAATTGGTGAATATAAACATCAGAAATCGCCAGGAGCCAGCAGCTATTCTAGACATCAGTTAGGTGGCATTGCCCTGGGGACGCTGCAGCTGAGAGTGGAGAGGAGAACTCAAAGGAAGGAAAGTTAGTCTTAGAGTTTTTGGTAACTACCGGGTTTTGTGCTTACAGGCTGGCATGGAGGGAGATTAATTGTGTTTGTCTGAAAGGTTGGTGAAAGGGAGCTTACACCGAGCAGAGCCTGTGTTGAGATTCCTGGAGTCTGAATCGTTGTTCAGCAACTCCAGTAATACAGTAAAGAGCAGGCCTACAGTTTTTAAAGCATATATTGAGTCAGCAGTTCTGCATCAAGACAATACAAAGGATTGATAGGGTTAAACTGTAACCAAAGAGAGGGGAAGCAAAATTCTCCTTAATCCTAGGATGTATTTTCTCAGCTGTACACGAAATTAGTTGTGAGCTCTTAATGGTGTATGATTGTTTTTTACTTGCAGGTTCCCTTATGTATTTAAATGAGGCCACTCTCCTTCACAATATCAAAGTTCGGTACAGTAAAGACAGAATTTACGTAAGTATTACGTGTCATCATGACCACCAGTCTAATGATAGATGTTCTTTCAAGAAATCAACAAAACAAGTGTTTCCAATTCTATTTTTTTCCTATAACAGAAACTAAACAGAAATGGTAACATTGGAAAGTTAGGAGGTTTTAAGCCCTCTTTTTTTGTTTTTTTGTTGGTGTTGTTTGAGATCTGAATCACATTAATCACATTGTTAGCTGATTTTTACCAGGCAGAGCAATAGATTTTTCTCTACATGACTGTTCATGTGCAACCGTAGGACAGTGTTGTGTCACAGAGGTCTGTTCCTACAGGTAACTTACTTTGCCAGTAGAGTAGCTGTTAACAAAGATGGTTTTCTTTCTTCATTATTTTTGAACGAAGCAAACAGGTGCCGTCTTTGACACTTCCTAGCTCAGATGTCCATCTTAATCTTTTATATTGCTATCAAATTGCCTAATTGTACTTAATGAATTCTGACTAAATTACATTTTGTCCTTGCCATCTGCCCGGACACTGACAGCTGTGAAATAGAAGAAAGATAAGCGTTTTCTTTCTTACTTTTTTCTAATAGAAAGCTGGCTAGTGATAATACAAAACAGTTCCACATAGTTTCTAAGTATCTGTGTTAAGATAATCAATTTCTGTGTTAGCATGCTGTTCTAAAATTAATTGGAGTTAAACCTCTTTTTATATGTATATAAAAGGAAAGTATAGTTGTTTTCTTTTGTTGCAGTTAATTTTACATAGCTGAAAATTCTTTATGGCTCAAGATTAAGCATGAGCTTTAAAATAAATAAATAAAAATGGCCATTTAAACACTGTCCTGGAAAAATTAAAAAACCAAAACAAAACAACACAATCTTCCAAGGAAGTAAAATTCTAAAACTGAACTTGTTACGTGGTAGGATAGTATTTACCTTCATAAAGCCTTAATTAATTTTAAACAACTACAACTAATATGTTGTCTTGAACAGGTGCATTTTCAGGGGGAGGATGTTCGATTTATGTTTTAACTACTTTTCCTTTGTAACTTTAAGATACAGTTTGAATCAACAGTTTGTTTTTGTTTTTATTTTTTTTATTTTTATTTTTTATTTTTAGTTTAATGCTAGTTAACAGCATTTGTCTTGTCACTAAAAGGAAAACTGTTGTTGGTACTTGCAGCTTTCAACGAACTCTGTGCATATGTTTCCTTCAGTGAAATAAGTGCTGAAAATAGAAGCATCTAAAAAAATTTATGTATGTGATCCAGGCTTCTATCACAACATATGATAGTGTCCAAATTTTAGTTGTTGAAAGATATGCTCAGTAACAACAAACCAAAAAAGTTAGTCAATCTGAAGGTTTATCTGGTTTTCTTCATACCTTTTCCTGCAAATCTGCTTATTTCTGTGAATCAGACACATATTCCTTGTATATAATCTGGCCATTAAAACCACTATGAAAGTGTTTTTCAGGAACTTTAAAAAAAACTTATCTTCAGTCTTCCTTATCCTGTGGAAAGGTAAAAAGTAGTCTTGGTTTGAGATTCTTCTCAAATTCCTCCTCTGTGAGAGATCATTTACATTCTGTATTTCTCACTGTGTAGGCAGCCATAGCTAATTTCTCTTGGCTGAATGCTTTTATTGCCTGGCTTGAGCGTGTTCCCAGGCAGGATCCTGTCAGTCCTTCCTGCTGAGCCACTTCCATTAGATATTGAAAAATTATCCTCCTCACTGGAGGAGAGTGCGTTATGCTAGCCAGGACTTTATTCACTTTTGAAGAGGAGGTTGTGGTGTCTTATACTTGATCCAGTAACTCAGACAATATGAAATAATTTTAAATGAGATTGAGAGAAAGATCAAATTCAGGACATGCTCCACAGCTTAGTGGTTAGGAAATTCTCCTGAGAAATGCATTTTCATAGAAGTCCTGAGAAGATAATTAGAGGAACTCTGAAAATATATCCCTTCTTGTATCTGCATTATCTGGAGAGAATTGTAAATGTAATTGTTATACTTAGGCTATAGTCTTCATTAGTAGTAGAAAATGGCTGTTAACCACTTGGTTGGATACTAGCTAATAGTTTGCTGTTAATTGTTTTCTTCACAGACCTATGTAGCCAACATTCTTATTGCAGTGAACCCGTATTTTGATATACCTAAGTTTTATTCTTCAGAAACTATTAAAATGTACCAGGGTAGATCACTTGGGACATTGCCACCACATGTTTTTGCTATTGGTATGTATTAAGCCTGTATTTGTCTTTTACAAAAACAAACGTTAAATACTTTACAATTATCCATAAACTGCCACCTGTAACAGTAGTTAATTTACTTTAAACTGTTATAAAATAAAAGCACTGATTGCTAAAATTGCAAATCTTCTTATCCTTGTTACGTAGTTGGAAGAATTTGGAAATTAGCAACCCTGGCACCCCTGTTGTTATTAGTCTGTACCTCCGGTGTTTTATATCTAAGCGGTTTAAATATAATTTACAAACAAATAAAAAAAAAAAAAAAAGAGATTTTAGAAGCCAAGAATGACATAATTATGACTGACACTGTCTTTCAGTGCAGTGATTTCCTTTGCCTTTTATTATGACAAGAAAACTACCGATGTTTTTCTAAGCTTCCTTGTCTCAGATCTTACAGAGTGCAACTGAAAGTTTCCCTTTAAAGGACACATTAAAGTAAGATCAGTTACAATTTTGTAAATACATTTAATTCAAGAGATTTAGTTCTAGGTGGTGGTTTTTGTTTTAGTTTGTCCTGGATATAGTTGAGTAGGTCTTTGTTTTCAAAGACTCTAAGCTTTAATGAGTGTTTGAGGGTGAACAATGAGAATATAATTTAAAGGGATACAGACTTTAATAAATGGTAATGCACTCACTTGTAAAGATGTACTTTTTCATTCCTGAAAATGTTACATTTTAATTTTTGTGTTGTAGCTTAACTTTATGCTTGTAACTCTCCTGAATATTAATTTCTATCATGTTTAACGTATCCTTCTTTTTAAGCTGATAAAGCATTCCGTGACATGAAAGTGCTCAAGATGAGTCAGTCCATCATAGTCTCTGGAGAATCGGGAGCTGGCAAGACAGAAAACACTAAATTTGTTTTGAGGTTTGTACTTTTGAACCAAAGTTATTCGATGAAGTTTTTGCGTTGATGCGTTCGGTTGGCATACAGACAGAGCAAACCGTTAAGTAATCAGTAGGTTTAAGCCACAATTCAGTAAGATACTTCTACGTATACTTTAACACAAGAAATTCATAGGGTTAAATTTAAGTGCTGACAAGATAACATATGTAAATGGCTATATATTCACAGAAAACTTAACTTGGTTTTAGTGACATCACGTAGTAGTTATGGTTTGTGTTGCAGTAGTTTTGGTATTGCACGTCTGGTATCGTGGTAGATAAAAACATAACGAGGCATTTTAAATGTAGGTTGCAAAACACTGTTGGTTTTGCCATAAATGTGCATTTCTTTGTTTTCCTTGTCTTTGTTTCTTTAGTTTGCTTAAGCATCCAGGGTTTTTAACTCTTGATTTTGAAATCACTGCAGAGATTCTGTAATATACTTTACCCTAATTTACTGAATAAGATTGAATAATGGGATTCATTTATATATTGATGCTCATGCATGGCCAATACTAAATCAAGCATATTAAACTACATGGAGGCCGTGTTGCTGATGATCTATCCACCTTGCTTCTTCTTACATAGTTTTAATGGTTTTGACCATATTTGGTTTATACTTTAACTGCTTTAAATCACCCTGGAACTTTGTAACTGGAAATCACTGCTCCATTAAATTCACCTATATCATAGGTGGCCTGATTATCCAGGGAAGCACAGTCCATGCAGTGTGAATATGTTCCCTTTCCCACCTTGTCCTCGTTTCCCAGTATAAATCTTTAATTCCTTTTCCCTGACATCATGTATTCTCCAGTATGTATGTACAGTAGCGGTATTATGTTACACATCCCACGAAGAATTGTCACGGCTGTTTGTCCTTCATACTACTCTTCTCTGCCCCTGTGCAACCTTTAACAGGTGTAGGAATTATGACAAGGTGCTGGTAATGATTTTTACAGGGGACATCCTAACTTTGATCCTGCTGAGAGTCAGAATAGATGGCAGGTGCTGAGAGAACATATGAGGAATGCTCTCAAAGGAGGTTATTCTGCTGTTTCTCGGCAAAGGAAGTTCTGATTATACAGGGGGCAAATATTGGTGTTGCTAATTCTCCCCACCACCTGCCCCCATAGAGTCCATGTACAAAACATTACTGAGTTTTAAAAGCAGGAAGGTTTTTCACTTGTGTGAACTGAAAGCAAAAGGTACTAATACAGCTCTGTTAGTGCTCCTAAATTTTTTTTTTGGAAGGCCCTACTTTTGAGAACTGTTTTTAACTTGTCCCAGATTTACTTGTGAATTTCCAGAAAGCATGCCCTGTGTGCAGGTCAAAAAAAAAAGAAAGCTGCAACTTTGGAGCAATTACATTGTGGATTTATTTTCATATTCTTTCTTCAGTTGCTAAATTGTGTCTTACCTTGATTATGCACCTGCAGTTTCCTATTGCACCATCTCCATGTGGGATTTTTATTAACACTGTTGTGAACACAGAAGCTGTATGCATGGAAACAGTCTTTAATTCAGGAAATATATATGAAACTATGCGTTTACTAAGATTAATAATACATACAGATAGTACAGTAATAGTTTCATCATTTGTATAAAGGTGTAATTTCCATATGCATGCCTAGAAGAAATTTTATATTTGAAGTATTGAAAAAATCTGGTCTGCAAGAATATTTTTGTTTTAATGAAAAAGAAAAGTCAAATTGCATTTATTTTAGTAGATACAAGTATTCGTAACTTGTATTCAATATGCTTTCCCTTTAGTAGATGGTTAGTAAGTGTGGTACACATACATGATAAATCCTGTTGAATTGCGATAACCTGACACATGAAAGATACCGATACCTTTACCTTGCTTTACAGGTATTTGACAGAATCCTATGGTACTGGGCAAGATATTGATGATAGAATTGTAGAAGGTACTGAATTTTCTTTAATTGAATTAAAGGTTCCAATGTGTGTGGTTTTTTTTTTTTTTTTTTTCAAAACCTAAAATATCTGTGAACAGTAACTAAATAAAAGCTGGGATGGAAATAGTATCAGACTTCCAAAGGTATCCCTTGTTGGTAATTTACCTCAATCCTAAATTCTGAAAACGTTTTTTATTTGTGATTATTTTTATTTAGTATCGTGCCATGTAGTCCTTGATATAGAAAATGTTTAAGTGTGTGTTTGAGTTGAACTTCACACACATGTGTACCCAAGATTGGATTTTATGCTGTAAGAAATCTGCAAGGACAAGATCCTATTGTCATTACTATCTGTTAGTACCAGGGAAGAGTAGTTCTTCTTCCTCATCATAAAGTTTTCAAACCCAGGTAAAGCAGGGAAGTTCTTTTAAATTATGGTTCTGGGTCATTTTTCTGTTAAGGTTGTTTTTTGTTTTTGTTTTGGTTTGGTTTGGTTTTTGTTATTGTTGTTTTGGGTTTTTTTTTATTTGTTTTTTGTGTTTTTTTTTTTTTGTGATAAAGCATATAATTAGGATTAACACTTTAATTGTCTTTATAATAGACTCCCAAACAAGGTCAGAAGAGACTGTGCTGATCATCCACTTGAGCCTCTTTAACGTTGCATACACTTCCTAATTGAACAGAAAATAACTTTTTGAGAAAATACAAATATCTCAGAAACAAACAACACTCAGCCAATCTAATAATGCCTCGTCAGTTTTAGTCTTCTTTAGTAGATTTATTTTTTAATTTCATTACCCTGTCTTTTTCTTAAACCAAACTTTTTACTTTTGCTTTAAATTTTTTTGTTTTCAAGTTTGAGCCACTGGATTATTCAAGAGAACTATTGCAGGCTTTAATCTGTTCTTGCAGCAGGTTTGCTTAAACCAATTCCTTAGTGAAATCCACTGTGTGCTAAAGGAACTCAGAAAATGGCCAAGAGTTACATAATGCCTGACGCAGTATGCCATAAAATGAATCAGTACTTGTAGGTATTCTTAGAAAAGTTTGGGGTTTTTAATCTAACACAGCATCTGATGCATGATTTTTGAAGTTTTTTAGGCACAATTTAATAAGCATGATTACAGCATATGTATTGCTAGAGGAACCTTTAACCTATCTGAAAGACCTCTTGCATTTTGTTTTTATTCATATTATTTTTTCTAAACTGCTAATATTATGTAAAATACCTGAATAGTTATCAAAGATCTCTTAAGAAGTCAGTTTTGAAAGTCAGATTTTTATTTTCATAAGCTTTAAGTATTAAAAAAATGAAAACCTAGCCAAACCAGAAAAGTTAATGCTGCTGATGTCTTACAAATGATGCATTATCATCCATAATTTATCCAACCACTGTATTTATTCCTTCATTCTTTATTTTTTTTTAGGAGCAGATTTGTAGATGGTTGTTGGTGGAGATTTAAATTTCGAGTTTCTGCTCACTTAGTTTCCAATGCATATTTTTTTTTAGCTAAAAGCCTTAAAAAATTCTTGCAGTTATCTTCAATGGTTTATTGTTAGTACGAGTCAGTAAATGAGTTTTCTTTGATCTTCAGAGCTAGTAAATGCAGTCTTTCAGAGGCCTTGTGTTTCATAACTACTAAGCATTTTCAAACTGCTTGAACTGTGCATGATGTGGAGAGAGAGAGAGAGAGAGAGAGAGAGAGACAGATAGATGTGTTAGATTGCTGCCACTCTTTCTCTGTGGGCTTTAAAGTGCTTGGAAACTTCAGCCAGTAAAACATAAAATCACTCAATCACTTAATTGACCTAATTTGAAAGGGCATTCTTAAACTGTTTTTGAAATCAACACACCCTTCTAATACGTTTTTTTTTAATTCCCTAATCAATCTGACATGTTGCATGCATGACATTTAAGTGGCACTGTTGTCTGTGGGATAAGTGGGTAGTTTAGATTTTATGAATAACAGCTCATTGGGAAGTGTCAAATTGTGTGTTGTCTCATATAGTTTATGTATCAATTAGTTACCTACTTGCTGTAGAACAACATCACCAAATAATTTTTGGTGTGTGTCTCTGAATTTCTTACACTATTGATTCAAATACTTTTCATTGTTATGTGATATTTAAGTACTTCATTGTAAATTCCATCACAGTACATCCAGTACAGTTTGTAGAACTGATTATTCCTAATACGTGATATTTTTCCTTTAATTTTCAAATCCAAATCTTATTCCCAATAAGTTCACTGAATAATTAGTATGTATTTGTTCTCTCTTTCTTTTTGGTAGTTTATTGATCAGATTTTAACACTTTAAAAATTTTAATGTTTTAAACAGCAAATCCCCTATTAGAAGCCTTTGGAAATGCAAAGACTGTTCGCAACAACAACAGCAGTCGTTTTGGGAAATTTGTAGAAATTCACTTCAATGAAAAGGTACTGGAATTTAAATACAGATAACCGGTGATGATTGATTTTTTTTTTTTTTTTTTTTTTTTTTTTTTCTTGTCATAAAATGGTAATGCTAGACTGGAAGTAGGCTTAATAGACTTATTCATCTTACACCAAATAGCTACTGTCCTGCTTTACAGATATAGGTTGTATTTTATGACCTTGAAAGGAAAACCAAAGCCACACAGTACTGCGTCACTACTGGAAAATGGTGGGTCAAGTCAGTAGGAAAATTGCTTCCATCCAAAATAGAATAATATAATACGCAAATATAATATGCAAAAAGGCATATCTAAAGAATAACTTACTTGCTGTTAAGTATTTATGCATTCCTTTAATGCACAAATAAGTGTGAGTTGCATATTAGAGGTAAACAGATATAAATGTGTTTTAATGCTTTAATACTTTAAATGACTTACAGATGTGTGTATGTATTTTGGGACCTCACGTTAGTATTATGTATGTGACAGAAGTCAGGGAATTGTTTTTTGTCAGAAATACTATTCACTGTGTAACTTATGAAAAAGTTACTTTGCTTGGGTGTAGTTTTGCTTGGATAGCATACCTGTATACACATTCCACAATTTTGGATGACAGTATAGCTGTCCAGCATGTCCAAGTTGAAGACTTTTGTCCACAGTCCCGGTCAAGATAGTGTACATGCCTCCTCATTTTTCTGATTGAGCACTTAGGAACTGCAAGAATTTGTTTCTTTTCTTCCTGCAGAGTTTTAGCTCATCATCTGGTCTTGAGCTTGTGGTCTTTTCCCAAGTTTTTGTCCCTTAGTTCTCTAACTAAACTTAAGATCTTTGGTTAATAGTTTAGATAGTAAATAATTAAATTCCTTTAAGGGTAGAGGGACTTTATTTCTTAGTCTAGTTCATGTTCATAAATATCTGGAAAGGACCCAGATTTCTACTTGGAATGATGCATTCATGACCTGTCAGTTTATCTGTCAACACTTACAGGGTATTTCAGATTAATTGCTTCAGCTGAAGCAAACAGCACTAAAAAGTATCTTCAGAAACTGCTTAAAAGCTTGTTTCAGCTTTCCAGGGCAAGATGAGCCCGTTTATTTGATCCCTTTTTTATAAGACTTCATACTTCACAAGACCTCACTTTGTGGTGACCTTATTAGGTCTGATTTCTCAGAGGAATATATGTACAGACTGGGGCCTTCTGAACGAATGAATGACTGCATAACCATGGTGAAATTTGTCAGTCAGTAAGTCCTTATTCATTGCTGTAATGGCCATAAGCTCAGGAGTTCCCTTGCTGTTAAGATTTGTCTAGGCACAGGGAATTTTATCACAGACCGGATAACAAATGGCTTTCAAAATCTGTGTCAGACCCTTCTTTTAAGAGGAATGTATGTATATGCAATACATGAGCTGGGGGGAGAAGTTACAGAGCAGTGTCTGTTGAGCAAGCCATGATCAGACACATCTAAATTGAAAACTTCTGAATCTCAGACAATCAGAAAAATATTTCTTCTTCCTAGAACTCGGTGGTTGGTGGATTTGTATCGCATTACCTTCTGGAGAAATCTAGGATCTGTGTGCAAGGCAAAGAAGAGAGGAATTATCATATCTTTTACAGACTTTGTGCTGGTGCTCCAGAAGACATTAGGGAAAAACTATATCTAAGCTCTCCTGACAACTTTAGGGTGAGTATCAGAGTCAGTGTTTGTAAAACTTCTCATATTGCCATACGTGGATTTTTCATATAGCTCGTATTAAAATCTCTATTTATTATCTTCGACAGACTCTTTCCTGTTACAAAAATCATAAGATGTTTTTGTTAAATCTGTTTAATCCTGAAATAAAGCTGCCTGACATTTTTCCTTACTGGAAGATTTCCTGTACCTTTTCTCTGTCTTAAAATTGAGGAATCTGCTTTTTCCAAAAATGTACTGTTGCATACCCAGCTGCTAGTAATGTTGTTATGGGCTCTTCTGGAGGTGTAAAGTGTGAATTTCTTGATTGTGATCTAACTGTTCTGTGGGTAGCCCATCTTTTAAGTCCTGAAAACTGCATTTATTTCTTCCTATTCCAACCATGTGTTTAGGAAGACCTAGTTGTCCCATGATTCTCTCTCTTAAATTGTTCTTCCCTTACGCTTCCCACCAAGGATCTTACCATGGTGACAGGGTGGTTGTGCTTCTGTGTTCCAGTCCATGTGCTTTCACATCACTTGTCTCCTACTCTGTTGCACCTTGTTGTTCCTATCACGTTATCTCATTTGTACTACTTCAGTTTTGAGCTTCTCCCATTCTGTGTCATACTCCTGTCATTCCTGGTCACTCCAGGTTACGTGATAAGACTCACCAGTCCCTTTCAGCTGAAAGCTGTCTCTTTTATCTCCAATTTACCCAAAGGTCATGCTCAGCTCTTCCTGCCAAGATTACTTCTATTCATTAAGCATGGTTCTCCCTCTTAGGTTTTTTTCTTCACCTAATTTATTCTTTTCTGAGGACTACTCACTATTTCAGAATTTTGGCTATCTTTCCACAACTTGTTACTGGTCCAGTCAGTCAAGTAATGGAGAAGCCAATAAAATGCAAATAAAATCCGTGTTGAATGCAATATTCCTAACTATATCTTAAATGAAAGTGAACTTAAACAGTGGGGAAATAAGGTTTGAATCACTGTGCATACTTCTTTAAAAACGTTAGGTTAATATGCAGTGGCAAGGAAGAAGCAGAGTAGAACTTTAGGAGTTGTTAGGAAAGGAAGGGTGGATAAAATAGTGAGTTATGCTGCAATGTACATCCATATTTTTAAATAGCATACACAGTTTTGTCATCCCAACTCAGCAGGGAATAGTGAAGTCCTTGGGTGAAGCAGAGGTCATGGTTGAAGACAAGCTCTTGAGTAGTATGGACCTTTTAATTCAATCCACTATGCCTGTTCTTATGACTTCTGATTTGTTTACTGCCTCCCCTTCTTATCTCCATGCTTTATTTTTAGGGGTTTTGCCCTTTTCTGAAATTATGTGGTTTCTCACAGTTAATCCTGATTCTGTATTATGTTTCTAGTAGCAATCCCACAAAAAGACTGTCTTTCTGTCCTACCATTACGTTCTTGCATTCTTTTCCTCACATTTTTCCTCTGAACAGTTTTACTACTACATTTTAACTTTTTAAACTATTTCTTCCATCTCTCCTTCTTTCTCCATTCTCTATGTTCAGATTTCACTGAATTGTTTTCAGAAATGATTGACAAATAACATATTTCCTTTTGCTTTCTTTCCTTCCTTGTCAAATTTTTTGTTTTGTTTTCTGTTTGCCTGAGTGACTCCAACCTTATTTCCCTTATTTTTAAATTCTCTTTTAATTTCTCAGTGTTACATCTCGATTATGCAGTACTTTTTTTTTCTTGAGAAGATAATATTATTGAGTTCTTATTCAACCAGTGCAGCTTTACTGATATAGCTGTTTCTCTCATTGTTTTCCTGATCGTCTCTTCTCTATCTCTTCAAAGCAAGCTTTTGCCATGCCTTTCAATGTCCTTCTAAGCCTATTCACATCTTAGATTGTCATCACCAATTTTGCTAGTAAGGTGAAGACTCTTGCCTTCAGTCATTCATTCCTGCTATTTAATTATGTATAAATATATATATGGGTTTTTGTTTTGTTGTTCTTTTACTTTTGACAATCACACTTGAACTGTAAATATCTGTGAATATCATGATGTGCTTTGACTGGCATTGAAAAGAAAAATACTGGCAAATCAAATCTTACTGGTAAATACTGGTCAATTGTTTGCTTGTGTTCTGTCATCTGCCTCTGTCTCTCCACTGTCTCATGGCTTATGCCTGGCTTGGAATCTCAAGGAAGCAGAATTTTGTGTATTTCTAAAACACACATACAAAATTCCTGCTGAGAGTTTGGAAAGGTTTTGTAACACAACCCTGGAGAGCATGTGCAATTACAAAAATATAAATTAATTGACTGTCATCTTTTTAGACTTCCTTGATGTTAAATGGTGTGAAAAACAGTGCTAAAGAAGAATTACTGTGTTGATTGTTTTCTTTGTTGGTGTATCTTCGTGCTTGGTTTTCTAAATAAAACTTGGACTGTGCTTATCTATCACTTTCCCCAAAATCTTTTGTACTCAATTTCATCAGAATTCATCAGAGGGCTAGAAGCCTATAAGGCTATAAAACTCCTACTAGTTCTGTGCAAAGTGGTGGTTGTCTAGGTGACACTTAGAGTGCACTCCCTCTAGGGAAGGTGGGTGTGCACCGGTGACAGGACAGGTTGCTGCTGGCTCGGCGTGGCCCAGCCGGTCTCCGCTTGCTGATGAGCCAGGAAGCGGGCACAGAGCTGCCGTTCCGTATTACGTACGTCATACATCTGTGCTGTGGTGTCTAGATGATCTTGCTCCCTAAAAGCCATGGTAGTATTTTAGGACATGTTTCCGTACTTCCTCAAAGGCATTCCTAGGGGCCTTTATGTAGACCTTGTATTATTTCTTCAAATGCTTAGTTTGTATCTTCTTATAGTTCATCTATTTGTGCTCAGTTGTGCGATGGAAACTTGATCTGATGCTTATTAAGAAGGAGCTGCTTCTGTGCTCTAGAAGGAAAGCTTTTCTTTTGAAACACACAACAAACACAATACTTTAAAAAAAAAAAAAAAAACAAAAAAAAAACAACCACTATTTGTTTTCATATAATATGGAGGTAGTTTTCAAAACTTTTTTCTTTACTGTAAAGTTATTTATTCCATGCAGTATTCTCATGTGTGTTTTAAAGCTAAAATCTTGGAACTAATTTTCAAATATGTATTTTTACTGTGCAGCCACTTTTCCATTAAAACTTCTTGCAGTTAATAGATTTTTAATTCTGGAACTGAATGTGCTGCATGCCCGCTCTTGGGGATATTTTTAATCAAAAACTCTGTTCATGAGAGCACACAAGGTTGTAGATGTCAAGGCCAGAATTATAACCTGCTTAAAATCAGGGTGGTGCAGTACAGTACTGAACAGCCTGAGTGCCTTTACAGAAGGCACTCACTTGTCTGTTTCAATTATAAAGAGTTAACAGTCACACCAGCCTTATCACACTGTGATGTAACTTTTTTGACTTCTACTAAGTTTGCAATAGGTACTTTCATTTCCATTAAGAATACTTACTGCTTTGCCATAAATTAGTATTTGAATCCTGAGTTCCTTGCATGTGAGAGAGCCACTCTGCATGTTAAAATTTAAAATTTTAACATTTTTTTTTAATTAAAAAAAGTTAACTTCTGAAATGTTGAAAAAAATTTTTTCTTGTCACTTTGTTTTAATATTAAATTTGTCACCTAGTTTTCTTCTGCTTTGGAGAATATTTTGCTTTTTGGAATTTTATATATGAGTTTTAATCAAAGGGTAGAATTATCTGTGTTCACCTAGCTGAAAACTTCTTTGTTCATGGGCTGGCTAGAGCAAAGAATCAGTTCACTTCCTTTAGACAAAGGGCTCTGTTCAAGCTTTTGGACAGAGTTTGTTCTTTCAGCTGAAGAAATCAGGAAGAAAAAGCTGGTGATCCCATTTTTCTTGAAGTGTCAGTCATTATCTCAATGCTTGGTTGATTCCCTTTACTATACAACATGAGATGGATGTAAGAAGCCAGATTCTGAATTAGGTTTCTGCTTGTACCATGTTACAAGTTCTTAATACTGTTCAAGTTTTGTAATACACTACGTCTCTTACTAGCTACAGAGATATTTCACTGGTGAGGAAAAAATGAGTAAAGTTTGTTATTCCACATAAGCCAGAAAATTTATTTTCTTGGTTCCTAATTTTGATTGTTTAGTAGAGTCAAACTTTAAGAAAAGATTGTGGGACTTGGCAAAATTAATATCCCACTATGTCAGAAAGTATTGTAGTTGTCAAAATTGAGAAGTTTTCAATGAAGATTGTTGCTGTTGCAGTTCTGCAATTTTGTAGATGTAAATAAATACATTTTCAAGGTATGAATTTTGAATACCTACCGTGTTGGTATCATGATTAAATCAAGCTATGTAGAGCAAGCCTTAAATAAAAGCATGTGTTTTCCTTACTTCTGTCTTTAAATATGCATTTCAACTTCTTTATTGTTACAGTATTTAAATCGAGGCTGTACCAGATACTTTGCTAACAAAGAAACAGACAAGCAGATTTTGCAGAATCGCAAGAGTCCTGAGGTATGTTTGTATCTTCAGTTTATATTATTAACTAATGCAGATAGAGTTGAAAAATGATGATTACAGTTTTACAGTGTGGAATGAAATGTTCATTTTGCACATCTTTATAGGTTTAAATGGGTACTGTCAAAGCTGATATATTCAGAACTCTGGTTTTGAAGTTCAGTCCTAGAAATACATTTTGACATGCATCTTAAAATCCCAAATGAAACAGTATATAAAATGTTTCCTTTTCATTCTTATGATAATATAACACTTAATGATTCAGTTTGTCTTCTGTGGAAAACAAAAACCTGTTCAAGAGTTTTTGTAATTTTCTTTTTAAATCTTACTACTGCTAGTAATAGGTCAGAAGCAGTAGTTTTTTCCAGAGCTATTTTTACTGTCTGGATTTTTGAAGTGATGCGCCAAACTGGTTTAAAAAAACATTAGTGCAATTTCACTTACAGCACGAGTATATCCCCCTGTCCGGTACACTGGGTTCTTTATTGTTTTTTGTTGTCTCCTTGCTATGAACTGTTGCTTACTCGGAGCATGACATTTCCTGGAAGAAAGCGTGAAACTTCAAAACATTTCTTCCCTATTGCTCCATCCCTGTTTACATTTTTTTAAAACTGGAATGACCAGAATTGGTAGCACTTAAGCCTTTGAACTTGTTCGCATGAGGACACTAAGGAATTTAATGGAGTGTTTAAACAACTTCCAATTTGAATATACTATTAATTCAGATTAAATTTCTACTCTGCTCTCTTAATACAATTTTCATCTATTCATGCCTGAGGTATGAACTTCTCATTTAAATAGCTGGAAGATATTTCAAATTTTAATCAAAACCGTACTTGGGATTCAGTAGCTGGGCAAGATGCGTATACATGTGGAAAAATACAGAGATTACTTTACTCAAGATCTTCTCTCCCCCAGTGACCAGGCCATCTTTTACCTTTGAGAACTTGGTCTTGAGCTTGTACATAGCTTGTGCCTAGCAATGAGAGACAGTATAGGTACATCTTTGCTCAAGTCAACATTGTAAAGTCTACTCCTGGATTTCTAGTGTTCCCGTGTTGTAACACTGAACACATAATGCCTATTTCTTTTGCTTGAATGTAGGCTTTTTTCTATATTCAGGGGTGGTGGAGAGTGAGATACAGAAATGCTGATCGGCTACTACAGTGAGGCAGAAAGCTGGTAGATACTTAATTCTTTTCAAGCATATAGGGTAAGAGATGGTTGGGAGATTTTGCCTCAGTTTACCTGGTTTGCCTTACTTGACGATTTGTAGTGAAATTGGTCATTTACGTAGGCGTAAAGTACGAACATTAACTTATTCGTGCTGCTGGAAGATGAACCTGTGCCATCTTCTGTTACTGATGTGATTTACAGGCGGGTGTCCTGTCATAAAACGTGTCCTCTAAAGGTCTTAATTTGAAATAAGTGTTTGTCTAAATTAAAACATGCTGAGAGAACCATTCTGAAAATGTGTATTAGGCAATAAGTAGTGGAACATATGATGTCACAATACCTATACGTTACAGCCATGTTAATTTGAAGGCCCAGTAAAGGATCAAATTTCAATTACATTTAAACCTAGTCTAGCCGCTTAATCAGGAAATATATTGCATTGTTCATGTTTTTAAATCAGAAATTGAATATTTGCTCTGTCATTTTATGAAAATTACTAAGCTTGTTTATATTAATAAAAGTAGCTGGAATAGTCAATTAATACTTAAATTATTTTTGTGTTTTCCTTATCAGGAAGATGAGGTGATCATTTTACATAATTAAGATGTAGTTTAATTTTATTGATGTGTCTAAATGTTGTGTGAAGTGAATTTTTCAGATGCATGTGGTGGTTTGTTTTGACAAAAATCACGTTAGCTTATTTGACATTAAAAAGGCTTCTATTTGAAGTCAATTATTCTTTTTAATTGAAAACATTTTAAAGTAACTGTAAAAATATAGCTTAGTATGTGCATGTTCAGTTAATCTCTTGATTGCATGCAGATGTGTTACTACTATCTCAACCTGTTAATAATAAAAATTGATTTTAGTGTATTTACATTAGAAAAATCAGCACAATGGTATTTTAAAATGTAGCTGGTATTCTTCTAACCCATAGAACACTGCAAATAACTTTTTTGTTTCTTAATCACCAGCAGACGTTAACAAGTATATTTCTCTAAATAAGTCTGCTTAGGATAGGGCTAACTCTTCCAGTTCTGATTTGTCCTATACTGCTTTCCCATGGCCTGTCAGATGTCAGACTTCCTGTCATCCTCTTACAAGGACCTCAAGCTTCTTTCAACTGCTAGTGGCTGGAAGCATTCCTGTATCAATGCTTAGATAGATCCGTTAGCCAAAGTCTTCCTTTCCACTGCTCAGTATCCTGTATTCCCTTGTCCTCAGCTGTCACATTCTCCATCTTCTGCTTTCTTGAAGTTTACTTTGAAGTTGAAGTTTGAAGATCAGGCTTCAAAGTATCAACAAATTAAAATAAATTAGGGTTCTTGCAAAGCCTGTGTTGTATGAAGAGCTTTCTGTTTAGTTTGGCATGCTTTTTAAAACTTTTTTTTATGGTTTATGCTTGACTGGAAGTAATTGCTTATGTCTACTTGAAAATCACTTACTGAATTTTTGATTTATCTTGTTGTTTTATAGTATCTCAAAGCAGGTTCCTTGAAGGATCCACTCTTAGATGATCATGGAGATTTTAAGAGAATGTGCACAGCAATGAAAAAGATTGGACTGGATGATGCAGAAAAACTCGATCTTTTTAGGGTAGTCGCTGGTGTCCTTCACCTTGGAAATATTGATTTTGAGGAAGCTGGGAGCACTTCAGGTTAGATGAAACATAGATTGTTTCCTGTGAAAATACTGAAAACGTCTCTTGATTACAGATGATTCCATGTCAATTGTTGCTTTAGGAAGCTGCCTTGTGTTCAAGGGTAATTCACCCCTAATTCACCCCATTTTGGAGTCAAGTTTACCTGTTTGTTTTAAAGTTGTACTTTTTTACATGCTCTGAAAGCAAATAGGCTCTCACTGAAAGTATTCAGTGCAAAGTCTGATACAAAGAGAAGAGACATTTCGTGTCTCAAAACCATACTTGTATTTTATTAATTTTAAAAAGTCCAACTCCTTGCTAATGTCATGAAAACATCTTGAAATTAGCAACTCCATCTGTAGGGAAAGGTGCTATGTCCTTTGGCTGCCAAAAATACCATCATGTTGGTATTTTGAGGGGTGAGGGGGAAAAAAGTTACTACAAAAACTTGGGTAAATATAAGCCAAATTTTAAGACTTCACTCACAAGACGAGTTTGTAGGAACGTAGATGGGAATAGTAGCAGAATATGCAGGAAGGCTGAGTAAGGGGAATGAGTATTTTGGAAATGGTCATTCTTACCTTAGTGTGGGAAATTCATGATACTGCCATCTTCATGAAGATGACTGAAAGGATCATGATTAGTGTGAATGCATCTGGGAAGACCTGGGTGTAGAAAAGGGTAGTGGCTTCACGGGGCTTGGTAGTAAGCTGGCAGGGAGCTTCCCTGTTTGGGCCTTCTGTGAGTTGGGACTTTGTGGTTGACAAGGTGAGACAGAGTAAAAAAGGTGTGAATGTGAGCGGAGAGGCAGTTTCAGGAGGCAAGTGAACAAGGAGAGGGGGATCCACAGATGGTGAGGAAAGCCAAGGTTTAGAAAAGGAAGGAGGACATCACTTATTTTCTCTGAATGTTGAAATTCAAACCCATTTTTTTCTGGAATAAATTATTGAACTTCTAAAATGTTCATTGCGAATACAGCCTTTATTCTGCTCTCACCTTGTATGTGTACACACAGGGTGTGCATTTGAACAGTTCCAGGCAGTATGTCTCTTAAGAGACCCTCTAAAGTTCTGTTGCTGCTTAAAAAACTTAGGAAACACCAAACAAAAGCTGTTTACTACAGGTCAGATGGTGTTTCAGAGCTTCCAAAATCAAGTCACAAAAGCCTTAATCTTGTAAGGACTCTTACCTCCCTTTTTTCACTTAATGTGGCTGTGGAGTTAAGGAATTGAAGCAGTGTTTGACCCTTTTGGTGTCTTCACTTACGTGAGAAGTCAATTTTACTGAGAATAACAGAAAGTAAATGAAAACATAATTGTTTAAGTGCTAGGTTTTGCTGAAGTGTTTAAGTGCTTCGGTTGGAGATTTATGAAGCTGTAGGGGCTGGATGAGCGCTGGTGCTGAGGGCATGGTGCGGGGCAGAAGGAGGCATGCCCCTCCGCTGTGTACCTGGGAAAATGTACATACTGTTAGCTGAAAATGGCAGTGCTGGGAGTCTGCCGTGCCAGGCGCTTCTGCTGCATGGCAAGGAACTCTGGAGGGGTACAGGAACATCTAAATCTCAAAGTTTTTAAATTACTGCAGTTAGTTCCTAGGTATTAGCACTTCTGCATTTTGAGGTGGTACTTTCACTTACAAGGAGATTAGATTTTGAACAGCCCATGTTTAGGACAGTGTTCTAGAAGTGCAGAATTTCATGCCTGGTTTTTGGGGTGGCTTTTTTTTTTTTTTTTTTTTGTGTGTTTTGTTTTTTTTTTTTTTTTTTCCTCCGGGGGAGGGAAATTTTTTCTTATTTTCGAGAACTGACTGTTCGCATTTAATATATGAAGTAACTTCCAGAGGCAAACCGTAATTCCTTCCAAGTCGATGTTACTTCCAGCCGTCATGGCGAAGAGAGTCACCAGCTCAACATTTGTCCTCGAACTCTCCGTAAAAACGCCGGCCCGGCAGCCGGTCGGCGTTTTTAGTGGGAGTTCAAAGTGAGGGGGGGAGCGTGTGGGCGGGGGGGGGGGGCAGCCCCGGTTGCCGTTAACGGTAACGGTTGCCGTAACGGTTGCTCGCAGGGGGCTGCACGCTGAGGCCGCGGAGCGAGCCGGCGCTGGAGCGCTGCGCCGCGCTGCTGGGCCTGGAGCCGGAGGACCTGCGCGGCAGCCTCACGGCGCGCGTCATGCTCACCACGGCAGGGGGCGCCAAAGGAACGGTCATCAAGTGAGTCTCGCGCGGCGGCGGGCGGGGGGGGGGGTGTGTGTGTGTGTGGGGGGGGGCGTGGGGTGTGTGGACACGCAGACACACACACGCGTGTTGGCGTCACGTCCACCGTGTGCTGAGGGAGGGGGATGCTGTGAGGGTAGCCGGGGGCTGGGAGCCGCTGACCCCGCCCCGGCCCGGCCCTGCCAGTTGCGCTGTGAGGTAACCGGTTGCTCAACCTCCCTCCCGGCCCCGCGGCCCTTCGGGGCAGGACCCCCTGATGCAGGTTTTGCCCCTTTTCTTACCCGCGGGGAAAAAAAATGGCCTCAGACTCCCGCTTGACCATTTGCAAGTTTGAACTGAGTTGCAGTTAGGGTAGTGCAGTCACTTAAAATGCTTTACTTAATGTTTTACAAAATGTAAATACAAAACCACGGTAATACAAAAATATGAGTGTAGAAGACTAGCAGCAGGCTTACATTGTTAGTCCCTTCAAAACAGAAATAGCATGATACGCCTTTCCATCATGCAAGCGTTCATTTTGAGATGAGAAATATTTAACAGGGTTTTGATGATGTTTTTTGTTTTTCTTTTTTTCCCATTTTACACCAGCTGATCCAAATGCACATTTTTAGATGCTCAGACTGGCTTGTTTCTTTGTTGTTAGGTCATTGGAGTGTTTTTACTTTTATTTGGAAGAGTGGCCGTTGTACATCTGACTAAAATGGCCTTTTTTTCAGGAAAGTAACAGCTCTGAATAAATCTCTATCACATTTTAAAAAACCTCTCACGTGTCAGCGAGTAGGCTGTGTAGCCAAAGAAAGTATAGCAGCCAGTCTGTTAAATCCATAGTTTACATAGAAAATTAGATACGCTAATAGATGTAATGGATACACTGTATCAAGGAATGTTAATACTGTGTCTAAAGTATTTCACAAGATACTTGGGTGCATCTTTCTTGTCATGGGGGCTGCACAGTGCTCCCATGATTGCTGCCCTGTGATAGTAGGTCTGGGATGTTCTAATTAGAGGGTAGTATATCCACCCTTCACAGTGTCTGGGTGATCAGTGTCCCTGTGTTTGCCACATCTAATTCTTCTGAAATAAAGTTTCAGCTTTAAAAACACTACTACAAGCAGTAATCCGGTAGTGTGCTGCTTCTTGCTGTTGCTGGTAAACAAACATTTAATCTTGATTGTGAAGTTAATATCTCATAGAAACATGAAAAATAGTAGAACAGGATAAATTTAAGAGAAAGTTGTTTGTTTTTTTGCTGGCTTGTTTGTGTGGTTTTGTTTTTGTTTTTTTTTTTTTGTTTTGTTGTTGTTTTTGTTTTTTTGTTTTTTGTTTTTTTAGCTATTAAGAACACATCATTATTGAAATATATAGTGACCTTAAAGGGATAATCATTCTTTTTTTCATTTTGAAGAGAAGCTTTTATCAAGGTAACTTCCTACGCACAGAAGTGGGATAGTGATTTCTTTCTGTACACACATGGAGAAGGAATAATTGCAAAGAACATGTTTAAATGTGGTACTGATGGTGACTTTTCGGTACCATGGAAGTTATGACTCCTGTGAAAATGAGTTTTATGAAAATGATTTCACTACAGTTGCCTTCTGTTTATGAAAAAAATCTAGCTTTCCAACTCTGTTTGTGGAACACCACAAATTTTCTCTTGTTGAGTTTAATCCTTGTAGCACACAAGCTGTTAGGGATGCTAGCTAAGCTGCATGCAACCGAATTGTGTATTTTAACATTTGATTTTCTATGTTGTATATTTTCTGGAGTTAGAGAAAACACCGCATCAAAAACTGAACATGTGCTTAACAGTTTTGAGCAAGTTAAAAGTAATTCTCAATGTTCAGCTGAATGCATCAATCTTCTAATTAGGAAACTAATTAACATTCACTTCACCCATTGGAAGAATGCCCTGGTGCTTCTTATGACTTATGGAAACTATCAGATTGTTTTAGTGAATCAGAAATACAACCTTAGGCACATTACACCAGAAGTTTAATATATGAAAGCCATAGTTAATTCTCTGTATTAATGTGTTTTATGTAAGTTCCTTGTATACGTTATGTCTTTTGAAATCTATTGCTATTATCTATATTTATGCCTCACAGTATGAAGTATTTGTTAACATTTCATAAACTTGTGGACTGAAACAAAGTAGCAGGTGATTGATTTAACCTTGGTAGGTCACCCTGGACAGTAAAGGTGGCAGATGTTAATTAATGCATGCTTAGGTTATGCCAGATTTCTGAGGTGAAAAGTTGATCTCTGAGCACTTGAGAGCATTGGCTTTTTCAGTCCCTCAAGGGATGCAGTGGATTTGAGTAGGTTTCCACTGGTCAAGAGCTCATTCTGTGCAAGAGAAGTAATTTTGATCTCTACCTAATTCTAACCAAGAATGGTAAATGAAAAGAGAATAGCTGTGGTGGAAATACTGTTCAGTGCTCGCTTCCTGATCTCCAGGGTGAAACCGATCTTCTTAGCCAAAATTTGAACATCATAAACCATCAGTGACAGCCTGTGCTGTTTGAACATCATGCTTTTTAGGGCAACACAGAAGCTTTTCTGTATTAACTCATACTCAGGAGTCTTAAGTTTAGCATGAATATGGGCTGTTGTTCCAGTAATACATTATTACCAAATAGCTCACCTTTGAGGAGTATTTTTAGATAGAGCAACCAAGTAGATTTCTTGGTGCTCTGCTTATTTCTGTGCTTTGAAAGAAGTTCAAGAGTTAGAACTTCATAGTAACTACCATCGAAAAAGTTATAATGCAGTGACAAATGACAAGTAATATTTGGGGAGGGGTTATTCTGCCTTTAGTTAAAAGCTCAAGATCTAGACCTCTTCATAATAATTTCAATAATGCATTTCTGGAAAGTGATTATAAATTTCTTCTCTCCCCCCCTAGTTATTAGAAACTGGGGACTCTTAATCACTATCATCTTGCTGCATTATCAGCTGATATGGAAATCTACAAGTAATTTTTCTAACAACCTTTATATGTAGGAAGACATGGGTCTTTTGGGACAAAGTGCCTCCAGTGACCAGTATTTTACAAGTTTTACTACTTCCTCTCTTCTAGACCATTTCTAAGTTGACAGCAAAATCTTTGCTATATTCATCCAGGAGAATGTTTACCAGTATTATGGATAATATTCAAGTAGAAAATTATATATTATACAGTACAGGTGGTACTCATATTAACGTATGGCAGTATGAAAATTGCAGGTTTTGGTAGTAACATTTTTCACTTAATTCAGTTTATGATCCACTGTGACTGCTGATCTTCCTCTGTTGACTCACTGCTTAGCTGCTTATTCTCCATCTTGCATTTGTATTTTTGAATTCTCTTAAGTATACCACCACACAGTTTCATTTATCAAAACCTATCTTGTGGATTTTTAGATCAGATCTTTAATTTGTGAAAACAATCCTGAATGCTAATCTTGTTACCAAGATTTTATGCTTTCTTAGTTTAGTATTACCAGGCTGTTTTTTTGAAATTACCCTTACTTTCACATTCCTTTTAAATGAAAGTGTTAACTAGAAGCAGAGGGGGTTTGAACAAACTGCATCATGTCAGATGCAGATGGCACCCCACTGCAAATGCTCACAGTGAATTATTGACTCAGCTTCTGAGAACAGATTAATTTTGCCTCTTGTACACATAACATATAGATAGAGCATGTCTGTATAGTGTCCTTTTGAGAATGTTTGGTGGGACATACCAAGCCCTAAAGCAAAAGTGTATCTTAATATAATGCTTCTCTTTTGGCACATCTCAAGTGACTCTATCAAGGAAGGTTTCTTAAGAACAAATACAATTTTTGTTACAGCTTCAAATTCACTTTGGATTAAGACTGTAAAAATTTTTCTGTTCAGCATATTTATCCTGATAAGCCTAGGGCGTTGTTAGCAGTGTACTGTTTCAAAAGTCTGCAAACACAAGGAGCTATGTTTTTGTGTCAGCAGATCTTATTTTTCCCTAATATTTTATTTTGTGGATGGAGAAAACAAGTTCAGATGACTCCTTCCACTATCTCAGAGGATTAATGCATTAAGCCTCTTTCTCTACCCTTTTCTAAACTTGTGCAGCTAAAAGCAAGTATGCGCTTATAAATGCACTAATGTCATCTTCTTGTCTGGCATACTGCATGTACAAGATAAACGGATTGGACTGTGTTAGATATTTATTAAATAGCCATCAGGCTTTTCTATGATAGTGCAGTTTAGAAACTATTTGATTGCTTGTCAATATTAGAGTTTTGACAAGAGTGCCGTTTTACTTTGTTCCAGCAACCCAAAGAGCTACTAACTCTCTCTTTCTTAGGGACCTTTTGTGTGCAAGTAGATCATGTGAGTCCTAATAGGTCACAGTGAATAAATAGCTCAGCTGAAATCACAGTGCTCAGAGTATAACAAAGGCTTTGTTCTTCTAGGCACAATGGAGCCAACAAGGAACAGTAGGAGGGAGATGCTAAATGCTATCTCTGTGAATTTTATTAAATCCTAATGTGCAGTGAACTGCCAGGGAGACTTGACAGCTGCACTAGGTTTACGTGTCCTTGTTAGTCTCCCAAGAAACCCCATAATGATCACCTTGTGGGCTGTTGTTTTTGCCATCCATGTAAAGTGTGTTTACGGAGAGAAATAGTGTGTTAGTATTCAAAATCTCATGTACCTTTTAGACTGTAAATGCACTATACTATTCTCTTACTCAGTTTCTCCCTTTCCAAGAAGACTTTAAAAGAGGTCTCCGTTGTGACGAAGTAAATTATTTTACAGTGTGAAAAATTTAACTTACTATATTCCAGGTCTTCCAGTTTGTTTTCGAGTACATTTTCAACCAAAATGCTTTTTTTTTTTTTTTTTTTTTTTTTTTTTTTTGATGGTGGTACTAAAGCCTTTGTTGGAAAACATTGTTTTTTCTTTTAAATATTTTTCTACACTTTTTGGAACTTCAACTTTTCTCAAAATACAAATGTGCTGCTTATATTCCTTAATTACTTACACTTTTCATTAGATAGGGTTATTTCATCCAGGCCATTTTATTTGTGAAGCAGTAACCGTGTTGGATGACAGTAGCTGATGGGTATCCCTTCACCTACTCTTTATCTCTTTAATTGTTGTGAAGCGTGTGCAAATTATACATATTTTAATTGCAGTTTATTTGTTCTGGAAAATGTTTGGGGACTGCATGGAATTGTCCACAGAATAAATCCAGCCCATGAGAGTGCTTTCCTCTAGGCTTCAGTTTCTGTAGATCACTGGAAACCTTGCTGAAGAAATTAGTATGAAGACCAAACAAGGTTTATTGTTGCAGCCTCACCAAATATCTTAGAATTTGGAAAATTTATTCCCTATTCTTTACAAGTAGCTGATGGATGGAGGAGAGGGGGAGGAGGTGAAATGGAGGAAGGAAAATACATCTTTCCTGTTCAGACAAGAAATGGGAGGAGGAAAGAGATTCCTTTGTCAGTGTGCAGACAAGAGGAAAGGTGGAGCTGAGGGAAACCAAGTTCATGAGAAGGAAGTTACTCATTCTGAATGTCAGTTCTGTAATAGGGCGCTTTTGCATCTACTGGCTGAGTGCAATTTCAGCATTATTTTGTGGGTCTGTACTTTCAGCTGTGCAAAATGCATTTCAGGTTACATTTTCTTTCCAGGGGTTTCTGCTGCATACTATGAAATTTAAAATAACAGTAGGGTTTTGTGCGGTCCCTGGAATTCTACTTAATAATGGCAGAATTTGTTATTTCTGAAGAACAGGGCCATTTTATAAACACATGCTGTAGACGTTTGACTGTTTGCCATGTTGTTTAAAAAATTAAATTGAAAGCATAAATGATTTTAGTGTATTGTATTATGTAATAGGCCTGCACCTGACATGTGGGAATTAGTATTCTGATCTCTTAAACGTATCAGAATAGAATGTAAAGGTACCTTCCTTCTATTTATAAGATAAGATTTCTGTCAGTACTCATTACCATAAGATAAGTCAGGAGATACTTAGTGAAAGACAAGACTGTGTGTTAAAGCTAATTACTATCTAAAGTAATGTAGCTGCAGGCGCCCTTAGTGAATGGAGTCTCTGGTTCCCTGACTTAGCAGTCACAATAGAAAGTGATCTCCATCAGTCTCATGTTTCTGCATCAGAAGTATCATCCTTGAAAAAATACAGAAATAATAAATTTGAGTTAGTGTAGTGCTTGTGAATTCTGGGAAGTGAAGGAAATGATGATATATGGGTAAGCTGTGTAGCGTTAAGTTTTTCTTTTCTGACCTGCCAGTTCTTGGTAGTCCTGTGTACAGACAACTACCTGGAGGGGGCGATAGGGCAGTTCTGCAGCAGGGACATCTTGAACCTTGCACTTAGGGCTTACTTAAGCAGTGAGGGAACTTCTCAAGTATGCCGCTAATCTACATTTAAAATACACCTCTTCTCTGAACTGTTTATCCACCACCTTAGCGGGACAGTCTATTCTTTGATTATTACTAATTGATATTGTAGTGCTGGTGGTCCAAGGATATGAGAGGCAAGGTATATGGGAAGAAGTAATATAGGTTATTAAATGGGGAGAAGTGATTTGTTCTAAGCCAACTGATGGAGATATTCAGAAAAAGCAAAAGAGCCTTTGGTGTAGAGCCGTTATCCTGTATTCTTCATGACAGGGAGCACTGGTGTGATAATAGTTTCGACGTTATTTCTCCCCATTCCTCCCTGCAAATTTTATCAGTTTGGTTAGCAAAGACACTCTACCTAAAAATCTCTTATTTTTAATTTATCATTGGATATATCTGTATGTCATGATACAGTGTTCTTCAAAGCCTTTGTGTACCCATAGTTGTTCTAAATTGTAGGCCTTCTTTCCATGCATGAAATTTTGATACTGTCTGGTCAAGGGGCTATCAGTATTTAAATTTAATTATTTTCCCTTTGTATTTAAATATTTTTTTTATTCATATGTAAAAATCCTTTGGAAAGTTTTGATTTTTGACAACCTGATTCTGTTCAGATTAGTGAGACTTTTGCTTCTGAGTTCTTTGGCAACACGATTGGGATCTATGGACAGTTTGCAATCATACCATAAAAGCTGAAAGTTCATTTTTCATACTTCTGTTGCATTGTTAAACACGTCCTTAAGACTTTATCCATGTATCAGTTACCTTCTTCTGGAGAGTTCTACAGGTGTTTCCTCAGCTGTGTACAGTGTAATTGTTTTTAGTTTTGGTACTCATAACTGTTAATCTGAAACCTATTTTAAAAAAAGTCTCGTAGAATGTATTGATCCAGGAAATGAGGCACTGAAAGGTGCTTTGAAACATATGCATTCTAAGCATGTCGCTGTCATCCTGACTTTAGGAAATAGCTAGATATGTATTATTATATGTATAGCTAAATATGTAGTTATATTTGCCTAATATTCCCACAGTTTTGTCATGCATTTAATAGGCTTTGAAGTAGTGACTCATGTTTTTTTTGTTGTGTTGTTTTTTTTTAACTGCTAAACTAGGATATAAACTTGTAATAAGTAGTCACAATGCAGAATAAAGATTTACAAATGAGGTAGGGAGAATAAATTCTCATCCCTTAAAAGACCCCTTCTCCCACTGTTTAAAAAGAATTCTTATTTTAGGGTTGCATATAACTTTCACCATGAGAATGCACTCCCTCATCTCTTTTTTTTATTTTTGTTGCCAATTAACTTACAGCCTTTTAGTTTTAATTATAAACATTATGAAAATATAGAGACAAAGATGTCAGAGCAAAACTGAACTATAGGTTTTATTGTAATTAGGCAGCTCATAAATAAGTAGTTAAAATATTTTTTGCAGATGGGAATGTATATATATTTTAAATACCTTTCTCTGGCAATTATCAATATAATTTCTAATTATCTATTGAACGAGTGTGAAAACATCTGCATCTCACTTCTACTGAGGATAGTGAAGCATTATTTCTTTTTACAGGTTGGATAGTTAATCTAACTTGGCAAGCTCATTTCCTACCTGGGCCTAGAACTTGGGCTTTTTTGTGTCCTAATTTACAATACTTGGAAAAGGCTCTTTTTAAATTTATAGTCTAATCTCAGTATTTCATAGTAAGGAATTCTGAAAAATAAGATCTGTATTTTTGTTTTTTTAGGGTACCCTTGAAAGTGGAACAAGCAAACAATGCTCGTGATGCCTTGGCTAAAACGGTGTACAGTCATCTGTTTGACCATGTAGTGAACAGGGTAAACCAGTGTTTTCCATTTGAGACTTCTTCTTTCTTCATTGGAGTTCTAGATATAGCTGGTTTTGGTAAGTATACTTAAAAAAAAAAAAAAAAATTTGTATTTGTCTATTATTGCCACCAAAGATTCAATGGTAAATTCTGTAATGGAGAGCGGGAGGGTTTTCTTTTTGATGGTGGTGTGTGGGATGGGTTATAAGGGCTTAAGAAGGTATCAAGAGAGCAGATAAAGACTCATTCTCCTGAGTTATAAGAATGTAGAGGAGATCTAGAGCTTCTCCTTATGACTTAATAACTCTAACAAGCGTTAGTGTCAAACTGGATATCTTTGTAATGGTTTCAGATTCCAGCAGTGTCTATATAGACAGTTTTTGAATGACTCAAATTTGGAATGGAATCTTACTGTGGCCACCTGGTAAAATTAGGGAAGGTATTGCATGTGAATGCTGTTTTCCCATTCAGTCCTGAGAAGATCCGTGCATACTGACAGGCAGGCAAATAAAGTCTCTGAATTACGGTAGTGTTTGCTAGAGGCTGGATAGTTCTGTTACACAGTTGGACTTTGAGCTCCTGGTTGCTTCTGGGAAGTGGTGGACATTGATGGTTCCCATAAAGCTTTTGTCCTGTTAGGCTCACTGAGATTCAGAATAGGGCATGTGTTCTGGTGTGTTCTTGCCTTGCTAAGGTGGTCAAAGAACAGTGAAAAAAGGGAACCTTTGGTTTTGGGGTATATAGAGCTATGATATCTTGTGCCAGCCTGTTGTAACATGGGTGCATGAGGATGTATTGATACAGTTTCATTGCATGGTAGCATCTTGCTTTAGTTTGATGCCAGATATAACTGTCTGTTATTTGTATTAGAAATATGATCTTCCACAATATTTTTAGATCTGTCTTATGTGAAACTTGAAAATCTGTAACAGCTTTTATTTTACTGAAAGAAACAGTTACAGATCTGAACACATCTTTAAATATTAGCACTGTGAAGCTTTTTTTAAATTCTCTCCACTTGTTTATGATAGAAGTTTAACTTCTGTTTTTCAGAATACTTTGAGCACAACAGTTATGAACAATTCTGTATTAACTACTGTAATGAAAAACTGCAGCAGTTTTTTAATGAAAGGATTCTGAAAGAGGTATGTTATATGTAATGATATATTTGAGGATTTATTTTTTTTAGTGAAGAGATATTTAAAGTAGCACTTCTTTCCATAAGATTGCACATTATGCTTAGATTAAAAAATAATGCAGTTGGCAAACTATTTTCCTACTGTGTGACATCTCGTTGTGCCAGAAAATAACATGGCTTTTTGAAAAATCAACAATCTTTTCTTCTTTTTCACCATTCATTAAAATGAGGCATCCAGATACTGGACAGTATCTCATAGCTAATGGGAATATCTAATTGCATGTTAAGGAGGTGAAATTTGGAGTATATTAAGCTGTGGAAGGAAATTGTAAAATCTGCGTTGATGCTTTATTTAAAAATGTCTTCATGTTTGCTTAAAAAAAACCCAACATTTTTTGTGGGTAAAAAAAAATATGGTGAGTGGTGTTTTCTCTTTCCAATTACTATATTTTTTTTTTTTCTTTTAAAGGAACAAGAACTTTACCAAAAAGAAGGGCTGGGTGTTAATGAAGTGCGCTATGTAGATAATCAGGACTGTATAGGTATGTACTTCTTGAAATCTCAACCTATTCATTAGTGTCATGGAGGAAAAAAAACAAGCAGAAGAGGCAAAATACATGTAGCACTAGTAATTTTATGCTTTTAAGGACTGTTGCAACTTTGTCAATTCTCCCAGTTTTGTATAACGTTCCAGTTCTGGTTGGTAACAGAGCCGTGTTGTCCTACAGTGTATAATAACTGCAGCTGGGACTTGTGAATTTCTTGTGCATTTTCCTAGAACACCTAAATAGAGTAAATAAAGTGAAGAAGGGGGTGAGGGTGTCTGGGGAAAAATGTTCCATGAATTGAAAAAATACCATCCCATTCCCTCCACCTGTTTTGAGCCAGGGAGCAAAGAAACAAAATGAGCTATAGGCAACAGGCTGTAGATGTTACTGCTGCTTTTAGGCTTCCACAGACTGATACATACCAGAGGCTTAAGGTTTGTTTGTTTGTTTGTTTTTTATTTTTTCTCTCTCTGTGTTCAACTTCTGTTCTCCTATTTGGTGTATTGTCAACAAAAGTTCATTTTGCTTTTGCATTTACAGTAATTTGCTTATGGTAAATAGCCAGTCCTGGCTGAACAGAGTGACAGAATTTAACATCTGTTACAAAATGTCTGGTTCTTCTGAGTTTCTGTAGCTTTGCTGAAGAAGTTTTCACTTAGACAGATAGGATTGTACAGTCACTAACTGTGGCTTAACTAAAGGTAACTCTTGTCAACCAAACTTTTTAGCCACTTTGTGAAAAAGCAACAGGAAAGTATTTGAAGGAGGGAACAAAAGCATAACAACAGGAAAGAGGTGGCTTCTATGAATACAAATCTCTCTTCTAGTGGTTTAATAATATATTTAATAATGTGTGTATGAGCCTAAGTCTGTTCCCAAAAAGGTTTGGGCAGCTTACCTAAGGATAGAGGTATCATTCCCTCAGTCACAAACCCTTTTACTCTTCCAGCCAACATATGACACCTCACCACAGATTTGACACATTTCTTTATTGTATGAGTTATTCTTACATAAGTTAATAAATTATAGCTCAGTTAAACCACAGAATCTATGCCTATTTTGTTCTTTCATAGTCAGGAGAAAAGGATTTTCTACTGCCTTTTCAAGTGAGTGAGAGAAATAACGTTGGTTTCTGCCAAAATATAGTTTTGTTTAAGGTGTTGGACCAGGCCAGTGACAGCAGTGAACATGTAGAAATACTAACTGTCACAAAAGAAAAGGATATAATGTTGACATGGACAATTTTTTAACAGTATGGAAGAATCTTAAGAACAGTCATTAGTATGTTGGAATCTTTTGGTGGGATGGTAGTCATCTCAGTAGCTAAATTAGCTTACTCAGATTTTGTAAGCATAAATCCTTTGCTCTGAGAGTATCTTTGTGCTTTATATGTTGCCTCATAGTGTTTACAATCTGTACAATAGGGATTGCAGCAGTACAAGCATTAGTCATTTCTTCCTTTCCATAGAAAAAAAGGAAGTAGTAAACTTCCTCTTACAAGAACAGTTTCGTAGATAATACAAAGCAGTTTTAAAAGTTGCAAAATTCTTGTGTCTAATAGTTTCAAGAGCATGAATTTCTATGTCAGCTTTTAAGGGCTTTTCTCTGTGTATGTGAAGGATCAAGGCAATATACTTGTAAAGAGTTGAAACCACCACTGTATGTGCAAGTCTGATTTGCCTTTCTTAAATGCATTTCATTTTTTTTCCTGGATCCTGTTGTGAATGAAAGTATGTGCCTTTTCATGCTTTCAGTTTTGACATGTGCTAGAACATGGATGAAAAACTTAAAAAACCCCCCAATAATATAAGCAATGATCCAATAAAGAACCTACGGTCATACCACGGAAACATTTAGGCGCCTTTTCGGAATTAGATGACTAAATTTGACTTGAGACCCAGATTAAAAATCAAACTGTTTTCCACTGTGTTCCTTGTGTTAGAGTTAGACTTTGGTATGTATAGGATGTCAATTAAAACAGCAATTCAGATATGTAGAATTAATTTGCAATGACTTTTTGTATTTTGTATTAACAGGCATCCCTAGATCTCTTTATACAGAATTGAATCAGTAGCATTTTAAACTTGTAATGTTCAGCTCTGATATGAGTTTATATATTCAATTTTTGTAAATATATTTTGTTTTATTAATAGATTTGATTGAAGCAAAATTAATAGGTCTACTGGATATTTTGGATGAAGAAAATCGTCTTCCCCAACCAAGCGACCAGCATTTTACTTCTGTTGTGCACCAAAAACACAAGGACCATTTCAGACTCTCTGTACGTTTATTTTTGCTGTCTGTCTTGTTTTAATAAAACAATTCTTGGAACAGTTGATAGTAACACTTGATTTTAATGAAAACCTTTCCTAAGAAATCTCATACCACACCAGTCTGCACAGTCCATATCCTTTTGTTAGGGACAAGTTTGGTTATTAGGTTTGTTGAAAAGTTCACTGAAGGCTTAAGTCTTCTAGCAATTCCAATATCCTGCTGAAACTAAAGCTGTATTCGTCACTTACATTTGAAATTTGTTAACATCTAATGCATGAAAAGGAAATAACACATTTTAATTTAGATTATTTCATATCAGATGAGCTATTTTGCTGGTCCTTTCAAATACTGCTTGCACTGGAGAATATTTGACTTACGCGGAGTGCCTAGCTAGCACTTCAGAAATGAAAATAGGGAATACAGAAGGAAAATCTTTTTAATTCTTTAGGATACAGCACTCTGTGGAAGCTTAATGTGAATCAGTGCAATTTATGTACCTGCCTTCTGTTGAAATGCCAAAAAAAAAAGTCACTGCTGAAAAAATGTGAGCAAAGGGAGCCAAATAAAATTGTCATCCATTTACCTTTTGTTAAGTTTCCACTTAATCTTGCTTAACTGGATTGCTGTGCAATGTAAAATTTTTGTCAGTATCTGTACGATCAACTAGGTTACCTTTTAAAATGTACCATCTAAAAACATATTTTAAGCTTCTGCCTAATCCTATTCATATGACAAGGCTATTAATCAGCTGTGGAATGAATGGTATAGAAACTGGTGATTAAAGGCAAAAGAAAATCAACTAGCTGGTGTTAGCAATTTGGGTGACTTATTTTGAATGTGAGGTATATAAGGGTGTGAATGAGAATGAAAATAGGTTTTTGGAATACCTTGGTTTGAACAGGAATGGTAGTGGTACTGCAGGAAGTGTAATTTTTAACACCTAGGGCTCCTGACGGAATCATGGTAATGTTTTAAGAATAAACTTTCTCATTCTTCAGTGTAATTCTTTGTAATTCCACTTTTTATTTTCAGATTCCTAGAAAGTCTAAATTGGCTGTTCACAGAAATATCAGAGATGATGAAGGCTTTATTATCCGACATTTTGCAGGAGCAGTATGCTATGAGACGGTAATTTTACTTGCGCAAAACTATTTTTGTTACACTTTGTTGTTCTTTTATATTTTTCAGTGTATGTAGGTTAAATAAGAAAATTTAATCAGAGGAGAATTCAAAAGTTGCTATGTCTTAGCTTTGAAATTAATTTGTGAGTATGTGACAGAATTGACAGTTTCATTTAACTTCTTAAATTACAGACTGTTCTGTGTCATTTTTATGTAAGAGTTTGTTACAGATCTATAGGTAATAGTGGCAATATTAAATATAATCATTCATGATCTACTACAAATCTTACATCAACAGATGTTTGCATCTTGGGGAGACTAATTTACTACATGATATAAAAGTATTGTTAGACTTCAGAGTAGCTTTCCAGAATCATGGTTATCCTTGTATGCAATCACTGTTCATGTTATATTAAAAATCACATTTTATACTGTTTGTTTTCTATTTCTACTGGCAATAGAATCATTCATTTAAGAATATGAAATACTTGAAATTGGGATCCTCAAAATACATTCCAGATTCTTCTTATTTTCTTATTCATCATTGAAACAACTGAAGCCAGTATGTAAAACCTAATTTTTTTTAAAGTAAGAGTTTAAGATAAACAGAAGATCCAAAATGCTTTGTTGTTCTGGTCTTTACCTCCAGTGTGTAAGAGGAAAGCTACTTCTAAAGACTTTTTTTTTTTTTTATTTTTTTGTTATTTGAAAATGCGTACTTTGAGGTCTTGTTCTTATTTACTTCAAAATACTCCAAGATTGATAATGATTGCTCTGCTGTTTGGAAGTAGGCACATTCTGCAGGTCATTTTACAGATAAGAAAATTGAAGTTTATCTCTTACCTATCTGATTTTTCTGAGGTCACTTAATGAGTCAACATCAAAATAATAAATAAAACCGGAACACATTTGTTCCAAGTGCTCTGTGTTAAACTGTGTACCTCATCCCGGTATGTTAATAATACCTTAGAGTCCCTTCAGGAACAGAGGAGCCAGATATGAGCACCTGAGCTCTACTGCCAGAGCTAATCACATACGAGGTAGCTTTAGTCCAGAAGCTATGCTAATATGCTTGACTTAATTTATGCCCTCCCTCAGAGGGACTCAGCGTGGACCTTAAAACTTTTGGACTATGGCTGCCTTGTACCTCAGCTGTTATTTGTTTCTCTTTCCCACTATACTTGTGGCAGTTCTCATAATCTAGTTTGTGGTGAGGATGCTCATCTAGCTGCATTCATATTCCAGTCTTGTGTGTTCATAGTCCAAGGTAATTTTAGAAGCCTGTGTCTGTCCTTTTGATTCTCATCACCATTTAATCCTTTTATGGGATACCTGGCAAATTCATGTTTTCTTTGAATTAGTCTTGGCCTCTTCTGTTCATAAATATCAAAGTCACTATTAAAGTTGCTCCAAAAGCTATTCAGAATTTTGTTAGTGTGAAATTGGATACTAGTGTCTTGATCTCTGAATTTCAGTGTAATGTATTGTTCTTAACTTCTAAAAGTTAGTAAGCCTATTTAAATAAACTGGAGAGATAAGGTTTGTAGGAAGGGACCATATCCTTTATTAAATCAGTTGTTCTTAAATATAGTAATATTAAAATAACCGTTTTTCATTTAACTTTCCAAACTGTAGATGCACTAAATAGTGTGCATGTTAATTCCCCTTTCACAACAGATCTTTAGTGATATTACAAGCAGTGAGGAATTAAGCTTCTCAGAATTCCCAAGTGATGATGTGCTTGAGTGCTGGAAATGGAAACGAGGAGGATAATAGTTGACAAAAACACAACTGATCTCTTAAAAGGCACTAAACCTTGGGTTTTGTAATTCCAACAGCATTCTTCAAATTTAATAACTACCTTTTCTCTGACATTAATGTTTTGTGTGTCCAGTTGATAAGATGTTTGAATAATGTATGAATATTTGCCCCACATATTCTTGCTGATTTGTGATTAAGTATATAACTTTGTTTTCTTTAATTTTCTTTAAGACTTAAGTAACTGGGACAGTGAAACAAATGTGCTATTATTTCTTCGGTTGCCTTTTCAGATGCAATTTGTGGAAAAAAACAATGATGCTTTGCACATGTCCCTTGAATCTCTTCTATGTGAATCCAAGGACAAGTTTGTTCGACAGCTCTTTGAATCTAACACTAACAACAACAAGGATCCCAAACAAAAAGCTGGGAAACTTAGTTTCATAAGTGTGGGAAACAAATTCAAGGTAACATAATACAGCAAAGAACCTTACCTTCTTATAATATATGCCACTTTTAAGTTACCTGAAATAAGTAGAACCTAAAGTTGGGACAACTAGTGGTAACGTGAGATTCAGACAAAGAAAATTTTGTTAAATAGATGGTTTTTTGATTGAACTATAAGAAACCAGTATATTCAAGCTACGTGCTATGCATTTCTGTCAAAAAGATGTTTCATAATAGTCCTTACAAAGATTATGCAGTAAATTTTAAGTCAGAATTTTGCAAAGCCACATAGAAGTCTTTATTCAAAAGGCTTAAAGTCTTGAGATCTAAATTTGGATCCTGTGGGCTTTAAGGGCTTCTAAATGTAACAAACGGTGTTCTTCCATCCAATCTTAATCGTGCATTCTAGAAGATGTATCATTCAGCTACAGTTTGCCATTCTCAAAATTCAATACCTAACCTAACCACTGTTTTTCCTCTTCTAAAATATAGTCATGGCTTTCACAGAAAGATGTTCACTGTGCTGAATGTTTCCTTTCTCAATACCTGAATTTGATGCTTCTCCTCATTTTCTCCTTTCTTCTGCTTGTGGTAAAGCTGACCTTCAAACTTTGTCTTCTCCGAATGTTTTCTGCATCCTTTTCTCATTCAGCAGTTTTATTTTAGCTGGACTATTCCAGCTCAAGATGTCTAGAAAAAGAACTATAGGGGAATTAAGAGATGAAAAGCAGGCACAACCGTGGGCTGCAGGTAAATTTTTCAATCTCATGGATTTACTGTTGGTAGAGCTGCTGCAATTTCAGCAAGAGCTCTTCTCAACACATTTGGGCCAGATCCAATGAAGGATTTGTATGCCTTCAAGTCAAGTGCTGCGATGTTTTTGGTATGCTACATTAAGTAGGGCACATAAAATCCCACATCATGTGTCTAGCATGATTCCTTACGCAGTCCCTGGGGAAAGCAAGTATCTTAGACAATATAGAAAACTTCGTGTAGAGTGCTAATAGCAGAAGAGCATTTCTGCATTTCTGTTCCATGTCATGGTAAAATGCTGAATCAGAACTGCAAGATAAATTCATTCTTGCATAATCGTATCTTGTGGCTGGTGTTTAGAACTGTTCTCCAAAAACTCAGGGGATGAAGAACGGGAAGGATATGGTAGCAGCACTTGCTTTTTGTATAGCAACAGTATTCTGCTTCAGTTCTACACTGTATTCAGTATTTTTGTCTACTGTATTTCTTGTAGTGCCAAGTTATTGATCAATCTGACAAAGGTGGTTTCTCTTTATACCCTTCTGGAGACGGGTTGTTATGTATCCAGAAGTAAAATTTTGGTGGGGCCAGGAAGAGTAGGAGACAGAGGGTGACTTGTAAGGTAGTGGTTTTGGTATTTAACTGAGAATTGGGCAGCCTGCTCTTTTCAGTTTTGCTCTGACAATTATTTCCTCCTTCTCCTTATCATATAGTGGCTGTAGAATTAAACTGTAGCAATTGGTTTGATATAAAATACATGATCACAATCCAGACTGAAAAATGGAATTGCATACAGATAAGCCATCTCCTGAGCCAACCCTGCAACCGTGAGTCTGTTGTAGGTGAAGCTATAATCCATTGGTTTTTATAACTGCATTTTCAAAATGAAACCAACTGTGGGATCTTTGAGATAATTTCCACTTTCTTCCATCTGGGTTTCAATTCCTCTTGGCTTTAGCACCCCACATCCAGTAGATGTGGACATGTGAATGATACCATTGTCCAAGCGGGGCTGAAGTATAAAGGGAGGCATTTTTTAGGTTAAGCAGCAATTGAGTGGGGAACTTTTCAGGTTGCCTTTTGGATTTCAGTGTTCACCTCTACACCTAGAACATGACTAAAGTCTTCTTTGGATCTGGCCCACCAATATATAATTCTCTCAATGTTTTCAAGTTTCATGGCATTTTGAATGTATGTCTTACTTCCAGTAATTCATTTAGTGTTACCTTCCCAGACACAACATGTGCTGCTGATGAACACTAATAGCCTTGGAAATTTCACTTCAGATAACATCAAAATAAGTTCTATTATCTAAGTAGAAACTTCACCTCTTTAAGAATAAGAATTCTTAGTGTGTCAGTATGTCAGTCACTCTCAAATTCTTCTGATGACATCAATTATTAGGTGATGTTGCAGGGACTTCTCTTTATGAAATCCTTCACGCATCCCTTCCTTATAACAAATTAAAATTAATTCTCATAAATCAGTTGAGGAAATAATGATTAATTAGTTCATCAGATCTACTCAATCTTTCAGATGATTTACCTTACTACAGTAATGAAGGATTAAATCATAATAATTCAAAGAGCAGCAGTTTTAGCAATATGTTTTATTCATGTGATCATTTCATTAGTGAAATTTACCTGAGAATGGATCTGGCTTATTTCTTGTCAAATCACAGAGTATAAGGAAGGGGTATTTTTCCTCTGGCAGAAGTGTATTTTGTGGATGGAAATTAGGCTGTCCCAAAACTAAGCAGCTTTAACTTAAGAAAACCTAAAGTTTATATTCAAGTAGAGATGTAAAGTGTGTGTAAGAAAGAACTGAGCAGGAGGTTATTAGTGTTTGTCATGCCTCTTGTGGCACCCCTTCTCTCTTTCTAACCATATTCACGATAAGTTAAAAAACAAACAAACAAACAAACAATTTTATCTACTGGAAGGATGACTGACAGCTGTAGGTGACACATGTTGCTCACATAAATCTGGTTTCTTGGACTCAAGGTAATTAAAATATTTGGTTAAAAAAAAAAAATACTCGAAAGTCAGATCCTTTCAATTTTGGTTCCATTACAGAAAATGAGGAATATGTTAGGCCATACAGAATTTTGTCTTACTTCAGTCTATATACTTAAAGCTTGCTAGTAAACTAGCAAGGCTGACACAGCAGTAAATCTATGTGGTAGAACAGACACGTCTGTAAAGTAAAAGTATAGCTGCTTTCCTGATGTGATTCTGAAATGTTTTAAGGCCCTACCAATTACATTCAATAGCAACTGTAACTTGTTTCTCCTGATAGTCTTTAGTCTCTGGTGATCTTGTAGACTTGCCCCCAAATAATCATAGGACTGTGGTCTTTTCTCATCACAGTATGTTTAAATATAGCCTCAGTAAATGTGATTTAAAAATCATAGTCTATTCTCATTTATAGAGAATTAAAAATTTGGAAGTTTGGAATTAAAAATAGATTATGCGTGTTCATTCACCTGAATGTTGACTTAGCCTCAAGAAAGCCAAGAAAATTCTGAGCATATCTGTTTTCTGTGTTAATTATTTAACATACAAATATATGCTTGTTGTAGATTTAATTTGGGCTTTCACAAATTTTCAGTGTATTTTTAAATTATTGCTGATCACTCTCATTTTCTTTTCTATTTTATTACATAGCGATTATTTCCTTTATTTTCCTAAAGGAGCTTGCACTTTTTTTGATAATTAGTTTGTAGTAAATAACTAGTCCATACAATATCGTTGTACAATTAAACACAAGCAATTTCCTCAGGACCATTCGTGCACACTTGCATGATTTTGTCTGTTAAGATTTGTGAACGTTTGATTTATCAGTTCTGTCTTATTTACTAACAGTGAACATGCATGCAGTAATGCAATACCTCTGTGTGTGTATTTCTGTAGTTGTTGTGTTAAGACTTTTGAAATATCTGTTTTCTTTTACAGACTCAGTTAAATTTGCTTCTTGAGAAGCTTCACAGTACTGTAAGTATATATACAGATAAAGGTTCATAGTTTTCTGACATAAGTCATAGATTATCTCAACAGTATTGCTTACAATAAATGTGATAAGTAACTGCTTTGGAGGTTGCTGTTATGTGACACTTTTGAAATATCTTGCTGTGCAGGTGATGATTATTGAGTTACTTCAAAAAAAACCCACCACCTTTAAAAAAGCTGTTGTAGAATGAAAGTTACACAATTTGAGTAAACACTTTTACTTCCTTCCATTCACTGGTTCTCATTGCTGACTAATTTGCAGAAGATTTAGAAATGTTATTTAGAAGTAAGACAGATGATAATTCATTATTAATTACTGTTTTCAGATTCCAAAAAGCCATTAAAAATAAAATGTTTAACTTCACTTTCGTGATAAGCTGTAAAATGCACAGATGTCCAAAGAACCTGATTCACCTAATGAATATTTGCTAATTTATCTGATACAATTTGATAGTTTGTAGAATTTTCCATGTAGTTCAACATAGACATTTATTTTTAGAACTTGGAGTTGTAGGAGCACATTCTTGTTTCTCGTGACTGCATATTCTAACCAATTCTAGGTAAGAGGTTATGCTCTGTCAAAAAAAAAGAAAAAGGAGAAAAAACATGGCAAACAAATGGGACAGGTGCTGGAGTGTAGCAAGCATTACAGTTTTACCCTTGAGACTGCTCTGAAAGAAACATGGTCTCTTTCACACAGAACACTCTGGAACTGAGACCCAGTCCAGGGAAAAAGTATGTGGCCAGGCTTTCTGTACTCTCTGTTTAGCTAACCCATGACTGAGGATGTATTGTTAACATAGGGCTCCCTTGGCAGGTGCTCTTTCACTCTCAGCTGAGATAGAAAAAGAGAGAAGACACTGCAAAGCAGGAGTAATACTGTTTTCTCAGTCCCGATTTTGTTTTAGTATATAAGGTAGATTATTATTAGCAGCCAGCTGTTCTAGGAAAATCTGAATAATTGGATGGTGTTTTGCAAAAATGTCATCTTTAATGAATGTGAAATGATTGGAGAAAACAGTGGTCAAAATTGTAGAGACAGCATTCATGTTGATAAGAGAGGAGCAGAGTGGAACAACATGGGGGAAGGGATAGTGAAGCCAAGAGAAACTGTAAAAAGAAAAAGTTAGAAGAAGGGAAGGTCAAGTTCATCTGGCTTGACTCCAATGTCAGGAGGCTGGTAGCATGTTCACTGATGAGAACTCTGGAGGACTGAAGCATTTAGGTGATGTGACTGTAGAAGATAACGAGGGTAATAGAATCTACACTGCAAAATCGTAATTAGATTGTACTAATGTTAAGAAGAACAGTTGAGTGAAAACTGAAGAGTTGAGCATCCAATTAATAGCTTGAACATTGAGATCAATTACAACAAGACCAAGGCTAAAGTGCAAAACTGATATAAGAGAGAGAATGAATGTCAGCATTTCTCTTTTAAAATACTATTATTTTCTATCTTTTCCCCACCCATAATTCTTAAATGATTAACTTATTTCAGGAGGTTTTAAAACGTGTAGATTCTGCTAACTTCTTGTTTTGGTAATAGGGGTCTAGCTTTATTCGCTGTATCAAACCTAATTTAAAGATGACAAATCACCATTTTGAAGGAGGACAGATTCTCTCGCAGCTTCAGTGTTCAGGTAATGTATGCCTCTGATACTTTTTCCTCTGTTCATTATTTTGGGCTATATAGATTGACCTAAGTTTGAAATATGCAAGATGGAAGCAATATTTCAGTGCTTGAACTGTTGCTTTCCAGAAGGTAGCTTATTTATGTCTTAAGAAAAGTTGTTTAGATTCTTAGTAACATAGATCTCATTTTAGTCAACGGAACCCTAGAAATAATTCATTCGAACAGCCATAAGGTCTCTTCACAGGAAGAGTTGATGTAATTTCCATTGACTGTTTTTCCATTGATTATAACGAGAGTTCAGATGCCAGGTGCATATGTAAGAAGCCATTTAGCCATGTATTGGCACATAAATTTAGATTTCCTGACCTGGAGATGAATCCCATTTATTTGAGTTGCTCACAAAGTTAATAGGGCAGCAGTTGAGACCCGAAAAATAGAATTCCTTTAAATTACTGTGGTAGTTGAAGTGTTAGAAACTCCTGCGTGCACTTAGAGGCAGTCAGTTTTAGCTGAGATATGTAATAATTGAAACACACCTGTTTTCTTTGATTTTGTGAATACTGTGGTAGAGTTGACTTGTATTGTTTTACTTTCAGAATTTCTTTATGCCACTGTTACTTTGATTTGGAGCTGAACTTCCAAAGAGAGCACTTCAGCATAGTCTTTCCTGTTACTTTGTATACTAGAGATTGCAATGTTACACTTTCATTATTCTCAAATGTTACATGCTTTCCAGTTCTACAGCTTTATTTTAAAGAGTGACTATTAGCAGGTTTGATCATGCCCCACTGAACAACAGAATGAACTGCTTGCTTGGGAATTAGAGTGCTGGTGTTGTCATTTTTCATATGACGTTTGTTCATCAAAGTGTGTCAATGTTTCTTTTTTTTTTTCCCCTTTTCTGTATTTTTGTACTTTCAGTAGCTTGTGCTTATCTTTTCTCTTTTTGAAGTCAGGGTACTTCCAGGTTCTCTAGCTGATGTTTTGACAAGCCCACATGTTTAACATGTCATGTTATCATCACAAAAACTTAACAACTTTTTCAATAATTAGGATTCCACTAATATAGTTAGTAGTAGCTTTCTTCAGGTTTAACAGCGTATTAACTCCCTCCCCGCCAACAATTGCAATATTTTACAGTAGTCTTACAAGCTCACTTTTCCAGATGTGCTTTCTTTAGCAACATTAAATGAAGCTTATTCTAGTAAAACAAAGTCATAACATGTAATTTTAAAAGAGCAGGATGTAATGCTATAAAGACTTATTTGAAAAAGAAAGACCTAGTGTAAACAAATTTTCTTTGAAAGCAAATATGCAAAAGATTTAAGTTTAAAGACAGCAACCATAAGTTAGCTTTTAACTTAAAAACTTTTATGCACGATCTGTTGATAGAGTTGTGTAAAGCAGTGGGAAAAAAGTGGCATGGGCAGAAACTGACATGGCCTATGCTGCTTGAAGTAATTTGGCCTTTTTACTGACTTGATGTCTGTGCTTTAGTGATGTCCTAGTGGCAGCCAAAATGTAGTAGCAGTATTTGGGACCTTAAAATTACATCTTAGCAGCTGTACCACATCTCACGAATATCATTGACATGATGAAAATAAAAGCCTAGTTGGGGTGGTTTTGTCTTTAAAAATGAAAATGTCAAGTCTGCTAAAAATAAAAAAAAAAATACTTAGAAGAAATATTAGAAAAAAAAAATCCTTTGCATGGTTACATGTTACCTCTCAAATAGGGAGAAAATTTTATGAACTCTTCTCATCTGTTCAGTATTAACTTTTTGTGAGTGATCACATGATCAAGAAATGTTAGAGACTGGATCAAGCCACAGCTGAACTTTGTGGTTTAGTCTTTGAACAATGTCTTTGAGACTTATATCATAAACTACTGGTTATCATAAAGATTATTGCCTCATTTTCATTTTGCTGATAGCAGCTTTTGTTCTTGTGTTCCCATGAATTTAGGAATGGTGTCAGTTCTGGATTTGATGCAAGGTGGTTTCCCTTCACGAGCTTCATTTCATGAACTGTATAATATGTACAAGAAGTACTTGCCTGAAAAACTGGCTCGACTGGATCCTAGGCTTTTTTGCAAGGTGGGAAATAAATTAATTCTTCTGTATCATCCAGGGCAGACAATGTATTATGGGTTTTTTTTGTGTGTGTTTTGAACTTTTTTTTTTTTTGTAGGAGGCAGAATATAACCCTAACTGTTTTCTGTGTTTCAGGCACTTTTTAAAGCCTTGGGATTGAATGAAAATGATTATAAATTTGGGCTAACCAAGGTGTTTTTTAGACCTGGCAAGGTAATGTTTCTCTTGGAGTCCATGAATGTGAATCTTAGAATAATTTTGATTGGAAGGGATCTCTGCAGGTGACACTGTTCAACACGTTGCTGAAAATGTGACCAATTTAAATAAGGTTGCCCAGAGTTTTTTGTAGATAACATTAATTTTCTGTGAAAAAAATCAGAGTTAATACTGATATAATCGGTTTCATAGTCTTGTTGCTAATGCTGCTGTACTCCTAATGCAACATGTGTATTCCTAAACATTCTACCAGTCACTTTAGTCTTATGTTGACTATAAAAAAGAGCAAGTTAGAGCAAAGAAAAAAGATTTTCTAGTAAAATCTATATATAGCTGAAATATCTTTCTGTGATTCTGAGCAATGCTGCTGCTATGCAGAATGTGTATCCTATGAAGGCAGGCTGAGAGGGTTTGGATTGTTCAAGCTGGAGAAAAGAAGGCTCCAGGGAGACCTTATAGCAGCCTTCCAGTACTTAAAGGGGCCTACAGGAAAGATCGGGAGGGACATTTTGTCAGGGAGGGTAATGATAGGATAAGGGGTAACAGTTTTAAACTGAAAGAAGGTAGATTGAGATTAGATGTAAGGAAGAAGTTCTTCTCTGTGAGAGTGGTGAGACCCTTCCACAGGTTTCCCAGACAAGCTGTGGCTGCCCCCTCCCTGGAAGGGTTCAAGGCCAGGTTGGACGGGGCTTGGAGCAACCTGGTCTGGTGGAAGGTGCCCCTGCCCAGGGCAGGGGGGTTGGAGCTATGTGATCTTTAAGGTCCCTTCCAACCCAAACCATTCTATGAATTAGGGAGCTGTTGTGACTAGAAAGGAAAATTACTGTCCCAGAAGAATGTTCTCACTGTCCTAATTACTGAAAAGTAGAAGTGCAGAATTTTCAGAAAAGTTTGCCTTCAGTTGGACTCTTATACAAAGGTTAAAAACTGAGAAATGCTTTCAGGGCTTTATTTTTTTCCTAGATACAAAATTAGAGCTGTCTTGAAGTTGTGGAAGGCCAGAGTAAGTGTTCAGGATGTAGAGAAGCAATTAATTTTTTAAAATTTTGGCAATAAATATTTAGTGCTTAATAAATGGTTGGATTATTCAAAATGCTAAAAGTGTTGCACATCAATTAAACAAACAAAAAAAAGCAGTAGTCATTTTTGTTATCATTAAAGAATGAAATGATGCCAGACATACCTGCTCAGTTGAATTAATTGAAAGCTGATATGATGATGACATTCAGTTTACATTAAAAATATTTTACCTTTTTAACTCAACATACTCTTAAATAATAATGTCTAACACTCTCTGTTTTCCTAATTTGTAAACCTTTTTTTTTTTTTTTTTTTACTATTTAGTTTGCAGAGTTTGATCAGATAATGAAGTCTGATCCAGATCACTTAGCAGAGCTAGTTAAACGAGTGAACCACTGGCTTATCTGCAGTCGTTGGAAAAAAGTTCAGTGGTGTTCTCTCTCAGTGATTAAATGTACGTATTTTATATTTTATTAAATCAAAATGTTTGTTAAAAACATAGAAAAGCAATTATTACCACCCTGAAATGTGGCCAAGGGCATGTATAGCAGATGGTTACATAGTAAAGTCTGTGTAATTGATTCAAGGCTGGTGAGACTTTTTTATGCTTTGTTAGGCACATACAGGCCGGGCTTACAGCAGAGATTTTACAAAGTGGGCCATATAGCCCACCACCGATCTCCTGTGTCCAGTCTGCTTGGGTGCTTACTGAAGCCTGGGCAAACACTTGCTCAGAAATAACTAGTTATCACAAGTCTTGCAGGGGACAGACTCCTACATCAGCAGGAAAGAACAGTAGTTCAACTCTCAGCTGACAACATGGAGTTATTTAGTTCTGGGAAAGGCCTGCACAGAGGTTGTCATCTCCAGACAGAAACTGCATATTTGAAAGCACTGACAGGAATTACGGGGCAAACACCTCTGCTCCAGCAATTACTCCTGATCAGCAAATAAGTGCCTATCACCATCGATAGGCAGTTTCTAAGTGCTTGGCCTGCTGAACTTACTGTGCAGAGTAGCAATGAGGCTGTATGGAATAGAGATTGATGCTTGTGGGATGCTTCAGTAAAGGTGTCTGGGAGATGGGGAAAGGTTTGATGCAGGATGTCAGGGATCTATAATCATGGAGGATAGAAAGTACACATTAAGATGGGGAAGAAAGGCATAAAGGCCTCATGCTTTATGTCTGTGCATTTGGGCCAGTGCAGTTGTGACATCTACATCTGTCACTGATCCGATACTATTTGTTGCTGTTTATACTGAGTCAAATAGAATTTGTGAATTCTTATCATACAGATTTCAGACATCAGAAACTGTAACACTAAAATCGTGTTTCTGATCTAGAAATCTATGTTTAGTCTATTTTTCAGAAAGACAGAGCAGAAAGTTTGTCATTACATTTGAAAAATAGAAACCCAGGGAAATAAATGCTAGTTTGATGTACCTTAATTTTTTCTTAGTGTTTTATAGGAAATTAGAAGCTAATTTTATCCCCCAAATAAAGCTGAAATAGATACACAAAAAGTAGAGTGCATCTTTGTGATTACCTAACTCCCGTAGTTCAATATCACTGTGTTGACAAACCATGTGCTCAGCTGACAACTAAAGGCAGCATGGATCCTTAGGTATCTGTGCTTCCTCTGGATATGTAAAAACTGCACTTACTGTTGCACTTCTGAGATACTCAGCCCATATGCTCATGCCTGTGTCTTGACATTATTCTCTGTTTAACTTGCCTCCTGGTCCCAATCATTTGAGTCTTTAGATGAAGACTGTATTAGAACAACAACAGCTGGAGGTTTGGTTTTGTGTCCTTTAATTTCAGTATCGCAGAGAAATGCTCAGCAAAGTTGCAGCCACTTTATTATCTCTAGCAGATATTGGCTACTTGATTAACCTTCAGCACAGGACTTGGACTTTGAGCTGAGTATTTCCTGCTTGCTAGGTCCAGTGACTGCTCACTGAGGTTACTGATGTCTGTGAATCTGGGCAGGGGATGGTGCACACGTGTGTGTGTGTGTGTGTGTGTGTACGTGCTTAATTATTGCTGGATTTTTTGGTGTCAGTCTCTATGCCTGGCTCAGGATTGTGAATTATGTTGTCTGCTGTGTCTGTCTTAAGTGTTGTGGTTCTGGTATAGACCTAGCTCTCAAGCATAGATAGTCTAGATAGAGTTTTGAGCCATCAAGTGTGTGAGTAATATAGGAATTGTGTTAAATTGTATAAACCATTAATACTCAGTATCCTCTGTGTGTTTCCAGTGAAAAATAAGATAAAATACCGAGCCGGTGCCTGCATTAAAATACAAAAGACTATCCGTATGTGGCTTTGCAAGAGAAAGCACAAACCACGGTAAGAGGATATTTCTTGGTTGAAGAAAATGGATTTTTAATAATAGTGTCTTGTGAATGTAAAAAGAAGATTTACTCTTCTTAACTAAATATCTGAAAAATCTGAACTCATAGAATGATGCAAATATGACTAGAAAAGACTTAGAGAGGTGCCGTGTTCCTCCTCTTTTTCCCAAGGATGAATAGACTAAATCTGAACCTTTCCTAAGAGATGTTTGTTTAGCCCTTTGGTCATAAAATCCTTCACTGATAGCCTAGTTATTAGCAATACTTAGTTAAGTCTCTCTAAATTAAATTCATTAATTTTTGTCTTTTACTCATTCACACCATCTTTTATAGGTCCACTTTCTTTGTTATCTTAAAAATAATTGTGTTTTCTGTCTGTCTTGTCTCCTGTTGAAAATAAGTAATTCCATTAACTTTAATCTGATTGCCTGGAGTACTGATGACAAAACCACTTTGGTCACTAAGCTCTGCTGACACATTTTTGTTCTTTAATAGGGTTCCAAATATCTGTTCTTTAATAGTGGAGTTCTTAGAAAATGTTTTCTTTTACATCTTTTGATAATTATGTTTCATTTTGTACCTTTGCGTTTATGACCAAAAAACCCGGTTTTTAAGGTGTTCTATACTCGTCTTTAAAGATTTGATTTAATTTCTACTTTTTGTGTGTTGTTTACCAGTTCAGGGATTTCTTTATAGGCAGACTGACTCTGCAGAGGTGTAACTTGTATGCATTTTCTCCATTACTGGTTGTTAAAAAAGCTCCAGGTTTTCCTGGACTGCTCTTTTCCCCAGACTCTCTTTTTTTTTAATCTTTTCCCTGTGGGGTCTAATGACTGGGTTCCCTGCTGTGTAGTTCTATCTGATTCAGTCCCATTATTGCTCACTGACTAAGTGGCGCAACTCAACATTTATCCACTCCAGTCAAAATCCTCCAGTGGATACTAATGATTTGTTAGTGAAAAAAAAAAGAACAAAAAATAACAACCCAAAACAACCCCACGTTAATTTTCAAAATAAAATGCATTTTTCCATTTTGAGTTGTCACTATCTACTAATCATTTTTAATTATTGTTTGCAAAAGACTGCATTGCTTTAGTTACTTCATGTGATAATGTTTGAATTTCAGAAAAAGAGGGTGAGCTTTAGCAGAAGGCATAACTTGTCTCTCCTATCTACCTCTTTAATGTGAGTGATTATTAGTAGTTTTAAAAATATCACCTTCTAAAGACATCTCAAGATACAAATAAACTCTTTTCCCTTCACAGCATTGATGGCCTGATAAAAGTGCGCAAGCTGAAGAAAAGGCTTGATAAATTTAATGAAGTAGTAAGTGCTCTGAAGGAAGGGAAGGCGGAGACAAGCAAGCAGGTCAAGGAGCTGGAATATTCTATTGATGCTTCAGTGACCAAAATTAAGGTGTGGCAATAATCAGATAAATAGTTTTTTATTACTGGAATCTTTTAAAAACTTAATCTAGAGTACAAGGCCAATGTATTTTTCTTAATAGAAAAGACAGTTTAATACAGAGGACTTAATTTTCAGAGGCACTGGTTAAATCCTGTTTAAAATTATTTGTTAATGTTACTGAAGTGAATCCTAAAACTGAGTACATGCATCTAGATTGGTTATTGTCTGTGTTTCAAAATTGGCACTGGAGAATTTAAAGCAAAAATGCATGTTGATAGTGTGAGACAAGTAGTGTTAATAATTTTCTTGTAGCTTTTATTAATAGAATAATGCATAATAGCAATGCTTTAAATTAACCAGGGCTGAAACGTACAAGTATTTATCACAGAGTGAAGAGATTTATATTCTAGTTACAAGTTTTTTTCAGACTTGATAGTAAAGAGAATTCAGCTTGTTGATTATACTTCAGGGTCTATAGTACTCAGTTTCTTACCGCAAACATACACAGTCAAGATGAAAGCACACTGGGATTTACTAATGTTAGATAAAATTTGATGTGTCGAATTTTTGTTTCATGGAATATTATAGCTTTCGTAGTGTACTGTATTAAGATCTTTCTATTTAAAATCATGGTTGAAAAGATTATAGAGTTAACCTGTCAATTTATAGTTCTCTTTTCTAATAAAAATACAATAATTTGATTATGATCATGGTACACCCTCAGAAAAGGTCAGCAAACACCTCATATCACAGTGTTATTAGTATACATCAGTGTGAATTGTAAAAATAAATGAAATTGTAGCTGTCAGTGAGGTCTGGAAACATATGTAGCAAGGGCTATTGTTTTAAATGTTTCCAACCTGTTATTTGCTACTAATACCTTTTTTAAAAAAGTCACAGCATGGTCCAATACTTCTACTGAGTGCTAGCACACATAGTAAGAAAAGCTATTCCGTGCTGTGACATAAAGGGCAGAGCTGTAAATAACCGCTATAGCAACTAAGAACATGACACAGAAGAGGAGGCCCTTAGTTTTCATCTTAGTGTGGTAAGAATGAATTTCTGTTGCTTAAAACTTCAAGGTTTAAAAAAATGAAGTAATATTTTAAAGAGAAGTCAGTTTTAATTTCAGTGATAAAATGGAGATTACTTTGTATGGTTTTATATGAGTAGTGGAACCCCAGGATTTTAGGAAGAAATTGAAGGAGGTGCTCGAGCTCCCCCATCCTGAAATGTATATGATTATACTGCTGAGTGCTCTCATTTCACTTAATAGTTTTTCAACATACATTTTTCAGAAGTGAAGTGTAAATGTAAAACAATATAACCCCCCCTTATTATTTCATTTTGCAGACCACTATAATGACTAGGGAACAGATACAGAAAGAATATGATGCTCTAGTTAGAAGTTCAGAGCAACTTCTGAGCGCACTGCAAAAGAAGAAACAGCAAGAGGAGGAAGCAGAGAGGCTACGACGCATACAGGAGGAAATGGAAAAAGAAAGAAAGAGACGTGAAGAGGAAGAACAACAACGAAGGAAGGAAGAAGAGGAAAGACGTCTGTGAGTTTTGAATAAGTTGCTGGTTGTAGAATGGAGAAGAAAAAAGGAAAGGCAGTTTAATGAGATCATTTTTAGGACTCCTATCCTTAAAGAGAGTCACTTGGATTGTACTCCTGGTGTGCTATGCAGTGTTAAAACAGTCAGAATATAGAATTACAGAAGTATGGAAGAAATTATGTGATGCAGATGGAAATACAGATGGAGTTGGAGTTTCTTGACTTTACATGTAGTGTCCTTTCATCAGGACTGTACTGACTTCTAAATTACCATTCAGTTTTATGGAAGATGCTTTCCCATCCCTTGTTCGTCTGCATCATAATAACATGTTTTGATTTCTTCCTTCCATTTTGTAATAGGAAATCTGAGATTGAGGCAAAAAGAAAACATGAAGAAGAAGAGAGGAAAAAGAGGGGAGTTGAAGAAAAGCGTATTCAGGTTAATGTTTTAGCAGGTTTTGGTTTTTTTGTTGTTGTTGGATTTTGGGATTTTTGTTTGCTTTTAATTTGTTAAAAATGTTTTCCACTGCTTAGGTTCTTCTCTGATTCCAATGGCTTCATTTTATAAATGTGTCTCTCAGTCATTCAGCAATGTTGCTTTAGTAATAAATATAAGGCAAAAATCATGATTAGGACATCCCAAGACCGATCACCTATTTCTAGTTCACATGAAAGTTCAGGTCTTCCGAGTAGAGGTGCACTTGTTCTTAAGGTTATTTTAAAGTTAAAAATACACAACACTGGAGAATCCTAGTTTCGCCTTTGAAGTTTTTGCAGATATTCCATGTCAGGCAAGTTTGGCACTCTTCGACTAGAAGTTACATCTGGACTCAGGCTGTGTCATGTACCAGGTTAACTGTAAACTCTTTCAGAATACTGGTAATAATGACAGGATGCAGACTGTCTCCAGTAGCCCTTTTGTCTACATTTCTGTAAAATAAATACATGCAGTTTGAACCCAGGTCCTCCACCCCTTCCCCTTGACTCCTGACACTTCTTGCTGATCCCATCATGAACTCTCACTCTGAGACATTTGACCCCTATGCCCTTGTTTTCCTCTTGTCTTGGAGATTGTCTGTGTGACCTGGGAGAGCAATCTCAGAAAAAGCTTCTCTGTAGGAGCAGTTGTAGCAAGTGCAGGGCCATCCATGGTCACTGATGTTTACAGACTCTTTTAAGCCCTGTCCATGATTAATAAGAAGCATAATTTTTGTCCTGTATCCTCGTATCCCTGGAGTTAGACTAGCACTGTTTATATCCTCCTTGCGTCTGCATGTTACTTTCTATCACCTCATTCTTGATAAACAAGTCCCTGGAAGTAACAGAGAAATTACAGCATAACTTTGATGAAAACCAAATCTGTCCTGTGTTATTTGGTCTATTAGCTATATCGGAATAATAAGCACTACCAGCTTACAGAAGTTAAACATAAAAAGAGTAAGCTGCTATTTGGTTAGTCTCTAAATCATTGCTTGGAGACCATTGCAGGTGTGCCAAGTGTTTTGTGAGAAATTCAAAGGAGAAGTTTCCATTCAGACTGTTTAAATGGAAACATTATTGCTTTATCCACTGAGGAAGCAATATGGCCCATTGCCAGAAGGTTTAAATACTTGGTCTGCCAGAACTATGAGTTCTAGAAATCCCTAGAAAATCTCTAGGGATTTTCTTTATTTGTGTTTGTTTCTGAGATGTGGATATCTGCAATGCAGAATGTAACTCACACTTTTACTTGAAAACACTGCTTTTGGATACAAAGCAAATATTTAATCCAGTAGATTATTTCTTTCTTCTACATACAGTTAATTACTCATTATCTCTCCTCCTGGTGGTTGTTACTATCAACTAATCTAAAATGGGATTCATAGAGTAAAGTTGCTGGTGTTACTGCATTGCTTTAGTGGTGCAAATTCATGATGATGAGTGGGAAGTTACTTTGTCTCCTTTCTGGCTTTTGAGCACCAAGAGCAGCACTGCTAAGACTTGATGTGTATGACTTTCAGAAGTATGAATTGGATGGTTGCATTTTACTTACTGTGTGTGCAGGACCATTTGTTAAATAATGATGGTAAACTGGAATTATAGTTTAGCTCTGCAGATGTATTATATCTGGATTGCTACTACATTTCAGTAAATGGTAATTACACCATTTGCTTAAATTCAAAGCCGAATAGGTCCACAGAGGATTACAGTGTTTGTCTTTGATCACTCTTCAAAATGAACTGTGGACCTATATGCAAAGCAATGCCTATTGCGGAGTCCTGTAATGCCAGGTGCACAATATTAATGGAGTATTGTGTTAGTGCTATGGAGGAGTAAGTAACCATGTCGCTCTGTATCATCTGAGTTTTAATGATTCTAAAAACTTCTCAAGTGTAATTTTCATATTAGCTAACACAAAACTTCATGTGTTCTTTAAATAAGGAATAATTGATTGGCACTTTAATTTGAAAAGGTAATATGAGTGGAGGACAATAATGATTTGATAAACTGTATGAAAACCAAGATGCAATCTGTAGCTCTCTTGGTTTTGTTGGATCAAGCTAAATACTAACGTTACTTTTTCAGTTCTGTAAATTTTGCATGTTTTGAAAGCTATAAATATACTAGTTGGCATATTTTTCTAATAATTTGCTTACGTAGTGTTTTGGTTTTGGTTGCCTAAGATTAAAGGTGTGTGTTTATAAAACAGGCTGAAATTGAGGCTCAGCTGGCTAGAGAACGAGAAGAGGAAACCCAGCATCAGGCAGTGCTTGAACAGGAACGTCGTGATCATGAACTTGCAATGAGAATTGCCCAGAGTGAGGCAGAACTCATCAGTGATGAGGCTCAGCTTGATTTAGGATTGCGCAGGTATGGAGTTAAGTAGTTACATTTCTCTCTCTTTTTTCACCACCAGCCTCACCTCCCCTTCCCTGCCCCCTCCCCCCTACCTTGGTGTGTCGTCTTCTTATCCTGATCCCTTTGAGAAGACTACTCTCTTGTTGGTCTTATATATCTGTATTAAGTAAATGGCCCTTTTAAGTCAGTGTATTGGAATATTTTTCAAATTAACTTGTGAAATTCGTTGGAAATAGATTTTTTTTATACTTTCTCTGTTTTGCATCTTCCTACATCAATAATTTAGTAGGTGCTTGTGAATATGGCTGCAGTTCTCTTTCTCTTTGAGTTCTGGCCAGGATGGCAACCAATTTAAATTATTATTTTTGACTCATTTAAAGCAGTGAATGGAACTTAACTGTCAAGTAGTAATAAAATATACCCTTTCTGTTACTTGATCGTTCCAGTAGTACAGTGTGAATTTGTGTGTGTGGTTTTTTTCCTTTTTAACAAGAAGCCCTCTTTGAATGTAGAAGTAGTAGTTATTTCTGGGTCCTGACTGGTAAGTTTTTTAAAGTGGAATGAATATCATAGATGTGTTTGAAAATTGAATGTTGTCTTAAACATTTTGTCTTGTGTGAAATCTTTGATGTGTCACAGGAAGTGCTTGGCTTTTGATTTGCAGATCCACACTGCCTGCAAAGCAAGAGCTCTTCGTGTGTAAAGGGTGATGCCCTAGAAGCAACTTAGAAGTTCCAGTAAAAATGGTACTTATTGGTCAAATTGCATAAAGGGACCTGCAAACATGATCACATAATTGGTGACTTCGTTAGTGCCAGTCTGCTCAGTTTGATGTTGTTGAAAGAAGGGATGTAAGAAAATCCCAAGTGTTTCAAGCTCCTGGATGTGTTCTTTGCTACTCAAATTTTATCTAGCGGTATACTTTTTTTTTTTTAATAACTGCATGCCTATGTGAGATAGCTAGGTAAATTTTTTTGTCATGTGCAATACTGATCTTCAGACACTTCCACGAAAATTATTGTGGTTTTGCCCTCAGTTATACAATAACTGTCATATTGTCTCAGATAAGACTTGAACATGCTCAGTTGGATGTCCAGGTGCTAGACAGACAGCATTCTGGAGATTTTCATGCTTTCCCTGTTTGGAAGTTGATGAAATACTCTGAAGTCACTCTAGTGTTGCAGCCTGGCAAAGAGAGGCAATAGACAGGAAGAGCTCAGAGAATTCAGTAACTTTTCTGGCAGTGAAGCTCTAATCTCCACAGTGTTTCCTACTGCTCCTGGGTGATCCTGATATTTGTCTTCCTTTTGTAGTCCCAGAATGGATGATGAACTAACCATCCTGATAGTTATGACTGCCAGTTTCTCTTTGCTGTGTAACTAGTGGTAGGAGAACAAAGACTTTTTTCTGAATGATTGGAAAGTGCAGAATGGTCTGAACAAGTTAGTGTAGCAATGTAAATCCTTTCTAGAGCAAGACTGTATATAAACCTAGAAAAAGTAACAGAGGTGTATTTCTACTTATTATTATTGCTTTTTAGCTCATTAGCAATTTCTCTTCCTTCTGTTTCTACAGTCTGCTTAAAAGAGTTTTAAGCATGTCCAAAACTGAAGAAAATTCTTTTAATTTCACCTTTGATTATATTTTGTTCTTTTTGTTTGTTTGTTTTTTGTTAAAACAAACTAAAATGTTCCCCAGACCTCAGTATCTTCTACTGAAATCCAAGGGTAGATTTCCACTTAACTGCAGGAATCGGCTTAAAGGTAGAAATTGCAGGAATTCTGCTCTGAAATGAAAACTATATATTGGGTTGAACAAAACATGTAATTTAAGAATTTAAACATAAATTCTCAGGACTTATTTAAACTGATGCCAATCAAAGTTTTACTGGAGTCTAACAAGTTATATTCTGCCATTTTCTGGATTCAAGACTTGCATATTTTCATATCATACAATGAAATCACTGTGACTTTTATGTGTGTATATTTCCCTTTTCTGTTAAATTTTTCTGTAGTTAGATAAATCACGTACCATTCCATACTGAATTCATGCAGTGTGCTGGTTCTACAGTGTTATCACACAATTTTGTAAAAAATTGTTTCATGATTACACATTGGCATGAATAAAAAGGTATTTTCCAGTGTGCTGTGCTACCAGTGGACTGAAAATAGTAAGAACAAGGTGATTTTTATGTGTCATATTGAAGGAATTCTTGTATTTTGCTTGTTTTTAAGGAACATGGGATACTTGGTTGTTATATTTGAAAATGAGTAGCCTCCACTTTATTTCTTTTCTGCTCAATACCTTGCTACATTCACCATTACTTTTCATACCTATTTAAAGGTTGATAAGTGTTAGTAGTTTCTTTGAAAAATATACCTGTTGGCTCCTGTCAAAGAAAAGTTGTTTGTTCTGGCAGTAGACACAACATTTTTATTTGTGCTTATTCTGTGCTGGATATGCTGGACCTCTCCTGGCTTCATCCAATTTTATTACTCATCCATAATTTGAAAGCATGCATAATAAGGGCTTTACTGCACATAGGGGTAGATAAACAGAAGTGTTCAGCACTGAAGTAAAAAATCAGTTAAATAATAAATACTTGTTTTCAACTGTGCTATATTTTTAATTTATGTGGCTTATTGAAACATACACTATAGCATATAGCACCAAAATAAGCTAGGCTCAGTGAAGGTGGTATATCTGTTCTGTGTGTTGTGTTGGAACAATCCGGATAAGTTCTAATTCACTGCTAAATGTATGTACCTGTGGGTCTTCAGTGTGGCAGTTAGACTCAGTGTCTTTTCACAGTTTGCGTGAAGAAGCTATATGTCCTGTTCCCAGAGTAGCTACATGATGATTGCTGTCATTTCTTGTGGTATGCTTATCCAGGCATAAAATATATCAGCAGCACGTCTCAAAATCTTTGATTTTTGAAAGATGGGGTGGTGGGGGCAGAGAGGGTGAAGGAAGTTTTCATTTGTACATTTTTTTTTCTGGATTATCTTAACTTTTTAAAAATAATTTAACATTCATGTTTGAATGAAAAAGGTGAAGAAAAAAGGTGTATATAATCCTGTTTCTCAGTACAAAAAAAAAAAAAATACTAAATAGAGAACAGGAAATACTGACATACTTTTTCCCACTTCAGACTATTAGAAAGGTAACTAGGAAGTAGTCTGTCTAACATAAGTATCTTCTATTTGCAGAGCCAATGGAACAAAGCTGCAAATGACTGCGTATGACCTTTTTTTCCATTTGAATGCTCTAACAGAAAAAAAACCCCACAACACTAATTCAAAGGAAATTGATATTGTCCTCTTACTTACTAATACCCCATAATGATCTTTATTGGCATGCACCTATAAACTTTAAATCAGTTTGTAATAAATTATATCCACTACTTTGTTTATGTCTAATAAACAAGCTAATAATCTAATATACCTATTAATATACATTTAAAGGTGATTATATAATTAACGTAAACTTTTTCACATACCATCTGTTTTTCACTTCCCTGTATGATCTATTGCTCTTTACCGAATCAGGGGTGCATTGGAATGGAAATTATTTAAAATGAGTAGCCACTTTTTTCGTGCATTTGAATTAGCTTCAGTTTGGTTGGCAAGAGACCTTCACAGTTATAAAATCTGTTTATATATTAATATGTTTGGTTTATGCTTATTTATCAATTTTCTTGTAGGGAACAAATGGCCACAGAAATGTCAGAAATATTGTCTAGGTAGGTGAGAAGACAACACCAAATGAAACAATCATTTTATAAAAAGAAATCACACATGAAATGAGTTGAATTATTATGGAGTGGAAAATAATGGAATCTGGCTTTTTTTAAATGCTAAGCAGATAAATTATTTCTTTCAGATAAATTTCCTTTATCAACACTGTTTTTCAGCAATTGTTTTTCTGCTATTTTAACTGATTATATTAAAAAAAGAGTAAGAATAGCTCAAGTACCCTGGTATTCTGTGTAATATGGTAATATTCCGCCAGCTCTCTTCTCTTTTCACCTTTCTTATAATGATAATAGAAAACTAGGCTGCACATCTTTTGAAGGAGTATTTCTACAGATTCAGCATAGAGTTAATTAAGTTATTTAATGTTAATGTAACTGTTAATGCTTTTAATAAGAAAATATTCTAGTTATAATTCCCTTTAAATAAAAGCAGTTTTGAAAATTACCATATTAAAACCCCTCTTAAGACATCTGAACATCTCCTGAGATTTCTTGAATGCTAATGCAAGATTTTATGCACAGAGCAGGAGGAAAGTAGCATGAAGGTTTAGATCTGAATACAGTTCTACTGGAACAGTCTCATACTGATTTGTGTTAGAATACTAATTCTCTGTTGTAAGAAATCGTTATAATGTCCTCCATATCAGTGAGGAATTCAAAAGCGTTTTGTGCAACTTGAGGACAGAAGTAACCTTTTGACATTCATTTTCTGAAGCTTACATAGGAAGTGAAATTATTTAGAGTTTTTAGAAGTGAATCTGTTGTTAAGCTAATATTCTGTGTATATAGAGTCTGAAGATGATTGGTCTTACATGATTGATGGGTTTTGTAGTTGTAGCTTTAATTAGGAAGACAGCTGTTAACTAAACTTGTTTCTTGCAGTGGTATTTTAAGAATAGGAATAAACAATGTTGTGTGTAATTAAGTTGGCATGTAAATTTAGGTAGCTAGATTGTACAGCATATATTGACATAGTTCCAATGACAGTGGCCAATTCCTCATGTGCAAAAAAAAAAAAAAAAATCACAAAACTTTGGAGCAAACTCAGAGGCTCTGCGTTTTGGTTGAGTTAAAAAATGTAATACTTCTTACTACATGCTTGTTTCATTATTTTTTTTTCACTTTTCATATACTGGAAATTTTTGACTTGAGGCTGATTTTTTTTAAGTCTGTAATACTGTTTATGATACATAACTTTGTCAGATTGAACAGTGAAGACTGATTGTCAAGTATGATGCTGCTCTTACTGCCAGACTATTATGCTTAAAGTCATGTAGAAAACAAGAGAGTGATCTGCAGAGTGTAGAGTAGTATGGTAATTGAAAGACTAAGTCATTCAATTGGATTAGCATTCTTAAAGATTACTAGTTTAACTAGAGAACTTGCAGTCTGGTTCTGCTACTCTAAATTATTTAGCAAACTCTTAGAGTGGTGGGTAGTGTTGCTAAATAAGGAAAATCCTTAGGATTTGTCAAATTAGGTACAAGGAGGTTAGACACCAGGCAGTGCAAACTACATTTAGCAGCAATCATTTAACGTCCTACAGGTATGCCAGTGATAACAAAATACCAAAACATGTATATATTTTGAAGGACACTGTCTCATGATTTGTTTTACACTTTGTTGTGGTTTGAGCCTGGTCGTCAGCCAAACACCATGCAACCGCTCTCTCCCCCTTCTCCTCCAGAAGTGAGAAGGGACAGATGAGCCAGGCTTGGGGTTTGAGATAGGATCGGGAGGGGAAAATCAATCTTTATGGTCATGAACAATAGGCAGACTCATTAGGAGAAGAAAAAAAGGACATACATTTATTATAGACATAAGTAGTGCTAAGAGTGAGGAAAAGTTCCCATCCCTCAGCTATGTGCTGATTAAAAATCAAAGAAGTAATTTTTTATGTCACACTTCTAACATACCATAACTGGAAGCTCTTTGTTGACTCAGATTAGTAGTATAATAGGTATAATTAAGCTGATGCTGCATTAAACAGTAAGATTCTGCAGTTTTAATTACATTTGATGAGATGTTTCAGTTCTCCTAAGAACAACTTTTAGTTAAACAAATTGCTTTATTCTATGAAACCTAAATTGTGTTTGTTATTTCTGCTTTCACAACTGCTATATCTACGTGGAGGAATTTTTCACATAAAATATATTTATAACCTATTAACTAAAAAGTGAAGATAAACAACATAGAACTTAATAGTACCACATGAGATCTTCTGGAAAAATAAACTTGAAAATAATATTCACTGGATTACGAATACTGTAATAAAGTAACAGTCCCACAAAGATACTGTTGCACTAACAGGCTTTAAATGAAAAGGCCTGGTTTCTTCTGTTTTTTTCTCTCGTGAATTTTTAATGTGACGTACTGCATCAAGCATTTTGCTACCCTGTTAAAGATCTAGTTTCTTCTGAACAAATCGGCTCAGATCCTGAAGGATAATTCAGTTTGCCTCATGTTCTTAGTCATAGGCATTAGCAGAGGTTGGTAAAATCATGTGTCTGGTCTTGAATTCCTTAAGAGTTTAAAAAGTATTCTGATTGTCACTGTATGTTAGTGTTTTGAACTTAGTTTATATGCAGATAATCCATGGGAGGTTTTCTGTTCCTAAGGGGAGTTCTTCTGCTTCTTAGCCATATCATTTTTAAGGAGAGAAAAATAATTGAGGTTTATCTTTATACCTATGCGTGCAATGTTTGTTTGTTACATGGATAACCTTATACATACTGTTAAAGATGATTGAGATTTTAATAATAATTTGTCACTTGCGTTTGCTGTTGGCTTTATTGCATACTACATACATGATGAATACTTTTTGCCTTTGAAAAACACTTATTTCTGGTATGAGTCTTTTTATACTGGCTTCTGAGTGGTCTTTTTTTCTTTGGTATCTCTTGATGATCCTCCTCTCCTCTCCGTTCCTCCCCCTCTCCTCCCCCCAGTAAATATTGCTTTTCTCAGGCAGCTTCTATACAAATAACATAAAATTAATTTGCTTTCCTCTCTCAAATTAGACTTTTGCCAAAGATACAGAATATTTTCTCTAGTCTTGGAACAAGGATTTTTTCTTAATCTACTTTTGAAACAGCAGAGGAAATGCCTTTTCTCCCTTCTTAACTTCTTCAGAAATATTTTTCCTTTTATGTTTATTGAATGGAACTGAAAATTTATGTAGCCTCTCTTTGTTGTCTGTCTTAAGCATCTTGGCTAGTACTAAGAAAAATCTTCATCAGCGTGGGGTGAGGTAAAAATAAACAGAGTATGCATCTTTTCACACATAAGCGCTAACTATTAATGAATTCTTTTTAATCTCTAGGCAACCAATCAGCTTCAGATTATTATATCATTTTGGGCATAAAAGATGCTTTCACTTTCTCTTAATCATTTGAATATCTTGGAAATAATATGGTACTTTGCCTTTGAATTCACTGTCTCTGTTGCTGATTTTCATTGTAATAAGCGTGCTGCAGTGATGATCATGGGATCTGTTCCTCCTTTTGTAACAACTCCTCCTTCACACTTTAAAAGTTTTTTCTTTATTTGTTTGGTTTTTAAATCATTTTAGGGGTCCTTCAGTTCAAGCCACAAAAGCCGCTGCTGGTACTAAGAAGCATGATCTCAGTAAGTGGAAATATGCAGAGCTTCGTGATACAATCAATACATCTTGTGGTAAGTTTGTTTTTCTTTTTCTTTGAGAAAGAAGTCAAGTTGTAGTTGCATGAAGGGTGTTACTTTCTTCCTGTGACACAGATTAAATCTTGCTCATGAATTTATTCATTCTGAATGAATGTCAATTTAATTTAAAAAAATTGTGTTACCCCCAAAGAGAACAGCAAAATAAGCTATTTCCATATTGAGGAAACAATTTCCTTTGTTACCTCCTTTACTGACTATATATTTATGATGCTAAACTGCTTGGGCTGTAAATACATGTTGTAATTTCTTAATTAAATTGTCTCAGTTTTATGTATTTCCACAAAGGGAATAGTAGTTACTATATACTCAGAATTCACATGTTCTAAGACATTTTTTGCTATCACTTCTTGTTGTCACAAGAATCACAAAAAAGTAAATAAGTCATGTAAAGCACAGCATAAAATATTTTTTGTCTTAGATGTTCAGATTATTTTTTAATTTTCATAATGTGTAACTTCATTTGGGAAGCTCACAGTTGGGACATTAATTACTTTTCTCCCAGTGTTATGAAGGTAGAAACAGATAAGAATTATTCCTTTATTAAATATTACTGTTTCTTCCTGCATCTGACTGAAAGCAGTTGGTTAATTTCTGATTTAAGATAACTCAGAATTTCTCCCTAGATGTAGAAATTGGAAACAAAGTTATTCTCTCTATCTGTATTTAAAACCCAAAGTTAGCTGCAAATTCTAACTGTGTCTCTATGATTTTACATATGCAAGACTGGAGCAATGCTTTCAGCTCAATAGGCGGAGCAGTAATACATGGTGCTGATGTACTTTCATCCCTAGTGAAGCCAGTTTTGGATAGTCTTAGGTGACTAACAAAAAAGCCTTGCAATCGTTCAGTCTCTTAATATTATGAAATTCAGCAAAATCAAAATACATTTAATGAAGTGAAAAAAGAACCTAGATCTGAGCAGTCAAACTGCTGATTTTCTTCAGCTGCAGAAATAAAGTTCAGTGGTGAAATTTTATCTGTTTCTGTACTGCTTGCATTGTGATAATGTCAACAGGCAAGTTTAGTGAAGTGAAAATTTTATTTGTAGCATTTCACTGCTGCAAATCTCACGGTAGAACAGCTACTTTGGGGACTGCCATGGCTCTGAAGGAGAATAGTATATATAGCACTCCAAGGGACTTTCTGGGCCATAAAATACAGGCCCTGTTGCTGCAGAGAATGAGTGTTTATTATATTATACTATAACATATTAGTTTTACAACATGATTAAAATTATTTACCTATCAAATTAGAAAAGCATCTCATACTTTTTCTGATTTTTCTCACTTATCCCTTCCTTCCTCATTTTTGAGCCAGATATTGAATTATTGGCAGCTTGCAGAGAAGAGTTTCACAGAAGACTAAAGGTATATCATGCTTGGAAATCCAAGAATAAGAAACGCAATGCAGAAACAGAACAGCGTGCTCCCAAATCAGTCACAGACTATGGTGAGGAGATACAATTTTGTGTTTATAGTAATTTTGGTGACAGTATTCTAAAGAAAACATTTCTAAAATGAATTTTTGGTGTTACTAGGTTAAGGGAAATTCTTGGGTTTTTAAAGAGTATTTTTATATTGATTTAAGGTAAATATTTTGAAAAGATTGGAACTAGCAAATACTTTGCAGAAAGTAAAATACTTTCAGGAAACCCAGATATATGTACTGAATAGCTCTCCCTAAAACCTTTACTTACGCCAACTCATCTGTTAAAAATAGTTCTGGACCTGCTGGTGCAGTTGCTGGTGTGTTTGCTAAATGTTCATAGCTGTGCTACTTAATCTTATGGAAGATACTTTTCCATTTGTGAAACTGCGGTTTGCATTTTGAGTCTCCTCGGTCTTTCCTTTTTAGGTTGTTCATACTATTTCTGACCTCTGTAATTACAAACGTTGCTTTCTGAGAGTGGTTATTGGTAGTTCAGAACAGAGAATTACACCTAGGGATAGAACAAAGTTTCTAAAAATAGTTAGAATCATAGAATAGTTTAGGTTTGAAAAGACCTTTAAGACCAAGTCCAACTGCAACCCTAACACTACCAAGTCCATCACTAAACCATGTCCCTAAGAGCCACATCTACACATCTTTTAAATACCTCCAGGGATGGTGACTCTACCACTTCCCTGGGCAGCCTGTTCCAATGCTTGACAACCCTTTCAGTGAAGAAATTTTTCCTAATATCCAATGTAAACCTCCCCTGGTGCAACTTGAGGCCATTTCCTCTGGATCTATCGCTTGTTACTTGTCAAAAGAGACTGACACCCACCTCACCACAACCTCCTTTCAGGTAGTTTCAGAGAGTGGTAAGGTCTCCCCTGAGCCTCCTTTTTCCTGGCCAAACAACCCCAGGTCCCTCAGCCGCTCCTCATAAGACTTGTGCTCTAGACCCTTCACCAGCTTCGTTATCCTTCTTTGGACACACTTCAGCACCTCAGTGTCTTGTAGTGAGGGACCCAAACCTGAAAACACTAGTGGAGATGGGGCCTCACCAGTGCCGAGTACAGCGGGACAATCGCTTCCCTAGTCCTGCTGGCCACACTATTTCTGATACAAGCCAGGGTGCTGTTGGCCTTCTTGGCACACTGCTGGCTCATATTCAGCTGGCTGTCAACCAACAGCCCCAGGTCCTTTTCCACCAGGCAAATTTCCAGCTGCTCTTCCCCAAGCCTGTAGCGTTGCATGGGGCTGTTGTGACCCGAGTGCAGGACCCAGCACTGAGCCTTGTTGAACCTCAGGTAATCGGCCTTGGCCTGTCGATCCAGCCTGTCCAGATCCCTCTGTAGAGCCTTCCTTCCCTCAGGCAGATCAACACTCCCACCCAAGTTGGTGTTGTCTGCAAACTTACTGAGGGTGCACTCAATTTCCTCATCCAGGTCACTGATAAAGCTGTTAAACAGAATGGGCCCCAGTAATGAGCCCAGGGGAACACCACTTGTGACCGTTCTCAAATAGTCCATCTATCAGAGAATTGCATGTGATATCTTTTTTTTTTTTTGGTGTTGTAAAAAACAGGATTGGAAGGAATCACGCTGTGTTATGTAATTCACTGTTACATTTGGGGTCCAGACAAAACAAAAAGTGTTGGTGATAAGGGTGGTTTTTCTCATGCTTTTATTTTTTTTGTAAGGTATATAGACATACATACTTTTAAAAGGTGGAAATAATTTCCTCACATCACTGTAAGCCTTAGATAGTTCAGCTTACATTCTCTTTTTAAAAATTCTATGAGTGTTCACATTGCAAGTTTTGATTTTGATTACAGGATGACAAATTTTGCATAGTCCCTGCTTTCTTATTAGACTGTCATTCTGCTGATTTCACAGATGGATGTTTATTGTCAAAGGAATACACTAATGACAATATGTGACTGCCTTTTAAATTCAAAAAGAAGGTGTAGGAGTTAACATGTTTAACACGGCCAGACCTGAAAATTGCCCAGTTTCTGGAGTGATATTTGCAGAGTGGATTGTTATTCTTTTTCCCACCACCTCACCACCTGAGTCCAGTGATGGCCTGGTATGAAAGGAATCTAAGAAATGAACAGAATCACAGCAAATGGATATAATAATTTAGTCAGATCTTTCCTGCTGTCTTCTGGTTCTATGATTTTTGTGTTCCTGACCACACTTAGTGGGAGAGGAAGGGGAGGATGGAGAGAAGATGCTCTCCCCAAAATCCTGTTGGCCTGGGATTAAAGCATTGTTCTGGCACATGGGGGATACAGCTCCCAGGGTATACAGCTACCCTACTTACTCTTGGTGTTGGTGCTTATACACAGATGTCTCCTCCTTCTTGATTCATTTACTGAGTTATGCATTGCTTGAGCATTACCTGAGAATTTGAGCTTTTCAGGGAACTTTGCTGCAGGTATATGGCAGGTGAAATCTGGACCCCTGGAAAAGATGTTATCAAAGAATGGGTCCTTGTAGCCAGGCCTCATAACGTGGATGTAAGTCCTTAAGAGAGCTTATGACTGAAACAGCAGGAAAAGACATTTTAAGTACTTCTGCAAAGCGGTAAGTTGCTTTGAATTTGAGCTCGCAAGTTCTGTCTGGAGCTAAATAGATAAAATAAATATTCATGCACAGTATTGCTGATGGGAAGTATCAAAAAGCAGAAAATCTTTGGATTTGTGCAAATAAAGCCTGGAATATTTATGATCTCGTTACATTTAGTTAAGACATTTACAGTGTTCTTTTCAGTGTTTTTAATTGCATTTTTTTACTTCTCTTGACATATGGCTTCATATTTCTGAAGAAAAGTTAGAACATTGCAGTTCAGGAGAAGGTCACTGGTAGTGACCTTTAGAGACTCTTGTTAATGTCAGAAGTAATTCTTCCTATTGGAAATAATTACACTACATGGGCATTTCACATCTATGTATTATAATGATCTGAGAAGGTAGTAAGAAGGAACTCTGATTTCTTAGATGTTTAAGCTAAATGTCTTTCAGGTGTCGGTGGATGTGTGCTTCAAATGATATAGTTTCTTCTTTCTATTTTTTCATTGATGTCATATAACTTTACAGGTATCCTTTAATGCATACATTCATTATAGAAGCTAAACACTGATTTGTCTATTATAATTGGAATAGGCAGATGTGGTATTAATAGAGTTATGGAAATTTATTCCTAGAAGAAATGTCAAAAATTAAAGGTACTACATTAATTAACTAGCAGATTTATCACAGCAATCTGTATTTAGCATGTATACAACTGAAGTTTTGCAACAGGCATCAAAAATCACTAAACTCATCAATTTCAAAATGAAATCCTAATGAAAATAGAAGCCGTGGGAGATCTATGAAATTTGAGAAAAGGAGATGTTTTATATGTGTCAGTGAGCAGAAAATGATTAGAAATACTTAGCTCAACGTTTGTCTTTATTTTGTAACTAGAATTCCCATTTGTCTGTCATCAGCACTGGTGAAAAATGTTGAATTAGTGAAACTGTAACTTATGAAGGATCAGCACTTTTATGTTTTGTTCAACATGTAATATTTGTTCACAGATTTTGCACCATTTTTGAGCAACTCACGTAAGTGGGGAGATGGTTATTTAAGCTAACTTTGAAGAATAGGAACACTTGAGAGCTATATACTAACATTAATTAATCCAGTGTTTTGCTACACGTCTGCATAGAATCTAATAGTTAAAAAATTCTATTTTACAATTTGACAATGTTATTCAACTGATGGTAATGATAAGTTACTCTAGTAATTTATGAATGAACTGTACTGCTTATCATCATGAGATCCTACCCATTTGAGCAGTCATGGGAAGGAAGAATGAAATAACCTTTTTATGTAGGTTATTTGAAGGTATAAATTTATATTTTTTTTCTCTTGTTTTCCCCCCTCCTGCTTCCCCCCTCCCCCTCGAAGAAATACCATGCTCGTTCTAACATTTTTTTTACTGTCAGTACATGAACTTCTGTTGTAGCAAAACTCTGGAATCAATATAACAGCTATTTTCCTAGCACACATACTAACATTCAGGTGATGGTTTCTTTTGAATAAAGAACTGAAATTCCATAGCACTGAAAAGTAGAGGCTACATTGGCTGCTTAGCATTCCTGCCCTCTAGATTCTTCTTGGATTTAGGTATGTGCAGGGGTAGAAATAAGCCTTAGCAATTACCACTGCAGTGCAAAAAGCGGCAATACTAAAGCACTGGTGTGCTGTGATAGATGTTCAGACAATTTTCAGAAAATAGAATTTATTGCTTATAAACTGTAAACTATGTCACCTTGTAAAATACATGCTTTATCAGAGTTGATGTATAAAAGTAGCATTTACCTATTAAAATGTTTCTCTTTGTGTATGTAGACATGGAAAAAAAAATTGGGGGTGTTATTAGTATAGTACATATATTATTTCTTTTAAGATTCTGGTCTTCACATTTAGAAAAAGTATATTTTTGCTTGAATCTAAGTGGAAGAAGTTTCAAGGTACAGTTGCTAGTCTATTAGTCTTGTGCATAACTATAAAAATACATTAGTAGAAGTGATTAACATTTTTCATTTTATTAAATTTTAGCTCAAAAATTAGCCTTGCTGCTTAATAGACAAGGGACGAAAAAGAAATTCACTGTGAATTATTCACTTTATGCTGAAACATGGAACTGTTAATACTGATTCTCTTTTGTAGAGATGGCATAGATTCACATTCAGAATTTCTTGAATGGTATTTGTAACAGTGGTGTTGTAAACCACTAAAATAAGATCAGTAATAAACTTTTGCAAGAGGCAGTTATTAAAAGAAAGGATCTTGCCTGTAAGAGCATTTACTATTTAAAACTGATTATGATAGTGTATACATAACATTAAGAAGGTCGATCAGCTGATGAGTTAACATAGACAGTGTTTGCTTTTATTTGAAAGAAAGTTTCTCTTTGAAGTCTGAAATGTGCGGGACTGAGGGAATCCAAAAATGCACACGGGAAATGTTTATCAAAAATACGTATGAAGCTTGAAAAGATTTTGTGTAACTCTGCATCTAGAAATTTGGTCTGTTGATCTTAATGGTCTGAAAGAAACAATTTATTGAAAAAAGAAAGCAGCTGGAGAATAGTTCTAGTGCTAGAGGCTAGTACACAGGAATCTGGGCAAAAAGTTACATTTGGTGGCAGCTTTGTAATAAGCAGTATTTGTTGTCAATATGTCTTAACAAATTAGTAATTTCTAACAGTATTACACCCCCTCTGTGCTGAGTGTCAAAAATCTTCAAGTGCTGCTTTGTATTTTGTAACTGAAAATGCTTCTTTGCACTGTGACCTTGATTTACAAAGAGGTAGACTGAACTAGAGCAGTTACTGATTAATGTTTCTAGTTCATAAGAAATTTTATATGGGAAGTTTTACCTTAAATATTGATTTAAAGCAGAATGTGTTATTCTACTCACTTTGTTTTGTCTAAATGTACCCAATGCCATTGAGCGATCTATAGAGCAACATATAGATGAAACAGTTAACATAAGCCTTTCCTCACCAGTGTTGTAGCTGTAGTGATCAATAGAATGCACATTATATGAGATGGGAGTACTTTTTAGGTTTGATGAGACTTCAGAAGATGTATTCAGAAAGAATCTCTCAGGTTTTTGAAGGTTTGGTTTGGTTTGTTACTTGTTTTTGGGCGGGGGTTTGTTTTGGTTTTTTTTATTTTTACTTTGCTGATTAATCAAGTCATAATACGGCTTTCTTGTTTTCTATTTTTTTTTATTTGCTTGGTTTTTTGTTTTTTTGGGGTTTTTTTTTTTTTTTTGTATGATAGCTCAGCAGAACCCGACAACCCAGCTACCAGCCAGACAAAAAGAGATTGAAATAAACAGACAGCAGCGTTACTTTCGCATTCCCTTCATCCGTCCTGCTGACCAATACAAAGATCCCCAGAACAAGAAGAAGGGCTGGTGGTATGCACATTTTGATGGGCCATGGATTGCTCGACAAATGGAACTTCATCCTGACAAGGCACCCATTCTCCTTGTAGCAGGTTGGTATTGAAAGCAAAATTCAAATCTTGAAAAGGTTCAGAGCTGATAATTTACTTTAGAAAAAGAGGCTGATGATACAGTTCTCCCAAGTTGTATCCTCTTTTTTTTCATCAGTGGTTATTGTCTGGGCAGAATTTGAGGATTTGGGACTGCTGTTGATGGTGTGGCCAAATGTTACAGAATATCACTTAGAGATGTAACTGGTCACATGTTTTACTTGTACGTGTACTTTAATCTGGGAAATCATAGACAGAGTAGGAATCCAAATGTAAATGGTTTTATTATTAAGGGTCCTCAGATTATTTGCTGAACTGGAGACAGCGTGAAGATGAAACATCACAATTTATCTGGAAAAGTTCTACTCACCATTTTATAGGTTTTTAGTTAACATTGAAAATTTACAGCAGTTTGTATCAAGACAATTTGCACATATGATATATTGTCTTTCCATAGTATGGTGCTAATAGCAAACTGATGCTTTTACCATATTGATGCTGCCTAATATGGGAGAATAACTTTTTAATCTTAAACATTTAAAATAAAAACTACGTGTGGCAGTGGATAGGTAGAGATTTATCTGTTATTGAAATGTGTCCTCCTTTTCTGGAGGATAATTGAAGGGGGTGAAAATGCTGGAGAGATGCTGTTTACGTTCTGTGTTTTGAGTTTTTGTACTTAACTTGGGGACTGAGGAGAAGGCCCGTGTTTAGCTTCAGCACGGTGCTTTACTAGCAACAAAAGTTCCTTTGTGTTCTTCTAACTATTTTTAATGGAATTACTTATACCAACTGTTGCCTGCTCAGTGTCAAAGCCCATAGCTAAAAGTACTGTTGCTGTCACGAGTCCCACATTCAGTGGACCACCTATCAAAATACAGTGAGTGAGCTACGTTTGCCATTTCATTGGATTCCCTGTGTCAATCCCATTTGGAAAAAGCTGTTTGTTTAGCGTGGGAGGCTGACAGATTAAGAATACTGGCTGCTGGATCAAAAGTCTCGAGTTCCTAGTCACTTTGCTACCTTTAAACAAGTTAAATAATAACAGCAGTTCACTGTATAACTATGTCAAGCAGAAAGGCTGTGTAAAACAAGTGCAGTTGTGATCCTGTGGAGGATTTCAGGAAAATATATCAAGGTGATGATCTTTTGGGCTTCTTTCCTTTGTTCTTTTTTGCTTGCTTTTTTAAGCACAGTTTTGTCAGTTGTGGCATCTGATATGAGTTTATTCTGATACAGCTTTTCTGCTTTCTGTGTAAGAAAAGAAATAAATAAACAAAATATCAGCTTGAGGACTGATATCCCCATAACTCTGAAGTCTACTAACAAACTAGAGCTTGAGAGAGGAAATCCAACTAACAGAAGATCTAATCTTTGTTAATGGGACCTTTGAATGGTGTAAAAGCTTTAATAAAGATTTTTCCTTTTCCCTTACCCATTTCAGGTAAGGATGATATGGATATGTGTGAGCTTAACCTTGAAGAGACTGGCTTAACTCGAAAGCGAGGTGCTGAAATTTTGCCGAGACAGTTTGAAGAAATTTGGGAGCGCTGTGGAGGTATCCAGTATCTTCAAAATGCAATTGAAAGCAGACAAGCTCGTCCTACGTATGCTACAGCTATGCTGCAGAACCTATTGAAATAAATGGTCATTTTGCCCAGTAGCGTTTGAGAGGAGAACCCTTGGCCGTGCTACAAAGGGAAGAGTTCCTCTGGGCAACAGAGGACGTAAACATTCTATAATCATATTAGAGATGTTTAATATAAAGTGAACAGATTTTATTAATCATGTGGTTTGTTAATTTGTACTTTATGATGTTTAATTTGTGTAGTGAGCTCTACTAGGTATGAGGACCTTAAAGAAACTTCAGTCAGTGTAGTTTGTTGCATTTTGTTTATATGTTGCATTTTCTTTAACAGTTTCTGTTGTAACTCTTTTAACACTTTTAAGCAATCTGTCTGTACTTGGGTACATATTACAAAGAACTGCATTGCAACCACCTTGTTATAAAATCCCCTCTTTAAAACACTGAGTAGTTGGTTTCAACTGGTGGCCTAGTAAAGAGGATTACGCTGTTTCTAATAACTGGAATTGTGAGGCCTTAGCTTTGACTTCTATTCCGGAGAAGTTGGAGTATACTTTTATATAGTCTGAGACATTTTATGTCCTGATTTGAGAACTGATTGGTGTCTGTATTTACTGAGTTTTTCAGAGACTGATGGGAAATCCTCTTAAACTTGAGACCCGTAAATTCCTGTTTAATGTATTCTCTGTCTTGGTTTAAGAGAAATGGTTTTCTGTACATTCTGAGAAGAGCATTCATATATGTCAATATTGTGTAATATTGGAGGTACTCAAAGAATGTACTGCTCACTAGGGCTTATACTGCTTCTCTCTTAGTTTCTTTTTCTTTTTTAAGTACAAATTTCCTTTAGACTTCTATTTTTTCTCACCAAATTTCCATTAGGAATTCTTGGATAGTTTGTTTATCCAGGTAGTGTAATTTCAATATATTACTCAAAATTGTCCAAGACTTGTATCAGGAGGCATGTAAGAGTACAGATAGTGTAAAGGAGATATGTTCAGCTTTTTGTTGGCAGCGTAACTTAACTGAATAGTGAGGCCTGAGCCTCAGATGTCTTGTTTATTTTGATTGTAACAAGATGCTCAAGGTCTGCACCTTTTGTTAGACTGTATAAAAATTTGGTCCAGTAACATAATGCATCATCCTAGTACTATGTGCTGATGAAATAGCTACAATTTTTATCATACTGAAATACCATAGTGATTTGGACACTAGCTTTATCTTCATCTTTTCTGTCAAGCTTGTAACAGTTCCCTTATTAAGCAGTTTGTTTTGGGAGTTTTTGTGGGTGGGAGTTCTTAGTTTCATACGGTTTTAAGATGCATTTTGTTCACTTATGTGAACATTGTTCCACCACGCTGGCCATTATTTCAACAAGTTAAACTTGATTATTTATTATCTCTGTGATATGAATTTGAAATATAGGTAGCTTTATGTCCAATTACTTACTCAACCCGATTTAAAAATGAAGTTTTGCTATATGAATTGGCAAGGTTTGCTTACACTATAAAATAATTTCCTCACTGTTTACCTCTTGAAAACTTCAGTTTTTAAATGCACAAATATACCTAATTAATAACTTTCAAGAGGTACAGTTCTGTAGCACGGAGAAAGCTCCTGATGCATACATCCTTGCTGACCTTAGATTGTGCTTGCATGCCACTGTCTGCTGCTTGTTATAAATGCCCTCCTTGCTGTAATACATGCAGAGATACTTGAGTAATGCACTAACTCTGTCTGAATCCGTTGTACCAGGGAATCTCGGCTTCCACTGCGTACCCACTCGACTTTTTGGTCATGTGATTGCAAACAAGAAAATGTTTTCATTTTACCCAAATTTTCCACTGAAGCAGTAATTTTTGGCTGGAAGATGAGAGGAGAAGTGCATCAGGCTGCTGGCTACCAAGTTCTGTACAAACCTGTACAGTGTTGCATGTGTTTAAAGGTGCTGCTTATGAAATTTAGATTAGTGGTTTAATGTCTTACTGAATTTAGAACCAAAGTTTCAGAACTTCCAGTCTCCAGAAACTTAGCACTGCAAGAAGCTGTGATCGCTCATGCAATACAAGGAAGAAAAAATCACTGAACTGATGGGGCTGAGGTGCTCTATTCTGGATTTATGACTGTCTGGATTTAGTGTCTTAATTCTTTCAATCTCAGTGTATATATATATATATATAAAAATGGATCTTATAAGACTATAAGTCTTATAAGTCTTAAGTATGTGTGTGTATGTATATACACATATATATGCTTAAACATTTTAGTATATGTATGTGTAAACATACTTGTGGGGAACCTAAATAAAATTAACTGAATTTTCCACTCTGTTCCTTTGATTATGCCAGGATTTCCATGACTGGCATCAGAAAGAAAATTCATTTTTCAGAATGGGGGTGTATAGGGATTCTTCTTAACTAAATAACTAACAAATATGAGCTATCAGGAAAATAAAATTGACTTCGAAGTAGTGGAATAAGAACTGGTGGCTGGATGTTCTCAAACTAGCTGTTCCCACCTCTCTGCACTGCTTCAGCAGTATGCCTGAGGCAAGCAGAAGATGCATTCCAAAAATCGGAGTATTCTAATTTGCACAGTGGCAGGCTGTTTGTTTTGTTTTGTTTTTTCCTCTCCGCACCAAAAGCAGCATCCGCGTTTAGTTTTACTGATCTTTTTGTGCAACAAAATCAATTTTCAAATAATTTCATAATTTTGGTTTTTGTTCTGTTTTGGTTTTTGCTAACATCAGGCAATATTCAGCTGCTTACCAGTTGTTTCTGTAGTCTCATCTACTGTGTCAGATAATTATACTGTTGGTTGATTTGGAGAGGAAATAAAAAAGCAGGGGAGGGGTTTAATATGTAGGACTGTAGTATTACTTAGTGCCCTTCTGATCTATGGTTATAGAGAAAAACCTCATTTGCTTTTTAAAGCAAAATGTTGGCTTGGTTCTGTGTGTTTGATTTTTTTAAAAAAAAAAATCTTCCTGCCTCTCAGTGAAGCTGTCTATTATAGCTGAGATCTTCTGCATGAAACACTCCACAAAACAAAGGAGAGGAAGCGAATCGCCGTGCTAGGCTGCATTCCTGACTAGGTGACCTAGGAATATGAATTTTCTAGAGAAGGCTACTTTGAAGATCACAAGGTCATTAAATACTTGTCTTTCACTCACTGATAAGATTGTTTTTCTTTACCTAGTTGAATCCTTTGGTTTTTTCTCCAAAATCTTTATTTAAAGTATTTAAATGACCTCCTAATACTGTACTGAAAATTAAAAAAAAAATAAATACATTCCATGCTGAAATCTCAGTTGTATCTCTCTTACCATTTTGTCTTTAAAGATTTAATTTAATTTACCCTTACTTATTCTGCTTTATGAGAAGGATAAAAAGATTTCTGTGCTGGAACTGCCTGCTGCTTTTCTGTCAGATGTTTATGGTACTTAAAACTACTCTAGTAACAATTTTGTCTTTAATTTCTAAGGTAAGTATTCCTCAAAAATAACATTCTGATATCTAAAAAATCTGATTTTGTTACCTTTGAGTCTTATGCCTCATTTCTCAGTATTTGTTGAAACAAGCATCTTTTTACTTTTATTACTATTTTTTAACCTTTATTGCTATCGCTTCCGACATATTTATCATTTGCTATGCTGTGTGCTGTTTGCATTTTTTCGTTTTAAATTTTGACTACCAGTGAGTAGTGAAACCAATTATGAGGCTTCAAGTTTGTATGGTGGAGGAAAAGCTTTATGTTTGGGGTAGAGATGTAGTGTTGCTTTTGTTTTGGTTTTGTTTTGGTTTTGGGTTTTGTCTTTTTTTAAAAGAGTGTTGTCAAACTTTCCCATCCTAAGAGCCAAATCAGAGTGGTATTTTTTTAATTTAAGAAGGTAGAAGTAATTCAGACTTTGGTATCTAGGAGATATAATTTTATTTCACTTTCCTTATGGCTTTCATCTCCAACTGTAGCTTTACATCAGTTTTAAGATAACATCACGTGTTTTAGTGTGAAATTAAATATCAGTTCGATTCCTTGTGAAATTTTCAAGTAAATAGTTTTATTATATTTTATTGAAATACAAAAGGCTTACATCCAGCAAATATATTTGGTAATTAACAGTTGAGAGTGATAAATACAATCATGAATAATCATTATTAAAATACACATTTAAAAATTACTTTATTTTTAAATCTGACTAGTGATAGATACTGTGAATTGAAATATACTAAACACATACAAAAATACATTTGTAATGGAAAAAAAATTGAATGCTTTTAGCATTCTTAATGCATTCTTAACTTACATGAGCAGTAGTGAAAAGCTAACATTTTTTGGCAGGGATGACTTCCAGTGCCCTGCAAGAAGTATTTTTAATGTACAGTTTTATTCTGAAGTGTTACGGTGTAAAACCACATCTTAGGTATCTTTTTTTTGTTGTTGGTTTTTTTTTTTTTTTTTTTTTTCCCTAGTTAAATAAAGTAAGTCAAAATACTATTTCAGCTGTAAAAATTTGACTTTGTGTTCTTGGTGCATTGCCTTCATTTGTACACAATCACCAGTTCTGGTGGTTTTGCCAGCAAATCTGTTTGTGCAGTTAATTGTTTGGAATTGGTAAACAGTTCTTTTCAGCAATAAGGTAAACTAAAGTTCAGCCTTTGCTGTGGTAACTGTGTGGTACAAAGTAAAAAGAATCGTCACTTAAATCATCTGCTATCCTGAATACATTACATGGAAGTTGCACATCTGAGTGAGGAGCTGTCATCCAGTTACAGTCATGGACTTGGTAGAAGCTCAGTTTGAGCTGTAAGTACAACTCCTGATATGCACCAAGCAGCAAACAGTGCCTGAACATTATGCAACACTGGTGCAGCATATACACAGAGATATTCTCAAGAAGATGATGGATCAGGATTGTGGATCCATAGAGCATAAATTACTAAACCTATACAGTACCTGATGGCCACCCATTGTCTGCTTAGATTTCTTCTACAAAAACTAACAGTTAATTTCTCAAAATGATCTGTGTGTATACTGAGTTTAAAGTGTATGCGCTTATGTGCGACTACACAATCTACTGGCTACTGGGAGGGTGCCTGTGAATATAAATCTCATGCCCTAAGAAGATGAAGCTGCAGGTATTGTGCCTCAGCAAAATGCCAGAAGTCTTAGGATAACCTGACAGTTTAACTGTCACCAGAAATTAAGCAGTGAAGTGTATATGTACGTACGTGTATATATAATATATTTATTAACAGAAAAATAGGAATCTGATGTTCACAGAAACCATTAAATTAATCCCAACCTCTGTGTGATTTGCAATGTAAGCGTTGTAGGGAGAGAATGGAAAAGTTCCCAAGTGCTTTTACTGTGGCCTTTGGTCAATGACAGCTCTTGTTTCTGTGTTTGCCACTTACAGTACTGTATGTAAGGAAGGTCAATAAAAGGGTGTAGAAATGTGGTAAAGTTTCATCAACATTTTTACCAGGATGGTTGTGACATACAATATTGGAAAAAATCACCGCTCAGCAAAATCTCTTTCTAGCACTTGCCTCTTAACTAAAAATACAGTTAAGTTGTGTAAGTACTGGATGCTTAGTGCATGCATCTTAACAGTGACTTCTTACCAATCAAATTTTAGACATGGTCAAATAGTTGGCCAACTTGGTCATGTTGATTTTCCTTAATAAAACATTTTAAACGTGTGCTGATTTTTAGAGCTAAATGTTATATCTTTAGGAATCCTTGATTTTTTTTCATATGCCTAATCAACTTGAAGTCCAGTCTCTCCACCTTCTTTTTTGAATACCTGTAAGAGAAACTCTCATAAGACATTTGAAAAGCATTTTTGAAATTGAGAATGCATTATTTAGCTACTGCTAATAGGGAAGGTCTCACCAAAATCTATTGAGATAGTTTCCAGTTCATTGTAAGGAGAAGTGAGTTAATCCTGAGGTTATTTTTTATATACTAAGTCATTGAGCTCAGAGTAAAATTATTATTTTTTCTTTCTTCGTGGTATAACAATGCTGTGCTTCTATATGAAATAAAAACGAGTTCCATCTATATCGTCATAATCTGAAGAACATTTTTGGCTGTAAAATAATTAGAATGCAATGTGCTACAAAAGAATCCATATCTAGAACATCTACAAGATTCAGTTACAGTAGATCTGGGATAAAATAATCTTTGGGACGCTCAGCTTCTGTGCACTGTTTTAAATGTAAGAGTGGCAACTGTGCCGTGCAAGCGTGTAAATTTGTAAAACCCGACGCCTGGTATTCTCAAACTCAGAGCACAGCACTTCAATCGCTGGATGGTATTTTAGGTCTTCTTTCCCCTGTGATTCTGGTAATGAAACACGAAATCTCTGATACTGGTAGGGGAGATCTAACCGAGCTACTTGTATTGTTGCTGTATTGTTTTAATCCAAAATTCCATTTGCTTGATGATCCACGTGACTGACATGAGGATGAAACGAATAGCAGTCTTTGCCTCAAATTTAATTTCAGTCATCCTTCTTGGTGGCTGAATCAGTTTTTCAGAGGATCGTGCTATGTGTCAGTTACTGGTTTTGATGAGCAAAGAATGCTGTATTTTATATAAATCTCAGAATCTATAATGACTTCCAGGTTTCATCTGAATGGCATCAAATGAAGCTGTCTTTGTCCATGCCGATTAGATTCAGCATTATAAAACAAGTTATTCTACCATCCTCTTATCCAGTGCTTTATTTCCAGTGCTTCTGAGCTGTTTTGTGTCAAATATTTCTGGATCCTCTAAGTTTGTTAAAACTGATCTTCTGTGTATCTGTTGTGACATGGTTCTTTTGCAAGCTTAGAGATTGTGAAGACTCCTTAGATGAGATCCTTTTTCTCCTAAAGGGTTAGATCCATTACTGAATTTTGCCAATAGTGCCTTGAAAAAGCCTACTCACCCATGCCATGTATGAACACAGATAAATGAATTTTGTAGAAAAGCATCCGTTAGACCAACTGAAAAGTAATAGACTTTACAGACAGCTTGACATAAGACCCTTACAGCTGAAAAGCAATGTGCTGCTCTTTTCACTGACCGGAGAACGTCCAGCACAGTCACTGACAGGGACAGCAGAGACTACCAGAGCAAAGCTGCGTTCTGAAATGAGGTTGTGTAGGCGAGGTGGGCAGCAGAGAGCCAGCTCAGCAGGGTCCTTTTCGGAGAACTCTGACATGTTTGACTCTCAACCATAGCAGGCCAACTGGATGTGGACTTGTTGGCCTTATGTCTCAGTCTGAACGAGCTGATCCACTTGACTGTAAATTCTAGCTCACTGTCCCATTCTGCTTTGGCCCGGAGAAAGATGACTCTGAGTCATTTTATTCCTCACATTTGTGGAGCAAGACACCCCAAATTCCCAGAGACCTAACCGTGTAGAGAGGTGGCTGTGGTTTCTGGCTGCTTGCAAGAACTTGTGTTTTCTACTGAGCTCAGGAAGAAAGAAGAGCACGTTCTTCACCTGGGTGTGAATCATGTTTGTTAGTTCCTGGACTAATTGGATAGAAACCCCATGAAACAAAACCCTCTCTGATAACTAACCTTTGCAATCATTTTCCATGTAGTGACTGTATAACTGAACTGGAAACTTTCTTCATGCTTAGGAAGGAACTGAAAGTTATTTTAGATTCTACTGTAATCTTATGTTTATTTTCATATATGCCTTTATAAATACAGAGCTGTACTTACTGTAGATAATATGTCCTAAAAAGCTGTCACTGCTGTCATTACATATTGCAAAACAGAATTTAAAGACTGGGATTTTCAGTTTGGCCTAAGAGTTCTAGATATGAACCTCCTCCTGAAAATTCAAGTACCATATGATGAAATGATGAAAAATGGCCAAAACTACCTATTTTTTTAAAAAAAAAAAAAAATAATTCTATTTTGTGGTTGCCTCACTTCTCACTAAATTAATTTCCTTAACTGGATTTTGAGAGCAGCTCTGTCAATATACTTTTGACAATTCAAATACAGTCTTGATGACACAGGCCTGGTTTTCTCCCACGGATGGGCCATTTTATTCCTTTCATAAAGTATTTAATGCTTTTGTAAGTAGTGATTTTGAGTAGTTCAGCTGGTATAAAAGTATATTGGTCTACAGTTACCCACAGACACATTTCTTTTAAGATGGGTGTAAAACACTAATTGCTCTCGTTTTTATCAGCAGTGAAGCCAATTCATTCTTTTCTGAACTGCTGCTCCCTCCCGACTTGTCGGTCTCTATCCCTGCGCTCAGTCCCCCCAGTGTCGGCATCTCAGTCTGTACCTGTGAGCTGGAGTACTTGAAGAGACCAGAGCTGGGAATCATGAACATCAGTGAAAAGAAATATTTCTATACCGTATCATGACTTGTTCCTTTATTTACATAACAACGTACTGGCTCAAGCCAAGGATTCACGTACCCTCAGATTCTGACTCCCATAGTATACAGCTGGTGCCAGGGCGAGCCTGCACTGATTCCTCTCAGTAATAATGGGTGCTAACAGCTAACGTTTTTGTTGCTAACTGGGCTGTGATTCAGAAAAATGAAGATGGCAAAGTAAAAGCTTTTTGTCTACCTTTCAGGAGAGCATACTCGCACGCATCAGAACTAAGAGGCAGACTGGCAATTTTAGAGACTTTTTTGACTCGACTTTTCTCCTTTCTGTCTTTCCTTCCCCTCCCCCCCCCCCCCCCCCCCCAAAGATACAAGAGGTTTCAAGTTGCAAAACGTGAAATAATATTTGAGATATGAGCCGTATTCTGCTCAAATTAGAATTCCTACTTGTTCAAACTCTATGTAGCTTAAGCAGGCACAAGTTATTTTTAAATTATCTGTTGCTGCTATTTAAAGCCTCCCATTTGGTTTGCATTTTGAGTTGCTTTGTCATTTTTATATATTCTTTCTTCTTTCCTGTGTGTCAGTGACTGCCACATTAGCAAAGGGGTATACAGAATGGAAGTTTGTTGCATAAAAACACTTAAGAAGGGGTGGTTTGTTGTCATATCAAGCATCCAAAAACCCTGAGCTTTTCTTTGTATGGAATCAGTACAAAAAGGCTTCCTGGTAACAGTGACAAATGGGAAACTCAACAGATTTTTTAAAGCTCTTGAAAATAGTCACAAACCTTGGCTTTCTGGATAATGCTGGAAGTGAAGAATTTCAAAGACTAACTTGTCAGTCTTGACTTTGTAAACTGGTCTGGTGACCTGCAACAGTTGGGGGGAAAAAGAAAATCAAAACACTAAATTAATAATTCCGCTAAATCACAAAAAGCATTCAGATAGGATGGACCACCAAAGCCGTGCAAGAGAGCTGTAAGATAAATGGTTCTACAGTCCTGTTATGAAACCTACGCAGCCGTAAATGTGGAAAGCAAATAAATGAGTTAGTATTTTTAGTTATGAAATTGCCAAGCAAGAGATTAGAATAAAACTTGATTTAGTTTCAGAGTAAATACATGAAGGTGGACATGTTATTTGAGGTGGGGCTGCTTTTTGAGGGGTAAGAAAAGGATTTCCATGCATTTTACCTCCATGCTGAATTGTGTTTTCAGGTTCGTGTAATGCTTCGTGATCAGTGATCTCTGAGGAACTGACAAAAGCATTTACACTACAAGCCGTATAACAAAAGCTAGTTATGGGTTCGTCGTGTTCAAAAGCAGGGTTAATCCTGAGAGCGTTTCCTGAATTGCAGCTGTTGAGAGTAGGACTTCTACAATGCAGAACATTTTTGTTTAGGTAGGACTGAATTGCAAAAGAAAAAAAAAGAATGTTTTGAAATGTGAAGAAAAAGATCGTGAGCAGCTTACTGCAAAATAGAGTTTCTTTTGCTTTTCCTTCTTAACTTAATAATTACAATTATGAAAAGAAAACCAAGGCTTAGTAAGCCAAGAATGAGAGGTTTAAAAATGAAGGGTTGTATGGGTTCTGGAGCAAATTTTGCACAGCGCTGTCCTTGGTAAAGCTCGTGTCTACGTACAGGGCATCTAAAATAGGGAGAGGAAGAGAAAAATATACAGAACTCAAAGGCAGAAAATACAGAGTACCTCAAATGAAAACAAAGGAAAATCTGCAATTAAATATAAGCACAGTATTCCCAAAGCAATTAATTGTTGTGTGTTTCTATGAAAGAATGCAATTGATAATAGAGGAAAAATAATATTCTTAGGTTCATGTGAGTGAGTGTTAAATAAAAAGACGCTGTTATGTTCTTTGCCAACTTGCAATTTTTGAGGAGATTACACATTTGGAACATCTCTGGCAAATTTCTAGTCCCACAGGGGAGGCTGAAACAAGTTGAGATGTATTTAGACATTACCCCAAAACACATCTTTGCAGCCTACATTCTGTTTATTGGTGATTTTAATCTGAGTAGCAAGGTCTGAAATAAGAGTTCCACTGCAAAAGCAAAGGAGAAGATTTTATACGAGAACACGGGGCTTCCAGTTAGTGAAAAAACTAGCGTGAATTTACAAGCAAAACAAGTGCCTGAATAAAGCGCATAATAGGGCATAATTTTCTCTCTGCAGACTGTACAAGTTTGACAAGCTGTCAGCCTGAGACTGGTGGTAAGTTTGTAACCTGCTGTATTCACAAAATGTTTCATTTATTACTTTTAATGCTTTTATCATTCCAAATGATGGTTTGGTTATTTCTGTGCATCAAGTCAGGGCTTTCTGGAATGGAAAGGTGTTATTTTTCCTTAGTGCGTTGTCTTGGAGGAGGAGGCTGTACCTTTCACTACTTCAGTACAGTTTTGAAGAGGACCTCTTTAGCTCACAGTCTGATTTCTTGAAAAAAATACTGCAGCTGCACTGCTGTGACTCTGCAAGTCAGGAATTTAGCAGCAACTGCAGTGAATTAAATATAATCTTCGATTATAGTTTCTGTGATGTCCACGGCAGAAAATGAATTATGGCAATTATGTTGTTACAGTAGAATTATCATATGATAAATTGCTCAGTAGTCGTATTCTTGACATTAATCCTAAGTACGCTAAAAGACGTATCATTAACCTATTAAAGTCAATATTAAGAGAGAATAAACAAGTGCAAGAATACTAACTTGTCTCTTGCTCATACATGTGTCTGGTCAACTACCATGTACCAGTCTAGTATACACTGTCATAGAATGCTCTGGGCAGTCTAGTCTTAAAAATGAGCTCAAACTCGATACATTTAAAAGAAAATTCCTATGTTCAAGTACTGTGGTAGTTCTCAATATTGGCTTAACAGAATTTCATGTAAAAATCCTTATGGAATGTGTTTGCAGTTAGGAGGAGCTGCTGATCTTCAAGTCTTTCCCAGAAAGCCCTGAAAGCAGCCTCAGCCTTTGTGTGCTTTACTGGGTCATCTGGGATCAGAGTAGGGCTCATAGGTGTGTTTATAGGAATGTAGGTTGCCTTTTTAACACATCTTAGAAAAACATAATTTCTTAAAATACTACTGCTGTGTAGTGAATAGCAAACCCGTGAAAGTGTTATTTCATTTTTCCAAGATTTATTTGGAAATCTGAAAAGAAGGCATTGTTTTGTACATCACCCCTGCTAATGATGCTGAATTTCTAATAAATTCCTCAAGCATCTCTCCGAAATAGCTAGATCATGATGGTATGTGTGTACGAACAGGCAGAAATGGGTTTGTTCATAGTGAGACTATTTATACTGAAGAAGGGCATCGCAATGTAGCTTAAAGAGTCTGAATGTTGAGGTCTTGGCTTTATGAGCACAGTTTATGCTGTTGGGAAGTAGGTACCCAGCCCTGCTTGTTCATGCAAGAGACGCATCAGGGGTCTGCTAACAGAATTCCCGTTAAGCACCATGGATTTACCTGCAGACAGCTCCTCTTCCTGGAACTAACTCACATTTCCCACCATTGACGCAGAGGTGGGTTCCAACTCACACAGGCTCTGACAGGCTAATCCGTCTTGGCTTGCGTAACCGGGCTTACACAGGCAGTCAGCCTCTTTGGTCCCCTCGTTCATTACGCATTCGGAAAACTCGTCACATGCCATGAATTTGCATGGGTCTGCCTGATCAGCTGTAAAGGATGGGTAAATCATTAATTGTTGCATTACCCGAAAGTAACTCGGCGGGCTTTGTGGCAGCTAGAGAAAACAATTCACATTCACTGGCCTGCTACTTGGGCGTGCTAATAGGAGGATGTAGTCTAGCATAAAAGGACACAGATCCTTCTTGCTGTAGATGACATACCTAGCATGCAAGCTTATATTTACTTCTACGTTTGTTTACCCCGTCACTATTAAGCTGTGATTTTATTTTCATCTCACTGACAAAAGATTCTCACATTTGCATATTTTAATCCCCTTTTTATTGTAAGTGCTAGTTTTATACTCATGGATACTATGCTACAGCCTTGCATAGTTTAGACCTTAAACACATAATTTAGGACATGGCAAGGGGAGGGAATTAGATCACTGAATATAGCACAATACTATGAGGAATGCAACTTAGAAATACTGGCACGGTCTGGAGAACATACGTGCTTGCAGTCTTGAAGGGCTATTTCTTTTTTTTTTTTTTTTTGGCTTTTTTTTTTTTTTTTTTTTAAAAAAAAACATAATGTGTTAGCTTTGGAAAAAAATTGCAGGGTTTTTTGTTTTAAATATCAGTAAGGGATGCCCCTGTGAGAATAAGGGAAAAAGAGGCTGCTGCTGTTCACAGTAAATCCCAAATCAGAGACATCTTAAAGTCCTGACTTCAACTGGCACACAAATTTACTTCTCCTTTCCTATTTATTACTTACTTCTTACTGTATATGCAAAAAAAGACCTGTAAAGAGTCATTTTAACCTAGTGCTCAGCCCACCTTGTGCTGATGGGGTGATGAGGGAGGGATGTATCCACCAGTGCCTCTCATGGAGGCAGTTTCCTGCGTACTGTAGGGTAAAGCCCTTAGAAAGCAAAACATGAGAAGCAGGCCAGGGGAAACAAATTCTGTTTTTGCCAGCACAGTTTCAATAAGGTATGTGAATCCAGAAAGGGGACGGGTGAGGTGTACCAAACCAAGCAAAGAGAGTGCAGAGATACAGATATGAGCTGGTCTATGGGGCCCTTTTTAGGTATGTGGGCTTAAAATTTCTTAAAATGAACAATTAGTCTAAAAGGGAGATTCCTACTGAGTATTGCAGCTGGTTACCTGCAGGTCTCATAATTTTTTTACGGACCTACTTCATGCTCTGTGCTAGATTCTCAATAATACTGGTTTCAATGAAGGATGAGCATCGCATTCCTATAGTAGTACTGGAAATCTCAAACACACACTAGGATATGCTTAACTGGTATAAAATAATCCAGCAGAGTTATTCACTTTTAACTCTTCTATAATTCTATGGGTAGATTGGTTTTGTTTGTTTGTTTGTTTTTCTTTTTGTTTTGTTTTTTTTTTTAATTTTAGACTAGTGTGTTTAAGCATGCTCAGTTTCCCTTTGCTATATACAACGTGCATGCTGATTTGGAATCTACTTTGCTTCTGGACTATAAATCTACATACATGTGAACAACTGGGCATCAAAGTAATACAATAAATTACAAAGTAACTTTATTGTTAGGCAAACCCTTGCTTGTATGAAAAAAAAAAGTGAAAAAAAAATTCCAAGTACTTTGCTCTGGTCATTGACACTACTGATTGGGAATTACAAAGTTTAGTCACTAGTGAAACAAAAGCACTGACAAATCAAAAGAGGATATTAATTCTTACAGATTCTTTTCTTAGCCCACACAGAATTCACACTCTGACCAAAACCAGAACGCTTCCAAGGGAAACATGGTTAATAAAAATTTATATGATTGAAAATTAAAACAGTAACAGCTGCATTAACTGCATGTCTCCTGTAAGTCTCTCTCAAGTCTTGATGGTTATGGTTTGCCTTTGTGGTAGTGGAAATAAAGGTTGATACTGGTAATAAGGAGACCCAGGCTCTGTCTAAGCATTACCCCGGGTTGAGTGCTACAGCCCTGCAGTTTTCAGAAGCTGAAAGCTCTCAGAGCATTTCTGTTTGACAAGTAGAGCTTGGCAGGAGCATTTCTCTGGGCTCAAGGGACATTTTTTTGTGATAATGTTTAATTTTTCTTAATAAATTGTTGGGCATATGTACCTGCCATACTTTGTAATCTTTTCTGTGTTTTCACATTGTTTAGATTATAAAAATAATGCATGCAGGCATTTTTAAAAGCCCACTGTGTTGTTATTTATGGTATTATTTGTGACCAGTGCAGTACCAGCCCCTTGCAGCTGCTGAGTCTTGATAGGTATTTTGGACTGTAGCTTACCATCAGTGTTTCAGTTTGGTATGGCATTATTACCACTAGGTGGCTCTTACTTTCACAAGAAATAGAAATTTGCTTAATTTAATTTACTAAACAGGTCGGGGGGGTTTTGCCCCCATTTTTTTTTTTTTTTTTTTTCCCCCTGAAGTGAAAAGACAGGGCTTTGAAATACCTGTATGGGAACATACTGGCTTTCTAAACATAATTTCTTCTATTTTAACATTTTACTACGGCTCATAAGCCTTGAAAGAACTGCGCTCCCAGCAAACTCATTGAGATATTGTTTTCTTGAATTCATGTTGAAATAGCACATCAGTAAAGCAGCTGATATGGATGAAGATGAAAGATTTTAAATGTTTTCTGTTTGCATTTTAGGAATTTCCTCATTTTCATGTATCTTTAATGAAAATTTGTTACCAGAGCAGAGAACGTGTGGTAGCCTGAAGTTCACTCTTTCTAGTGAACTCATTTAATACTTTATTCAGCAAAGCATCCGTTTATCATGGCAGTATTTGAAAGTCTGAATATTGTGATTTTGTTAACCTTCTTTACCATACACTAACTATGCTTATAATGGCCACAAGAACATACATAAAATGAAAATGGATTAGAAACCACCTGTATGAACTGTAAATTTGTTTTGTTCTGGAATTGCCAGAGACCTGTACATAAAAAGACAGCTTAACCAAAACAGCTAGAGGCATCTGCACGAGGTATTGGTAACGTTCTCTTCCATGCCAATGAAATTAAATTCAACCCTGAAATAATTACCAGAACACGAAAATAGATCCAGGCTTCAATTTTATAAAACAATATAGGTTTTGAAAACTTTAAGCTTCTGATGCTACTGTAGTGTCCAGATATGTTGCTACTGACTGTCCTCTGTTTAACAAAGACTACAGACAGATTTGGAAGGTATTAAAACTGGAAGGATTCGATGGTTTGCTTACAACATTGCAAAAATAACCAGAAATGTTTACTTACTCAGGTGCAAGATTTGCATAAGTCACTCCTATAAACATGAGCATTCTTTATACCTGTCTTCGCCCAAGCCTTATCTAGGCAGTTTTAAGTTCACTGTCTTTGCTCTCAAAAGCAGTTGCTGTACATGCACAGACCAACGCCTCCACCCAGCATTCATTATAGTATGAAAATACGTCTGCAGATAATGTGCAACATTTTGGTTTCTCTTATTCCTCCTGCTCACTGGGAGGCTATTGCTAGTGCTGTTATTTCCAAACCAGTAACACTTCTGAAGCTGTAACAATCTGGAAAAGATTATCTGCTTGGTTTTGATTTTGCACATACATTAGTAATGCAGTCTTACCTGGCTCAATATCCAGAGAATAGCTGTCAATCTCCAAATTGAGCTGTTGGGCTGCAGCATCACAGAAATCTTCCAAAACACAGTGTACTGCCTCTGTGATATTGTAGGGCACTGTCCTGGCAAATTTCATTTTGCTATTCACAATCACACTTCCGTTCCTGAAGTTCAGTATTTCCAGGTGCTTAAAACCTGTCAGGTTGGACTGAAGGTATGGAAGTAGCTGCAAAACAGAAATTTGCTTTTAACTTACTGTCAATGTCTACCTGCTATTAATTTCTCTTACAGTTGCTTTCATTATCAAGTACACACATCACACACATTTATCTGAATTTAATACAGTTGTTAAACTCTACCACCCAATTCTCTTCTCTGTTTAGCACTACCTTCTTCTAGACTTTTGCGTCTTTCTCAAGAATATATGGAGATGGATAAACAGCACTTTCCCCTGTAATGAAATGCACAGCAGCTGGGGAGTTTATTCAGCTGTGAGAGAAAAAAATCGCCTCACTTAAAAGCCAACTTCAATTATTTTCAAACGTTCAATCCAGGCAGGTTAGGGCACAGCATAATTGGCATGTTGCTGAGCTGACCTGCTGCCCTGTTGCGCCCATAGAGAAAATCCCTATCTAATCACATTCCCCCTGCTCAGCTATGATATATTTTAAAAGGCCTATTTTTAAATCCAGCATGTAGATACAAGCTTTAGATGGAATCAGCACTGCTATACTGTTGACGTGAACCTAAGGAAAAGCCAAATAAACTACATGCCAGGCACATGTCTGGAGTGTCTTGAAGAAATAAAAACTTTAATCGCTGACTTCATAAACTTTTTCTTCATACCCTGAGAGCCTCCTAGTCTTAAGGATCTTTTAAAAATACAGTTTATCAGCCTGAATTATACTAGGGTCTGCTATTCTTAAAATACTGGGCTCTTCAGCGTGCTGCATTAAGCAGTGCCCGACTGTTGCGTATGTTGTTCAAGCTGATTTTCACCCACCAGTTGCACAAACTGTTGCTCTAGTGCTTTGTATTCTGGCGAGCTCCTGTTGAAGAGGTCATCGGAAAAGCGCATGTTGGTTACCCTCAGGCTGAAGAAAACCACTAGCTCTTTGCCTTTGGCTGCGGTTGTCGCGGAGCTGGTAGTTACATACTTCAGCGTGGGAGCGGGGGTGGCTTCCGTAGGCTCGGGTGTCAGCACGGAGCTATAACCGCTGCCGTGCCCCGCTTCACCCAGTGCCGCTGTGCTCGCCCCGCCGACGCGACCGAACTCGGCGGCGATCTCCCAGGCTCCTGGGGCGGGAGGAGCGCTCTCGATGCGGGCACAGAGGAGTCTGGTACTTCCAGGGACTGTTCGAGGACCTTGGGGTGGCTGTGGGACGGGCTGGTTGCTGCAGGCCGCGGTGCCGTTGGGTCTGAAGGTAGCACGTCTGTAACGACAGCTTCAGGCTCTGTGGTAGAGAGATCACTTGAACCAATAAAGAAAGGCAACGTTTTGTACGTGCTGGCTGTAACTAAAATGTCATCGCCCGATGATTCTGGTTCATCCGTGATCTCAACTGCTGCAGAAAAACAGGGGGAAAACAAATAGCTATTTTGAAAAGCAAGCATAACAAACGCCAAGCATGGAGAACAGCATGCACGTTGTATTTCCACCGAAGTGTATTTAAAAACAAGATTTAACACTAAAGACGAAAATGTTGTTTCCATCACCGAGGAAGGACTACTGGAATAAAACACCTCACCCACATGTTTGAGTGATGAGTTTTCTGTGGGTGCTCTTTTGAAATACTAATTACACTTTGTAAGTATTTCCTGAGCCATTCCAAAGCACATTCTGGTTTTGAAGGTACATAATCACACTGCCAGTTTATATTGACTGAAAGACTAGATCACAGCTTTGAGCTGTCTGCTTGCATCAGTTGTATGCTGGCGTCATTCTGTTCCCCTCTGTGAGAGGTTAAAGCTATTATTTGCCAGCAATCATAAAATGTGGTTATGAAAAACAGTAGAGCCCCTTCAGATGCAAACTGTCAATTTACCTAAAAGACAAGAGCACCAGTGAAAACAACTTAAAACCTTAAGAAATCATCTGCTGCACCCGAAGCAGGCATTTGATCCAGATGCTGAACTTTTATGAGGTTCCCCACGGGGGCTTGGCGTGGATCGAGGACGTGTGATAGCTGTAGCTGAAACCAAAGCTGAAGTGTGATGAATGAGATTCTCTGAATTTGGCTTGCAGTTACCTGGCCACAACAACTTCACAAAAAACAACGGCCTCCAAGCAACACACATCTACCCCATCTGACAGCTGTCCTTTTCCAGTGATGTACTGGTGTGGGCTCTTCACGTGGGACTTTCAGCAGTTCCCCCGCAGGCAAAATCACTTACCAGGCGATAGAGAAGAAGTTTTTCTCCAGTTGATGAACCCTTCCTTTCCCTACACACTAATTTCCTCCCAGTGACCAATGGAAGTAGCAAAGCAGAGAGCTGACCACACTTCTCAAAACAGCAAAGAATTTTTCTAAGGCACGATATGGGGTTTAACTAGAATTAGATGCTTGAAAAGAAATTTCTCCCATGTGGTTACCACTTCGCATAAAAGTATGTTAAAAGCTGCTCTCTATTATTTTTTTCACCTTTGTTTTATTATATATGTTGTAGTATATATAAATGATGATTCAGTGATAGTAGTGTAAAGAGATAAATAAAACACATGCTAATAAAATAAGTTAATATAAAATAATAAATAGTATAAGAAATATTAAATTCTTACATAAATATTATCAACAATCATAAAGTAAGTAAAGCACATAATAGACTGACCAGTGGTTAAACTATTGGAGTACGTTGTGAGAGAGGTAGATTTACATTTTGATTCTTCTTCAAACTCCTCAGGAGTCTTAAGAGTATGCCCTTGTGTGGCATTGACCTCACCTCTAGGAGTCATTTAAAAATGAGATGCATCCTGTAAGCCAGTCATCTTTGCTCCCTTTTTAGTCAGTAGAGAGATGTTTATCTCACTTGAAGAAAACCATCCAAACATATGCTGGATCTTCTGAAGTGCCTATATCTTTCTGTTGGTTTCAGAACATACACAACAAATTTATGTAAGAAAGATGCCTGGTTCTCCCCTTACATAGTTTCTGTTATCTAAATCAATTTCTTCTGCTCCTTGTAGCATTATTGAGGATCACTGCTTTCTCTGAGGTGCTCAAGTGTTAGATTTATAAGGACTATTAACATTTCTTGAAAAGGGGAAACACTCCATTGTGTCATAGTGTGATGCTACCAGCAGGGCAGTGTGGTTCTGCCTCTGGTGAAGGATCAGTGAATTTTACTCTGGAATGCCAGTAACATGGTGTTACTGGAGTGTTCCTCCCACTCTCAGTTCTAAGGTTTTCAATTTGTTACAAGTGTTTCATGCTTTGTCTAAGAGAAGAACTAGATTTTTTTTTTTTTTTTTTTTTTCTGTTCTTTGTGGAAGTGAACTTTTCTAAACAATTTCCAAAAGTAAAGCAGCCTGGAAGGATTATTACTTCATCTTCTACTATTTATGCAGTCACTGCATCAGTAACTAGTGCTAATGTTATTATGTTTCAAATAAACCCATCTGGAAGTACAATGTATTGTTTGTAAGACTGGTTTTAACAGGTATTAAGAAACACACTAACATTGTATTTCAGCAAGGTGCTGAGCAGTATCAGTTCTCGCAGGAGCAGAGTTCATCACAGCAGCAGTGCATGTTCTCATAGCTACGTGTGAAAAAGCGTAATAGAAACAAGAGGTGGACTACTCTGACAGGGGTAACCAGGGAGAGGTCACCTTCCACAATTGCTTCTTTCTGGATGTATAAAACACTGCAAGTTTGTAAGGCTTGCCAGATGCTCCCCCTGTTTTGAAGACCCGGTTATTAGCTACCGTTACATGGTCTTGCAGGACTCCCCTGTTACCTCGCAGCTCAAAGACAGTTCCTAAACTGTGCTGGACAGCTGAGGATGTTATACTTTGGCACATTGGAACAGATCAGTAGGTGCTGGGTGCTGCCAAGGTTTTCCAGAGACTGGGGTTTAGGGGAGGCAACTGCAAAGCAGTGGCATGCCACAGGGGGTGCCTATTTTTGCCCTTAACATTAGCTGGCTGATGGTAAGTTACTGAAGATCACTCATCTCTATCAATATCTGGTATCCCTTTCCCATATTGGACAGGGCAAAATTTTACAGTCAGTTTTGTTACCTTCATCTGCATGCATGAAATCTTCATCCCTCACGTGCCTCATTTTACTTAGCACAATGTTTGGAAACCAAAATGATTTAGACGGCAAAAAATTGCCACTTGATAAGAGACTATATTTCACCTATTTTGGGTTTGATATTTAGGGCTGAGTTCTAATCCCATATCTATCAGCAGTGAACTCACTGAAACCAATGGAACTTTGGTAGTGGAAACGTGTGCAAGTGAGATCGGGGTATTTGGATTTGCCCTGAGGATCTGGAGTGCCCAGTCCTATGGCCCTTAGGGAAAAAGCTTTCTTCAAGATTATAAAATAGTTCCTTACTTTCACACAATGAATGCCTCCCACCTCCTCCCACATCCCCAGCTCATGACTGAAGTGTACAAAATAACAAGCAGCTTAGAATACTGGTGATTCTGGAAAAGACTCTGAAGCACACTGCTAATATGAAGCATCTGTGTTGGATGGGTTGCAGAAAAAGACCAGGTACTGCATTCTCCTTTTCTGCAAGGCCAGACCATGGTGTTCTGGAAGCACAACAGGACCACAAAGTGGGTGCAGTAAATTCCCATTTAACTAGCACAGTTGTACAGTATCCTTTTTATTTGTTGTGATATGTAATTTGCACTGCTGACAGCGTAATACAAGGGCTACAGTCCTAGTCCTTATAGCCCTAGAGAGTAGCCAAAAGAGAATAACAATGTGCTGTATGAGGTTGTGCAAGCAGGGTGTAACACCAAACGCTGCAGCACAGCTTGATGCCCTGATAATTCATTGAGAACTTGAGATGCTTTTCTGATGCCATGTCCTTGTGTTTCCTGTGTAATCAAGGATATGGACAGATTAGAAAAACAAAGGCTAGTGATGTTCTCTGTTTACAAAGCTCTTGCTGTTACTCATTGCACTGATAAGGAGTGAAAGTCACTTATTAGTTAAGGGAACTCAAACCAGATTTCTTAGCATTAGTGCTTGAAAGGCATTAATGTAGGATGATCTACTGCTGGGATGAACCTGCAACTCTACAGAGCAACCTTCTCTCAGCATGACAACGTGCACTTAAGCATACGATCGTGATGGTATTTGTTAGGCATGTTATATTTTATAAAGAGGTAACTACAGGAGAAAGAAGTACTGAAACGGCTTTGAAATTGCAGCAAGTATGAAGCAGAATAACCATGCATGCATAACACCTTTAGCATATAGCTCTGTGTGTGTGTGTATATATATAGGCTATATATAGACTATAGAGGTCTTCTGGCATCCTCTTATTACAAGTAAAGTAACTTAAAAGGCCTTGAGGGCATACCAAGATGATCTCAGTGCACGTGTCACCCATTTTCATAAGCTGCCCATTCTTACTTATCAGTCGTAGTCTCCCCACTGAGATGGACAGTGACTGACCACCGGGCTGGTGGTGGTCCCTCATGGTGCGAAAGGGAACGGGCTCACCTGCAAGGCTGCTGAGCGCTGGGTGAAACACAGCACCAGTCCTGATCCCAGGGGTTACTGACCCCTTCTGTTGGTTGCACTTTGTGTAACACATGTCTCGTTACCGCTGCAAGACATGCCTACACAAGTGACATGCTGAAATCAGCAGTAAAATGATTTGCAACTGGTTTTGACAAGCTTTTTCACTGCCTACCTGTGACTTTGATAAAAATCAGTCTGAAGGAGTTCAAAACTATGGATGAAACAAAGAAGACCGAGACATTTGGAATGAATTGCCATTTAAAATACTGGTTTTATATGTAAAAACAATATATGTATTGTTTTTTGGAGTAGACATAAAGAAGAAATTTTTTATGGTGAGGGTAGTGAAAGACTGGCACAGGTTGCCCAGAGAGGCTGTAGAAGCCCCAACCCTGGAAACATTCAAGGCCAGGTTGGACAGGGCTCTGAGCAGCCTGATCTAGTTGGAGATGTCCCTGCTCATTTCAGGGGGGGTTGGACTAGAGGACATTTAAAGGTCCCTTCCAACCCAAACTATTCTATCATTCTATATGCGCATATATATATATATATATATATATATATATATATATATATATATATAAAACATTTTGAAATGGAACACAAAATACCCTTAAACTAGTTCATTATAAAGCAATTATTTGTAATACTTCACCCAGTTTGCCTTGTAGATGAGATTTTTACATCAGAAGGCTAGAAAAAACACAGGCAATTATTTTATGAAACCTCTAAAAGCACAAACACTGAAGATTTAGATATTCTTAGCTCAGCATATTTCAATTCAGCATACAGTTTGGTCTACAGTACTATCATTCAGATGCAGGGAACCTACAGAGAGCACGGAAAAAGGTGCTGAAC